GGCCACAGCCGACCAAGTCAAACCTCGAAGATTCAGGCCACAAAGTATGACCGATCAAGGTTCAAGACCAAACTCAAACGTACATACATGCGCAAAAAGGCCCGAACAACAAGGTTCAAGCACAACGCAAGATTCAAGCCCGCAACTTATAGTTCAATGACTCAACCAGACCAGATAGGCTGTTGCATCGTTCCGTCAGGTTATAAAAGGCAGCGATAATCCTTGCAAATGGATTGCGTACGCAACGCAAAAGACCACCCGACGAGACAACGCACCACAAAAGCAACGAACCCTTGCAACAACTACTACAAGACAAGTCAACGGCCAACCGAAGTCTACCACAAACAGCCACAATGGCTAAAGGCGATAAGAAACCGACGGCAACTACTGCTAAGATAATAGCTGCTGCTGCGAAAACTCACAGCGATTGTAGTTATAAAGAAATTTGTTCCACTGCGATCTCCTCCGCCCCTCTTGAAGAAAAAGCTAGCACCTAGTATGCTCTTTTTTGCAAATAATTGCGCAATTGTTCGAGAAATGGTAGATTTCCCAGTCCCTGCCATGCCGTTGAGCCAGAAGATTGACTGGCTGTCTGGGTTGGTGCCCCATTCCTCGATTTGCGCGATGATGTGGTTTCGCGTGCCTTCAAGACAGAAGGATTGCTCTCCATCTGGACTCGAGTCGAAAGCGGCTGCGTTTGCAATTCGTAGCTTGGAAATAACAGTCTCTTGATGAACATCTAGAAGCAGGGACCTGGAATTGTTAGCATTGAGAGCTCAAAAAACCTCAACAGCCCAATTGGCCATACCAGCCATACCAGCCATACTAGCCATAGAAGCTATTAGCAGATAAGGGGCTGGATATCTTACGTTTGTTCAATGTTGATGTTCAACAAAATATTGGCCTTCTGCCTCTCAATTGTTGCAAAAATCTCGTGAATCTCCCGCTTTTTGAAAGGCCACACTGCTCTGGCATGCTTGGCTCCCAAATCCAGCTTTGCCACCGTCTCTGCTAGTAGCCTGCGAAGGTCAAAAACTGCTTGGCGGAGACTCGGAGTTTCTAGTTTGGAAGATCCTTTCGGGCTTTGAAGAAGGCTTTCAAGCTCTTTGATGACGGCTGTGAGTCGATCAACCTCCTTTAGCAGTCTTCGCACATCGCCAGGAGCCCTTTTCACGTCCACACAATAGATGGAACACATGACACCGATCTTAACGAGGAGGTCGATGACCTGAGATATATTGGCTAGAAGCCCTAGGACGTCCATTGCATCCCCATGCGCCCTGGACCCGATGGCACAGACGTAGCCGTCTCTTATTGAAGCGAATAAAGTTGGCAAAAGCTATCGTATCAGTAAATACGACACATCAAATACCAATAGTAGAAGCAGAAGAGTGAATGGGTACAAAGAAGATGAAGAGTAGTAGAGAGAAAAAGGCTAGCAGAAACCAAGTGATGATGTAGGTATGCCGAACACAAAATAGCGTTGGTAGAAGAAAGTAGAAGAAAGTAGTGGTAGTAGCAGTAGTAAAAACAGTAGCAGTGATAGAAAAACTGAACTGTTCTTAGTAGCAGAAATATCGAATAGTTTGCAGAATTGAGGAAATGAGTGAATTTGAACTATAGGCAGAAGTGCTCATATTCTTAAAATCAGGCGGGGATTCTTAAAGCCTGCCGACAACAGACAGGGATGCAGAGATCAATTCATTATCGTATTCACTTGCAACTATCCGAAGCAAACACAGCCAACTTTCAGTTGCAGCTGCAGCCACCCTTGACTTTTGTCAGTGTTTGTGCCGTGCGGACTGGAGCTTTTGCCCATGACAGGGATTCTAGAATCACCTATCAAAGGAGGGAGCTGCTGTTAAGCGCCGAACTCGAAGCGCCGAGACGAAAATAAAGCACGGCAGCGGATATAAAAAGCAGATGAAACTGTCGAAGATGACAAAAAAAGTAGGTTAAATAACAGAGTCGAAATACAGGTGATTATGCGTCCATTTGACTGGAACTGTGTCGTTGAATGATTGTACGCACCCTTATTATGCAGGCACAGCATATTGTATAAATCTTTACAAATGCGACGGTTTTAAGCAATCCTTTCAACGACTTATTAAGTGCTTACTATCGAATGATGTACGACTGTATAGTAGTCTTCTCAATGACATTGTTTTTGCAAACGATTTGGCGACAGATTGAACTTCAGCCGTACACTACTCCATCTATCGGGGAGAAACTGCACGATTAGCTGCTTCATGCCTTGAAATTGATGAGACCGGGACTTTTAGTGATTATGTCTGTGTTTATTGACTCCAAGTCCCTTGTATTACTTATCAGGTTGTTAATTTGACTGTTAAAGGTGGTGCTGGATACATGGACGAGAAGCTTTCTCGCTAACGGGCGTGCAGGCGCAACCCTGGGATCACAACAATAGAACAAAAAGGCGAGAAAGTGCCAGGCAACAACAATATTAATCAAAAAGATGTATTCTCCCTTACGCTCTTTTCTATGTCAACAATAGAAGCTATTGTCACTTATGCGTGAAGCTATTCTCTTATGGCACTTCAATAACTCGCCCCCTAAAGCACAACAACATTTCATCACCAGCTCTCCCGATATTGTTGATCTGGATTTTGGATACTGCATTCCCAATCCTTTGTTTCGCCTGAATTGGTCATTACCAAGAATATTAGACAGCCTGGGAGTGCACTGTGAGCGAGTGTGCAGCCACCAGCCTCGAGTGTCAACCAGGGGGGATTGGTAGCAGGCCTGCACAGAGACTGGCAGCCCAAACTCCTGACAGCTGGCTGCCACTCGTCGTCCATCACGCGTTCATTATAAAGAAGAATTTCTGCCACCTGGGTAAACACAGAAACAAAGTTTCCTCAAACACCTCGCGTTTGTTAGATCGCGTCAAGATCAACACACGCTTCCTGCTTCTGAAGCTCAACCGCACTTCAAACACAAACGTCGTGAGTGGTATCATGAGTTGATACACATCTTCGTCTCTGGATCAAGATGCTAACCAAGTCGAATAGCTTTCAAACCGTGCTCCTTCGCAGCCTAGTGGCCGCCATCATCAGCCAAGATGACTATTCTTCGAGAGCATAATCGAAGCCGCAGCTTGGAGACGCTTCGTAGTGATCTCCTCCATGACCTCACCAACACTACCGAAGGACTTCACTTTGCTTCTACCACTCTTCTCCGAGGCAAGGCTGATGAGAAAGAAGCCCTGGCCGTACTTTGCCCGGACAAAACTTACAAGGCAACTGACATTGCCATTGTACATTTAAGCAAGCTCCTTGTCCAGTGCAACAAATGGCTCCCTGTCCTTGATGTACAGGGACCTATGACGTACTGGGCTGTGGTTGCTGCCACGACCTCCGAGATGCAGAAGATTAAGCTCTCGGACGCACTGGCCAAGGAGCTGGTGTTTGCTCTTCTGCGTGCCAGACAGCGCTGGATCCTTCGTCAGGATAATCCCCGATCTGCTACGACTACTGTTAAGTCGCACTTTATCGCTGGCCTCCAGCGACTTCTTCAACGTTTTGAAGAAAAGGACAAGGACCCCGCGGCGCTCAACTGGCATAAACACGACGAGTGGAAGCTGTGTGAGAAGGAGATTCGTGAGGCCAAGGCGCGTCTCATGGGCCCCGGAAGACAGATGGCCAGTGGCCGTATTGGACTTTCCTATCACGCCCCTCACCCCCTGTTGCCCATCGGCCAGTTGTCGAGCGCTCCTATGCTGGAGAGAAACCCCCTCGGCATGCTTGACAGCTGCGTGGAGAAGATCACTCCGGCCGAAGCTGTGCAGGCACTTCTATCCCTCCATGCCCTAGAGGCTGCCCACGCCGAGAACTTGAAGGCTCCCGCAGAATTGCTGGGCATGCCTGACGATGAGCCGCAGGGCTCTTTTTTCCCGTCTCGTCGCGGTCTCCGTAAAAAGCCCCCATTCATCGGCACTGGCCATATCATTCCAACCAAGTTGAAGGACAAGTTTCTGCCGAACCGCACAAAGGGCCCCGACGATGACCAGTTCCTTTATTCACGCCCAGTCAGACCCAAAGGCAGCAGCATAGTCCCTATCCCGCCGGTCACCTTCAAGCGCTTCCCGAGCGAAGAGCCCGAGGATAAGGCCCCGACCAAGAAGCAAGTCTTTGACAAGGGAAAGGCCAGATCCGTCTCGACTCCAGTCGTCAGCCAGTCGTCGCCCGCCAGACAGTCGTCGCCTGCCAGCCAGCCCTCGCTCACTCCAGGCAAGTCGACCAAGGCCGCTCGCTCGACCTCTCTACAGGTCCCTAAGACGCCCAAGACGCCCAAGAACTAAAGGATACGTGCTTTGACATGCACCGATCACTGTTGCAAGTATCTTACGAATTGGCTTGAATCAGAGTAGTGGATATTTGCTTTTGAACGCTGGATGGATGGAACATTATGTCACAGGGCTGGATGGGTGGGCTGACATTATTCATGAGTTGATAGGGAACGGGCTTATAGGTTGAAGGTTTAAGGGAACATGTGTATGAGTAGCAATCTATAGCCCAGAGGATTCCAAAAATCAACTCCAAGTATTGACTCGAGAGGTATTGAAATTGTTGTTTGATGTGAGGATGTGAGGATGTGGTTTTTAGTGCAGAAGTGATGGATTACCTTGAAAGCTGTCTTTTTATCGGCCGGACGCGTTATAAATTTCACAGCATTTTCAAGCCTACCCAGAGCCTTGTCTTGGTGGATAGACAAGAAGGCTGTGGAAGAAGGGAAGGATATTGGCGTTGCCATAGCAGCAGGACTATACAAACTCCAACACAACAAACCCTCTGGTTTATAATGCGACTCTGTATTGATTTCTCCAAGGGAAAATAGCGAATTCTCATTGAGTGATTATTATACATGTCTTGGAAATACCTCTCTTGGCGTTTAAAAGGACAGCACTTTTCAAGTAACACAATCTTGGCGAAATGGCAGTGCTGGCGCTTGGCAGGAGTAGCATTGAGTAGCTTAGATACAGCGGGTCACGACGCGACAGGACTTTAACTTGGGACGGACGCGGAAGTGGTTAGTTGGAGTTGTCCAGTATTAAAATCAAACAATAAAAGACATGACAGCAACCCTTTCAATGATTGTACAGCCTTGTTGTATTATCCATTTCGTATTTCTCTTTCATCGGGCGGTATCAATTAATAGCGTCGAGCACATGCCAACTCGACGCTGTCCATGAGGTTCCAGATTGTCCCGCCCGGATATCGCCGTTGCACCCCAATGTTTTAGGTCACAGCTCCGCCAAGAGAAACGCCCTAGCGCCCTGCGGATAGACGCTGACTTGGCATTCTTTAGTGGCACATTGCCCTCTAACAGCGCAGCCCAAGTGCTTGTCCATCAGTCCAACTGCTGTGATGTGCTAAGCTGTGCTGTGTTGCTGTGCTATGGATGCCCAGCTGGCATCTGATGGATTAATATCATGGACGGGAGCATGTGGAAATGACATCAGCTATGGAGAGACTCTTATCGGAGAGTAGATTCTTTCCGATGGCCACGGCGGGACGAAACAAACAAAGAGACATCGACAGGGATCATGGTAGGTACTCGACACAGGCAAACACAAGCAAACACAAAGAAAAAGAAACTTGTTGCGGATTTTGTTACAACATATCTCGGATAATCGGCAAGGCGCCGTGACGTAAGTGGGCGATTTCCCTGACGATGATCTTGGCAAGGGAAAAAGAAGAGACTAAACAGACTCACAGACGCGGTTCTAGATCTGTGGCCTGCAGCGGTTCGCATATTTGACACGCAGGTGACAGAGGCGATGCGCAAGGCGTTTTTTTGCCCATTTCAGTCCATGCGTCTTGTCCCGGGCTGTACCTTTTTGGATTCCTATTTTTGACCCTTGCACATCCCGCTTCTGGTGATATTTTTGTTAGTGGTACTGCCAATAACACTGCCAATATTGTCAAAAACTGCCTGGGAATGCTGATGTGCGCTGACCTCTGGCTCACCTCAGTCGGCTTAGCTCGTGCTATTTATTCATCTCCTGGTTCCATTCGTTGGAGGCCTTTCCCCCCCTACGACTGATCGGCTTTAGCCTTACCAGCTACCGGTTGCGGTTTACAAAGTACAAAATCACCGGCGACCCCTCACAACGTCATTTTCGCCATTTTTCGTGAGGCTGAGCGCGGATACTCGAGTCTTGGCAGCCTTGCTCATCACGATACGCCCGTTTGGAGCTTCATTTTTGCTTTCCATACTCGGTGTTTGATCGTCTGTTTTATTATTCATTCATTTGCCCATCATGCCGGGAAACATCACCACTCATCACGACGACTCCACGCCCGAGTCGAGCGACAGCGGGCATCATCAACATGAACATGATCATGAGGAACACGAAGAACACGAAGAACAAGAGCATGAACATGAACACAAGGGCCCTCCCGGTGGCTTTGACCGGACTCCACTTCCCGATGCCCCTCAAGGATACACCGTTCGCTTCGTTTTTCATGCCGCGACCAACATCCCGATTGCGGATTTTCACACGGGATCTTCAGACCCTTTCTTGGTAGCAACTCTCAAGGGAACGCAGCCGAAGCGTCACAAGGAGGATCCCGACTTAAAGTACAGGACACGAACTCTGCACACAACCACGGAGCCGAAATGGGAAGAGGAATGGGTTGTGTCCAATGTGCCCCCTACCGGCTTCACCCTCAAGTGCAGAATGTACGATGAGGATGTTGCCGACAAGGACGACAGACTCGGCAATGTCACTGTCAACGTCGACTCCATCTCTGAAGACTGGCCAGGGATCCCCCCTCCAGGCCAGGAGTTCGAGGCCAAGAAGCGTGTCATGAGTAAACGAGCCTTTATCCTCAAAGGAATCGCTAGTGCCATCATTCACGGCAGCCACATCGCTCCTAGGCTGCGAATCAGCATGGAAGTCTTGGGCAAGTCAGAGCCTCCGTATGCGCAAATGTGCACGTTGGCCCCGACCAGATGGATCAAGCACAACAGTCCAATGATTGGTCGTCTGATCGGCGCAAAGGTGAATGCCAACGAAAGTGACGATGAAAAGGAGCATCACTCGAACGATGACACTCCCAAGTCTACGAAATATGAGTGAGTCGATTCCATTCTGCGAGATATCCGCACGCTTATGCCCAACTCGTTGAACTAATCGTTGACTGACATTTTGATGTCCAGCTTCCAAGCCAACGAACTACAACTCCAGGGACCTGTTCCACCAGTCCTCTACCATCGCTACGTGGAATTCAGACCAGTTATCGGCTCGCTCTTTTCATCCACTGGCATTCGTGGGACCATATTGAACAAGGCCCTGCACAAACAGCACCACAGGATTTACAATTATAGCGGCTCCACCGAATATGGCACCTTTGAGGCATGCTCTAAGCAAGCATCTCTTCAGTTCCTAAGGATGGCTCATTTTGACGAGGGTGGCCGTGTCTTTACATACGTACTCACGCTAGATGGCCTGCTTCGCTTCACCGAGACGGGCAAGGAATTCGGCATCGACTTCCTGAGCAAGCATACCATGCACGCAGATGCCGAGAAATACATTGCTTGCTCAGGAGAATTCTTCATTCGACGGCTGCAACACCCAGATTCCAATGACAGTCCCGAGCCTCAGGAAGAGACACACCCATCCAAGCCCATCCCTGGAGGCCCGCCGTACCAGCCACCACCACCAAACCCCGCATTCTACCAGCTCTTCATTGATAACGAATCTGGAACATATCGCCCTGACAAGTCCATTCTGCCAGATCTCAAGAAGTTCCTGGAGAAGAACTTCCCCGGCTTGGGCATCGTTGCCATGAACGTTGAAGATGAGCGCCTGCAGAAGCTCAAGGACGAGCAACGCTCCATCAAGAAGAGCGAGGGCAAGATCATGCAGGTGGTCATGAACAGCAGCACCGACAGCTTCAGCTCCGTGGAGAGCGAGCTGAACGAGCGCAACGAGAGCTGGGAGTCGGGCAGGAAGAGCAAGCTGGAGACGGCGCACTCAGCATTGAGGAACCCCGATAGCGAACATCTTAAGGCGGCTGTGGAAGTGATGCTGCCATATCATGAGAAAAAGGAGGAGTGATCAAAAAAAAAGAGGAGGATAGGGGAAGATAAGAAGAAGCGTCCGAGAATCTCTATGACTGTATGGATATGATATGATACCACCCTTTCCTTCAATTTGTCGTTATTACCCGTCGTCGTCGTCGTCGCTGATAATGTAATGTTCGAATCCAACATTTCTTAATTGTACCCTTCGTTCCCTTGTATTCCCGTGAATATTTCACATCCTGGGCCTGACTGAAACCCACGTGCTCGAGCATCGCGCCAGCTCAACCCCATTTCCATCTCTGACCTCGCACTTGATCCTCGTCTTCCTGCCCTCCACGCCGTCCACCCACGCGTTCACCAACACCGTCTGATTGATCGGACCCGGCTTCAAGAACTTGATATCAAGCCCAGCCGTCACGCTAGCCGTCCCAAAGACCTGGCCAGTCTTGCCCAGAGCCATATTAATCTCGTGCAGCACCCCCATCGCCTCATCCACCATGGTCATCATCATGCCCCCGTGCAAAACGCCTTCATATCCAGAAAGCCCCTGACCCAGCGCGAAAAGAGAGCTCACGTGCATGATTGGGCGCTCGTGATCCTGCAAATGCGCTTCGTCCTCGGTGTGGAAGAAGCAGAGCATCTGCTGCAGGCCTCGCGGGCCGGCAAGGGTAGAGCCGACGAGTTGGTCGTGGGCTGGGCTCTGGGGGTTGAAGCATTGCGGGATAAAGGGGATTGTGTTTGGCGTCTGAATGAGGCATGCGCACCAGGGGATGGAGAGGAAGTGGGAGACGGAGGCGGCATAGAGGCTGGGGGGCGTGTTGGGGGGGATGAGGCCGAGGGGAGGGCTGAGGACGCGATTGAGGGGCGTCAGGGAGAGGGGAGAGACTGTTGTTTCGTTTGGTTGAGGCATTTTTGGAGGAGATTGATTTAACGACAAGAGATGTCGCGATATAACATTGAGTATGTAGATGTAGGTGTAGATGCAGACCGTGATATCAAATGCTGGTGTTTTGAATTGAACCAAACGGGAGATGCAAATGCCCAATTCGGATTGCCGAGGTCGTCCACTTTTACCCGAGATTGGGGGATGGAAGCTGTACAGTACAAGTAGACGCAAAGTAGCACTGAGCAAACGCGCCAAACAAACGGATGATTGCAACGTGCGAGTAAACAAAACGTAAAACACCAACAATCGCCACTCATTCTTGGAGAACCAGCGTCCAAGCTCGAGGCATGTCATCTAGATAGGATGCAGAAGGAAGAAAAAAAGAGACAGTTGCTCAGGGCAGCAAAAGATGGGGCTTCACCGGGATTCGAACCCGGGGCCTCCTGCAAAGGCGATTCTAGAGAACCGGGGACTCCAGGTTTTTGTTTTTCCCGAAGCAGGAATCATACCACTAGACCATGAAGCCTGTGTTTGGTGTGGTTGGCGATGAGGCGATTCCGAGGAGGATCATGAAGGATTGCGTGGGGCGGAGGTTGAAATTGGATTGAAACATACAGGAGACTTGAATTGCGGCGACTGGATGGCAATTACTGTAATGAATTGGCTGTCATGATGTGAATCAAGTCTATTATTCGGCTCGTGTTATTGTTTAGGGTACGTAGAGATATATACATGGACCTGACATATGCAGCTTTCCTTTGCGTGCAATTCACATGCATCAATCGAGCTGTCCCAAGATGACTAGAAGCTTCTGTGCTTCTGAAGCAAGAGCATCTCCAACAACACCGTAATGTATCCCAAAGACAGTCTCGTTATTAACATGTCCCAGCCAAGCTAATATTTTATCGTATATAAACCTCTGTCTCAAGTCTCATCCGCGGCTTCACACCACCACCATCAGTCGCCAGTATTTATTCTCAGCGACTTGAAACACCAAGCTCAGCATTGTATACTACTCGTACAGCATTCTATGCATTTGTCGTTGACTCTGTATATACAGAGGTGACTTCAATCAATACCTCCCCGCACCCGTAATGGTCGTGTTAATGAGACTCCCGGACCCGTTAGCTTGTGGATAGATGCTTGAGGTATTCTGAAATGAATAAATTTCTCTGCTAGTAGATAAAAACCACCATGTACTTGTAATTTGTGACAATGTACTCATGTATGTATTAACTACTACCTACTAAGGTATCTATATCTATAGTATGTGTTAGGTTGCTCATCTCGGCTCTGCCCTGCTTGTGATTTTTATTGGTAGGTCGGCACATATGTTGTTCCAAGACCGGCATCGCATACGTTGTTTCACAGCAATATTTCCATCGTGTTAGGTATCCATGGATATGCTGAGGAGGCTACACCGATGCGTGACTGATTTAAATAGAACAGCCATCAAAACTTATCCAGCTTGCGACACACGATAAACAATATCCTAAAGCCCATCTATGGACTCTAGAGATCCCCGACAAAAACCCCCCCGGCTCACTACACTGCCATCATCCAATTTCAAGCGGGCAGGGTCAGGCACCCCATTGACTTCTAAGCCGCATAAAACACGGGGCATAGCTGAGGTATCGAATCGAAACACAATCTCAAAAGACTCGACACAGAGCAATGAGCTGTGGGCCCTTGGATTGCGAAACCGAGCCACAATATCGAAAGACTTGACACAAAGCGATGGGCCGTTTAAGTCCTGCATGCGGAATCGAGGTGCGGCTTCAAAAGATAAAATAGGGAGCGACAAGGCACGCATAACTGCCCTTGGCCCGGGTGGCTCCCTCGATCCTCCTCAGATGGGTGCCATACCGCCCAACGCCAGTCCTGGCCTGTAAGCCGTCCATCAGACAAGTCCAGCGGAACAGCAGCAGAAGTTGCAACAACAGCAACTGAAACAGCAACAGCAGTGGGCTCAACAATATGCTCAGCAGCTGCAGAATATGCAAGGTGCTCAGATACGACAGATGACACCTCAAATGCAGGCTCAAATACGGCAAATGGCCCGGATGGGTCAGATGAATGGACAGCTAGGAAACATGATGCGGGACCAGATAAATGGGCAACGTTAATGTTAATGCCAACGACATGCAAGCCAGGGTAGTCATGCAAATACAGCAGCAGCGTAAGTGAGAGCGCGAAGGAACCTGGAGAGATCTCTTGGAACTAATATAGGCCTGGTCCTAGTCAATATGAGTAACCCGAGCTCCCAAATGGCTGCTATTCGACACCTTCAACAACAACAGCAGCAAGACATGCTTGCCCAACAATTTCAGAACATGAGTGCTACTAGTGACAATAGAGCTCCCATGGATATGCAACTCAGCCCTGCGCAGCTCCATCAGCTCCGGCAACTGAGGCAACAAGATGCCGCCGCCGAGTCTAATCCCGACGTCGTAAGTTGCTTTGAAACATAGTAGTACTAGCAGTGTCAAGACACTTACTCGCCATCTATCATCATAGGTCTATGATACTCGGACGATCAGGGCTCAACAGAGACCCTTCTACTTGCATCCCAGCAACAGCAGTAGCAACAGGCAGCGATGAGGCCTGCATAACCATCGTCAGTGGCTTTGATTTCGGGCTTGCAGAAAGACGGGAAGCTCAAAAATCATCGCATGAAGCGCTCGTCGCAAAGCAGTCTAGTTATTGCCATGTACTAGCTAATATAGTTCTCCTCGCATGTGATATCCGTCTCAAACTCCTGTCCACGACTTTATACCACCACCACTATAGCCATCACCAGCGCCGCCATCAGCCAGCCGGCATTTATTCTTGCCGTGCTCGCGGCTCCAAACTCTGTCCACCTGCGGCAATCATCATCACCTTCATGCTCATCACCTTCATGCTCATCATAGTTTACTGTTCTCCAAACGGCAAAACTCCCAATGGGATATGTCGCAGTCTTGCAGGAACCGTGCTTGTCGGTTTGGCAGTTGATCCAGTAGAACGGCACATCGTCGCTCTTCTCATCACCGAGGCGCACATCCTGGCAATCCGGTAGCGTATATTGCTCATAGAACCACTGACTCGTCCTGCCTTCTTGCGGTATGAGCTCGTTTACCATCCTGACCCAAGTGTGCGTGTAATTTGCGTTTTCGTCGTAAAGATCTTGGTTGATGAGATCCCAATCAACGCCCCAAGGTGTCGAACCCCCACCACCTTGTTGTTTGGATTGTTGGAAACCGGAACTGCTGTTCTTGGAGAAGATATCGCTCATGTTGAAGCAGGTGTTTGCCTCCGGGATAGTAAGGGTGGTGAGAGCTATGGCTCTGCTGATATCGTTGGCCTTGCAGGAGTCGCCCTGGCTGTCTGGGAAAAAGGCGATGGCAAGTCTGCCATATAATTCATGGGGAGGGCTATAGAACGCTCTATTAGTACAAAATTTCTCGTTAAAATTTGGAAGAATTGTTGTTGATGTCTTACCGCCATAAATCTACATCAGCCCATACACGGGAGAAGGCTGCGAATAAAAGGATGGCAGCTTTCATATTTGCCACAGTAGTCAAATTCTTTGCCAAACACTTTTTACTCAAAACGAAAAAGAGAAGAGGAGTGGAAAATGAAGTTTGAAGAGAGAAAAAGGGAATGTGCGTGCGACGCAAACTCATCCTTTTGTTTCAACATGGTCAATGCGGTTGAGAACAAGATGGAACCACGTCATCAAGTCGACGAAAACTATGCAGTCAGTGGCAAGGACCAACTTTGAGAAGTGGTTGGTATGCAGAGTGAAGCACTGAATGCCATTCTCTCCACTGCAAAGGGGAGACTCGGTGCTGGTTAGTGCAACGCTCAGGGTGTTGATGGGTTGACACAATTGAGGACATCAAGGGACAACAAGAGCACAGACTTTGTAACAACTGTTACTGGTGGAACTTTTCAATATCAATGCCACCTTTCATCAACTTAAACAAAATCTCCGTCTTTCCACAAGCTTTCTTCCAGCGTCGTGTTCAACTCCACCACCATCGGCTCAAGTCAAAGTACTCTCAGTTTGCGAGAAAGGGAACAGTCAATGAGATCTTTAAATAAAGTCACATGGGCACGTGTAATGCATTTTTGTGATTCATACCATTATCTAGCCGAAGAGCGGTCATTCATGTTCTGTGACATGTCAAGACAGGTCATGCAAGTGAAGAGTGCATAATGGGCATGTGCGGATCTGTGAGTTTCTGAGCGTCAATTTGCTCAGATTCCTATTGGTAGGTCGGCACATCAGTGGTTCCAAGATCACTTGCCAAGGCACACCTCTTACATTGGGGCGCAGCAGGGCATATTTTCCTATGCAAGCTGACATCTATCGTGACCTATACATGTAGCAGTCATCTCCCACAGAGAAGTTATCAGTGTCGTATAATTGCGATGCCTGGCCAGCTACTTATCTTGTAGCAACACCATGGATTCTGCATATCAGCAACACTTCAGTGTGCGTAAGATCACTTCTGCGACACCTTTTTCTTCTTCGCCGAGTCCCGCCATCAGCTCCAGCTCGATACAGACAGGTCCGCGTATTCCATGGAACTCTCAATCTCATGGAGCGCGAGGCATAGCTGGGGTGCAAAATAAAAACACCATCTCAAAAGACAGGATACAAGGCGAGGAGCAGCGAATGGTCGATCTTCTAGCGCAACATGGGAACAGAGTCATGAGAACTCAGTATATAGCGCTGAGAGCCGATGCCATTGAAACCGACTCAAACAGCGATGCGGCAGACGCAGACACAGCCTTGCGCACGGCTATCAATGCGGGGAAAAATCAAATAAACGACCTTATCAAAGATTTCAATTCCAACTGGCTGCCTCTTTGTCGGAGATATATCGAGTCACCTCCAAGGGATGCTAAAAAGCGTAACGATGAGCACAAGAGGTTGTTTGAATCCGTCATGGAGAAAATCCTCTTGAAGTCGGATGGCGTGGAGACTAGGGGCGATGCTACGCTTCGACTTAGGCGAAGAGAACTTGTCCGAGAAGTCGATTTTGTGCTTGGGCAGCTTGATAGGGCCCTAAGATCATGATACGGCATACTGCAAACTACGACCCCTTTCTTGTTTCTTCTTCTTGCTTATGAGAATTTCTCTTCTTTTGGATGAGTGTTGATTTAGGAAGAAGCTCGTATCCCGAACGACACAAAACTAGAATCTGGAGCGTCTGGTGAAGGAGGACACATTGCGCTATTTAGACTGTCATGACTGTACTCACAATGTAAGATATTAATTGCGTCTATATATCTCTACCTACTTGTCGATCGCTGCTAATCGTCGGTGCCAGCAATCACGAAATGCCTCAGAGTAAGAGGCTTCGCGTTTTTTACCATTTTTAATGTCTAGCTTCAAGTTACCAAATGCTTAACATGATATGACTGCATGCTCGTTTTAATTATAACATAACCAATACCACACACGATTAGACAATATGTGATGTTTGCGTCACATCACAATGTGTACCTATCTCTCCTTCTTATCCCTCTGTATCTCGTCTGCTGAATATCCCTTGTTCAACTCAAGCAAGTACTCGTCAAACTTGTTCGCCTCCTCAATCACAGCTTGAATATGTTCGTAACCCAGCTTTTTGCGCTGATACATGGCGAGTTGGCGTGCCGTCGATATAGTATTTCGAATCTGACGGCCATTCATGCTTTCATCGGCCAATTCTCCCACTTTATCTTTTATCTCGTCAATGTTTACCCCATAGCCCAGCATTGTGCTATCCTTTTTGTCCTCCCGCCTCTCAGCATCGAGGCGCTCATTTTCGAGTTGTTCCAACCGCTTCAAAAAGTTTATCCAGATCTGTAGCCGTTGGCTTCTATCCAGGCTCTTATAGCGCAAACTAAGTTGGATGCGTGATTTGAAAGCCTCATCAAAAATACCAACGCGGTTGCTCGTCAAGATAAGAATTCCTAGGATGAGAAAAGTTAGCCGCCACATTTGCTTGCAGTTCATAAGGTCTATTGTCACCATCGTAATATTCTAGAACCCGAAGAAAGACGGAAACCAGGGCGTTCCGTTCAAGATTGTAAAGTTCTCGTTGTTGTAGAAAGACGTCCGCTTCATCTAACAAGACAACTGCAAGAAAGCAAGAAATCATGGTTAGAATCAAGATGAAGTGAAAAGTACTTTGCCAGCTTACCGTAACCCCAAGTCTTTCCGAGGTGTAAAACAATCTCCAGATACTATACATAGTTAGCTCTCATCCAACAATGTGTTCTAGACAGCCTCCATACATTTTCGACATCCTGAGCACTTGTGCCAATATCTCCACACGTCACTCTATACAAAGGCTTCTTTGCTATTTCCGCCACGCTTGAATCGTCAGCATCGGATTTATGTAGATCATTTCAACTCTCAAATACCTTTCCGCAGTCAAGGTTTTGCCAGTTCCAGGGCCACTAGTGAACGGACATTAGCTTCTACAGGCTGCATGTGCTTCTTCAGAATGTTTGGTGATCTTACCCGTGGAGTAGAATAAACAGCCCATTACCTTTCCCACGGATGAGGTCTGTATTCTGGGAAGCATGAAGTTGGTTCGTAACTACGGCTTGGATCATGCTTTTGGTTCCCTGGTCGATGACAAGGAACTCAAATGCTTCAGTATTCCACACCACATCTTCTATGTAGTGCACGTTGAGATTGACTGCCATATTATCAGTACTTGCCATGTAAAAGGGTGTAGTCAGACTCGATGAGCCAGAGTGATACGTACTCCATTCTTTTGTCTGCATGTTAAATCCAGCTATCGAAGTAGGAAGGCACAAGAAAAAACTGTCTCCCAACATGGGGTTGTCCTCAGAAAGGAATTTGATCGGTAGTTCCTCCCGATCGTATGAGTGTTGTTCGGCTTCATTGTCCTGATTGCGATGCATTTGTTTATAAGTAGCGATATCTATCATAAACCGAGAATCCATCTATAAAAGAGCATTTGTCAATAAACGAAAAAAAGAAAATTTCGCATGCACAGATAAAAACGAATAGATAGATGTTTAAGCTTATGCGACTTACCGAACTTTGGATCCCATGATCTGTTTTCCCGATGTACGACACGTAGTGGCTTTTGCGGCACTTCCAAAACATGTTACCGCGCTTTCTTAGGGCGCTCACAACCTCTTTGCTGGCATACTCAATTGGATACACCAACATATCGGTAATAGGAAAGTTTCCGGTTTCGGATGGAAGATCTTCGATAGAGAGGTTACTGAAAGACTTGTAAAAGTTCCCGTCGAATTCCCAAGAGTACACCGGCGCTGTTGGTGTGGAACTTTGTTCAGATGGTCTTTGGAGCCAATCTTGAAGAACATATGCTTTGATATGTGCGGTATCCAAGTCTTTTCGTCGCATCAAAACTATTTGGTTAGGAACCTGAAAGGTGAGTGTCTGATGAGGTAGGCTTATGGTGCATGTTTGAAGCTACTCACAAAGAGATAGTCTATGTATTTAGCAGAAATCTTCTTTTCGGCTAGTAATCGATCGACAATTGTCCATTCTTCTGCCATCCGGGTAAAGAGATATTGGAAGAACACATCAAGATATATCTGTGCATCTGGTGACTGTTTTCCTGTCGCTTCTTCGACCTCTTTGCGGCGATGGAACAAAAACATGTAAGGGTACTCTATACTCTGGTCGTCTTTCTCCCTCAGGAGCCGGTGATGGTTCCTTTGGTCTGTAATATCGGCACTCGGGTCGTTTTTCTCCTTTAAGAACGGGTGAGATATCCCATCGAATGCTTTGCTAGCAAGACTCTCCAACGCTAGCTTCAAATCGACTGATATAAGTTGAATTTCCTCCCCAGCTAGAAAATTCGAAGCATCAATCTCCAGCCCCAGCTCAATCTTGCTCTTAACGATTGTAGGCGGAAGGTCGCCACAACACTCGTAATCCTTATAAATAACGAATGCAATCTCTTTGTTTCTCTCAAGAAAAAGGTCAAAGTTATTGATGGCTTTGCTTCCTCTAAGATGGACACGTGGACCATCCTCAACAGCCCACGGCTGTTCAAGGAATAATTGATTGTTGTTTCTCTCGCCAGCAGCGTGGCAATGAACTGAGTAAATGATCTGGGATCGAGGAGGTCCGAGCTTCTCTGTTACTTGGGACCTCAAAACTTCGAGCTCTTTGAGATTTTGCGATGCAACCTCTATTGCTTCAAAGAGATCTTCGTCCGGAATTTGTGAAGACAGATCTAGAAGGCGGCACATCTCCGCTCGCCAATCGATTGTAAGCACAGGACGATATGTTGGAAGCTCCCGTTTCGAACGCGACGATAGTGTGTCATTAAAGTCTAGTGTTCACGTATTAATAATGCCGTATGAGACGGAAAAGACAGATACATGTATGTGTGACTTACCACTTGAGCTATTTGAATCACTCTCATCTCCGCTCACTGACGCAGCTTTGTCATCTTTAGAAGCTTGGCGTCTTGACGAGTTAAATCTCGATCTCCTCTCTCTGGCAACCGGGTGCCGCTGTCGCCGAGCATTTGAAGAAGGCATGGCATGTGAGTCCAGGATGACTGCTTGGGTATCTTGCGAAGTTGAAATGATTGATGGTATCACATTCAGATGCCTCCGCAGCTTGAGTACATGCAGCTTGTGCGGAGTGTTTACATACAGATAGCGTCAACAGACAGAAGGAGGTTATAATACACCCACTAGACACGTATTCATTTGGGGGACTCTCGGGATCCTTGTGCTACATGTGAGTTGATTGGACTCCCGGCGTTTCACAGGTGCGGAGTAAGGATTCTAGGCCACCATGTCATAAAAACAGCGTGAATATGAGGAAGTATTCAGGCATACCACAGCGTTTATACCCTTATTTATTGTTGAGTTCTTTGCTGAAATGGGACCGCGACCGAAGCATTATTTCCTTGCGCCGATTGGGAACCCTCTGAACGGACAGATCAAATTAGGCAATATTATCGCGCTCCCAAGACTTGCCGATGACCCCATCAATGAGAATAATGTTTCGTTAACCTCCATCCCAATGGAGATTATTGAGCATAATGAATATGATTACACGTTCAATGTGAATGCGAAAAGCGGCGGACAAATCGGTATCTGGGCATCATTCTTGCAGACCATAGGCCTAAGAGCAGAAGCAACCCTAGAAGACAGCCGTCAGCATAGCGAACAATGGGCCTTTGAAAAGTTACAGACAATCTCCTTTGCACCAAAGCTGGCGTACATTGCCAAATGCCTAGAAGACGATGGCGTGCGACGCTTCTTGCGGATAAACAAGCCGTCTTTCGGGGCCTCACATTTATACATGATTACCGGCATCAAAGTCGCGTACGGTGCTTCGTCCGTCATTCAGTACGCAAAGAAGAAAGGCATAGCCCTGCGCTTGGGGTCAGGTATCACAGGGAACCATGTTGGGCCTGAGTTTTCCAGGAATGACGAAATTGGAGTTTCTCAGTGGCAGGGCGGAGCCGATCCGTTTGTTTTTGCTTTCCGTTTGCGAAGAATTAAATTGTCTTTGTCGAGAGAGATCAGTCACGAACAGTACAATAAAGGAGCCATGCTTGGTATCAAGGAAGACGAAGATGATGAGTCAAGTGCACAAATTCCTATTTTGCTGAGGATATTGAGAGCGATGAGGATGTGTATGGGTCTGAATTCCAGCTGGAGAGCAGGGATGCGCGGGATGGGCCTTCGCCTGGAGATGGCCTTTGCCAATGTGTGATATCGGAGGACTAAATCCAACAGGCGAGGTTTGAAGACCAAAAATTAATTCAAAGCTTCATCTATCATATTGCCTCAAATCTCCCCTTACAAAGGAAAGACTTCCGACCCTACAGCGAGTCCAAACTCATTTCTTAGTTGGTCCACAAGGCAGTAAGCAGTGAACTCTCTAGGCTGTCCAGGCTTGCCGAGGAGTGTCCATGGTAAGAGAAACTTGAACCTGTCAGGCCCTTTCTCGGCGCTCATTCGCTCGAGTATGGCAATCATGGCTGACATTTCCTTCAAACTATTTTGCACCGATTTGCTTGCTTGAAGAGGAGGCTGCCTTGCAAATTCCAGTACCAAAGCGACTATACCTGCAGCTATGGCACAAGCAAATGATGATCCATTGTAGAGATCTGCTGAATGAGGACTTGTGAGTTTTGTACCAGGTGCACTAAACCTTCGGCCTCTGCCATATGAGGACACTGATGATGCTGTTGCTCTCGTGTACTCGCCGAATCCGTCAGCGGCATCTATCGCAATGACTTCTGGCGCCCGAGAAGGATATAAAATGTCATTCGGGGGACCAAGTAGACCATCATTGGACGTAGAAGCAAACATGTGAACTCCTTGGCGGCGTGCGAATCGGATCGCGTTTCTAACACCATCATGATCATCAAAAGCCCATCCAAAGGACATGTTAACAATATCAACACCCCATCCACCTTTCTCTGGATCCTCAACAGCCTTCTTAATCGCTCTTTCTACAGCCTCTTTGTCAGGAAAGAGCTCTCGGTTGCCATCTTTGCTGGATGTGGCTACACGACAGATGTATAGAATGGCGCTGAGGCTAACTTTGAGCAACTGAACAGCGACCGCTGTGCCATGGCCTGAAGGATCTTTCATGGCTTCCAAATCCGTCTCGTTTTCAACAAAGCTGGCAAACTTCTTGATACGGTGTATATATGGTTTCAGAGACTTCTTGTCGTGTTCTTCAGTGTAGGCGAATCCGGTGTCTAGCACGGCAATTTTAACAGGCTTGAATGAGCTGTCTTTTGCGCTACTAGAAGAATATAGAGCAGGATGGGTTTTCGAATTCAAGTTCTTGAACCATGATGTGGGTGAACTCTCGCTACTAATTGTTAGTTAAGAAAAGTAGAAGAAAGAGAACAATACGCGATTTCGTACGTCACCCCAGAATCCGCAGCTTGGAAACGTCCAAGGTCACTTTCACTTCTATGACTACCTGCAATTAAATGTTGGCGCACTTCCTTTCGTATGCCGTTAACTAGATCCGATGGCGTGGAAATCCGGGCAAATGTCTGTTTTGTGGTCTCCGTATTGTTCGTTGACGCCGGTAGCGATGCGAGAGTTTGTGGTTTGTTTGACTGTGGTAACAGAAAGCCTGCTTTCTGAGACTTGGATAAATCGTGTACATGCGGCGGAGATTGAGGCGCCCTATCAACTGACATAACGCGAGTTGTGGCTCCAAGATGTCCATCAATACTCCGGCCAGTCAGCATCATAACTCTCAGGTCTGTCTTCTGGCTCCGAAGTTTGTGGATCAGATTGGAAAATTGAGCGGGCCAGGAAAATGCATCTCTAGAATGCTGGCGAAGAATCGAAATATCCAGAACTATATATACTTGCTCTTGGTGAGATAGTGACTCTTCGATACTTGCAAACCAATCTTCATGAGAAGCGGTTTGGAAGTGGGATGTTGTCTTGGCTAGAAAGGATAGTGCGTCATTATCTAGAAATAATGTTATGTTATTCTCGCCTGACCTTGGTATTATCTGTATGCATTGGCTAGCAATTTGGCGCAGGACATCATCACCTCTGGAGATTGAGAATTCGTAAAAGGCTGCTGGCAATGGGTTGAGAAGGAAAACAGTCAGACACCGTTCCTGAATGTATTCTACCAATTCCACGCTGAATTTCTCCAGTCGCTCTGCAGATTGCGAAGTGCCCTGAACTACAAGGACAGAGGGTTCCGGGCCAGAAATCCATTGTGCTAATTCGCGTCTTTCCCAAATATCGGCAGTATAGGTGTGTTTGCCTGAACGATGGGCTTGAAGCGCTTTGCTGCGGTCCTTGGCGTAATTTTGATCGACAACAGTAGCATCTCTGCAAAATGCTGGTACCTGCCACAGCAGAGAAAGGTTGTCGAGATGTAGAGGCGCTTTGCTTCCGGCTTTAGACTGGAGCGATTCTGCGTACTCATCATCACCGGTCAACTTCAACTTGAGGGTATGTCGCAATGAGAGTGCGCATGTGCATACCACTGGTTAGATTCGAAAGTAGAGCTAGAAGAGCACTATGATACCGTTGACCGGTATTTTGCTGTTTAAGATCGATGATGCCTAGATTCTTCTTCTCTTCGACGCCACGATTCTTATTCGTATCAGATTCCAAGATGCGTATCTGTCTTTTAATCTCGTCGACAAGACACTGATGCGGGGGATCCATAGTATGTTGCTAGCTGGCTGAGTTGATTGCCGCTGCTATTCGTTTATTTGTCGCCCACCAGGCGCCCTGGTGTTGAGTACAGTATCGAGGAGGGGGATTCGAATGGTAAGGTATGGTATATTTTCATGGTTCATTGCGAATCATCAGCTCGGTTAGAAATTTGGAGACATTCGGAATCTGACGGATGGATTCTTATTGGTGGTCAAGGATACCTGTAAATTCAGTCTGCACAACTGCTGCTACCAAAACAGCCCGCCAGTGCCAGTGGGGGACAGTAATTACCGCCTGTCTGCTGCTATAAGTTTGTCTGCGATGGGCGGCGATGTAATGGCATGGATTTGTCCATCGTATGCCCGCCTCTGAAAGATGTACCTAGCCGAGCGGCAGTCGGAGAAACAAACACACGCAGTGTAGAGGTGAATGTAAATCAACGGAAAGCTTCAAATCGTCTACCTAGATGTGGTGACAGTTGCCATAATTTAAAAAAAAAATACAGACTGTCATTGACAAACCCATCCGGTGTGGTAGGAGTAACAACAGCAATGGAAGCCCTCCTGAATTGATTTTATTGGGAAACAAAAAGTTGGAAGGGAGTGGAGAAAAAAGATAGGTAAGGCAGAGGGATGAAAGAACAAGAAAGCAGTCGATATCAAGATGCTACAATGAAAAGAGGGGGCAAAATATATCTGAAATGATTATCTGCTATTCAAGACATCATATTGGCATAAACCCATCGTGATGGGATGCAGAGCAATATGTTACAAGACGAAGTTGGACATGACGAGATGAGCATTTTTACTCTGACGGCAACTGAAAGACGAAAACTGGAATTCGCTCTTCCAGTGTCTCAAAATATTCAAATCAGGGTTAGGGAGAGTAGGGCAAGCCCGAAGCGAGTTACGAGTGACCTCCAGGGCTGTAGCTCACCTCGAGCTCAGACTTGGCAGCTGCCCACCAGAACGCCTTCCCCTCCCCCTTTCCCTTTCTCCAGGAGACACTGCAGGTCCTCTATGACTCAAAGGCTGAGGTACTCTTTCTCTTTGAAACATCAGGCCATTTCTTTCCCCGAACACCTCAGTTCGTCACAGCCTCAACTTTCTTCCATCACCACTGTTTCTCTTTCATCCGTCCAACGTTAGAACCTAGAATCAGAACCACGCATCCTCACTACTGCTATGAACTAGAATAGCTGATACCATCCATTCTACGATGCATTCCCCGGCCAACGATACCAGCGGATCGGAGCTGAGCCCTCGAGAGATCGAGGTCCTCATCACCATCGAGCGCACTGGTGCAGGCCTCTCCATGGTAGCCATCACGCTCACTATCCTGTCTTTCTTCCTGATTAAGAAGCTCCGTACCACTCCGAACATGTTCATCGTCCTGGCTTCCATTGCCAATGCTGGTGCGAGCATCGCTTCCATGATTGGCTACGATGGCCTCGACAAGGGCGAAGGCTCTGCTCTCTGCCAGGGACAAGGTTTTATCTTTGAATGGTGAGAACTCGAACTTTCGGTTACCCATACTCCTATAGAGCGACAAATACTGATATGGTGTTTAGGTTCATGCAGTCTGATCCCTGGTGGTCATTTGCCATGGCGTTCAATGTGTTTCTCGTCTTCTTCTTCAACGCTAATCCCGCCACCTTTCGGAAGCGCATCTGGATTTACTGCATCATCTGCTTCGGTGGCCCTCTGGTGCCTGCCGTTGTCTTGGTCTCTATCCACGACGATGCCAAGGGTCCCGTCTTTGGGAATGCGGCAGTGAGACGTTCTGCTCTACCCTTTGGGATTTAGTCACTGACACTTGGCCAGCTTTGGTGCTGGGTTGATTCAAACTGGAGTCTAGTACGCCTCTACGCCTATTACATCCCCATATGGATCTGCATCTTTGGATCAATCGTCATCTACGTCGCCGTGGGATATCACGTATTCCGCACCCGGAACCGCCTTCGCAACTTTGCAGTCCGCATCCCAATCACAGCTGAGAGAAGTGAATCGGGTGGAGCCAGCGAAGCTGGAGATTCAACTGAAGAGGTACGAAATGGAAGCGTGTCCTGATGGTCACTTTGTGTCATACTGACTAGTTTTCCAGAGCCTCACCCGGAGACAAGATTACTATGGCACTGCAACCACTGAAGTCCAGATCACATCAAACACGCCCGACAATGATGACCTCTCTCTTCCCATGATCCCTCCTGCCATCTACTCTCACGGTCCCGCCATTGTGTCCTGTGGCCGGTCGTGGGCAGTACCTCAAGCAGCAAGTTACTATGGTCGAAGCACTGAGAGACTCCCCGAGCCGAGCGCAGCTCTTCCTTCTACGCGGCCACACCTAGCGCAGTCAGTGTTCTCGTACCTGTTGAAGATGAAGTCGAGTGCTTCCATGAAACTGAAGCGACTTGATCCGGTTAAAATGGCCTACTTACGCACCAGCTTCATCTTCGGTTTTGCCATTTTGATTACCTGGATCCCAAGCTCTGTCAACCGGCTCTACAGCCTCACGTATCATGGTCGCGTTGACTTCCAGCTCAGCATTGCCAGCGGGTGTGTGTTGCCGTTGCAGGGGGTTTAGAATGCCCTCATCTACTTCACCACGAGCTAGGGCACCGTCCGTGAAGAGTTGAAGGCTTTCAAAGACAGCATTTGGCCAATCCCTCGCCGAGGCTACCGCAATACCGTTCGTATGGATGGCAGATTGGATGTCGTGACATACGGCAATCGGAACACGCTCGAGTTGCCTTCCATGGCCCGACTCAAGGCCTCGCGTGTTTACGATGATGACGAGCTGGAGCTTTCAGAGCGCTTCCGTTGAAGCTTCTCCAGCTAATCGAGACCCGGGCAAGAGTATCGTTGCGAGATTATCTTTCCAGTCAGTAAAGAAGGACCGGGGCATATCTTTTTCTTTCTTTCCACATTTCATCAGTATGGAAGTGGTTATGGATGTTTGTGAGGGAGCCATATATGTTGGCGGGATGATATTCTCCTCTCCACTCAGATTTTACAATTCTTGGTAGGTTCATAATATTGAACTAGCAGATAGGGAGCCATGTGCTATAATATTAATAACGTTACGATCTGGTCCTGATTTTTAAACCTTTCTCCATTTGATTGCGCAGTTCTACGCGTGCTTTGCATAAATATCTTCGCCCTCAGCAGCATCAACGCCATCACGGACTACGGCGGCAACAGCTTCGTTGATATCATCATCCCCCTTGAGTAAATCTATCCACCCGCTCTTGACACCATCAGCAGCAAGAATGGCATCAGCGACATGAGCTACAGTTTCCCTAGAAACTTCCCCTTGGACGTTCTTGTTTCTACCTAGTGTGACGTTTCCCTTGGGATCATCCGTCAATCTGCCCGGGCGGAGGTCAATGCCTACCAAGGTTGGGCTCTGCTTGGAAACTTCGTATAGGACTTCGTCGGCGGCGATCTTGGCTTGGTAATAGGTCGCCAGTACGCCAAAGTTGATGTTCTTGTGGTAGTCTTCCCATTCGCTGGCGGTCCACCAGGGAGCTGCTTTGCGACGGGAGCCGTTGTAGGAAACGAGGAGGAAGCGGCTGATGGACGGTTTGGCGGCGGCGGCGTTGATGAAGTTGATTGCGGCGTCGCGGTCGATGCGGTATGTGCCTTCAGCACCGTATTTACCACCGGCACCTAGCAGAGGTGTAAGTAATGATGGTGGATAGCAGGATAATTCAATGAACATACCGGCACTCCATGCGACGTAGTCTGGGTTGACCTCGTCCAAGATGCTCGCTGCCTTCTCCTGGCTATCGACGTCTTCAATGCTTCGGACAAGGACGCTGAGCCGGCCTGGCAATCCAGCGCCGAGCTTTTCGACGGCGGGCACCTGTTCTTGTTTGCGGATGACGCTGGTGACGGTCCAGGAGCGCTTGAGGAGCAGTGGGGTGAGGAGCTGGGCGATTTTGCCGTGGCCGCCGAGGATGAGGACGTGGTGTGGTGAAGCCATTTTGACAAAGCGTTTATGATACCGTGCAAGTAACGATTTACGATAGAATGCAGTTAATGTAAGAATCTTGAACCTACAGTAAATGGACCGATCTATTGAAAGCTGCAGCTAAGGAGCAAACGAATCTACACCAAAGCTCCAGAAGCGCTGTCGAGCTTATTAAATACCTGCAACTCCGTAGTACCTTGGTAGATACAGACTCGGATGCACCACGGCTCGGATAGCTTCAGGAAGCTATCCGAATGGGATCACGCAAGGGAGGGGCATGACGACACTTTTTGCGCGAGGAGGGCGGGGCAGAAGCAGCAGGGATTGTTTAAAGCCGAATTGAAAGTATGGAAAGCTGATGGAAGAATCTGACATTGGCGGAGATAAAAGTCTGTTTTTTAGGTGCCGAGGTGTTAGAGATGTTGTTGTTGACAACCACCCAAGGTAAAAGTAAAAGTTGATTTATAATGACTCTGGTGATGAAGTAGAGAGATGATGGCTCAACCTTGGCATCAGCATCACTGGGGGAACAAAGAATACGAGGCCAATCCAGCAGCTCAGGTTCAGACATTCCAACAGCATCAGTATTATCAAAGCGTCATACAAGGTGGCAAACAGCAAAACCATCTTTTTACTGAGACATGATGAATCTGTCTTATGTCAGCACGCATAAGAGCCTCTGATCTCAGTGGCATTCTGACAAGGGGGACTGCTGATCGGCACTATTGTTGCGTCTGAAGCTTGATTTTGTTCCGTTTCTTTGTGTAGCCGCCCAATCTCACGAGATGCGCCGGATCTGCTGTCCTCAGCACTACGAATACTATTCTTTCATCTCACTAATGCTGTTTCTTTTTGAAAAATATTAAACGAGCCCACAGCTTCACGTTTGACAAACACTTTTTCCAGATTCCAATCGGGTGGATGCATCGTCTACAGGGCTTTCAGCTGCCCCTCATTCTCACCCTAGACTCAATCTCTCTTTTTCACAAAGTACGTACATGACATCCAGCTTCTACAGGGGCCTCAATCGCGTCATGTCCAAGTCTGTTTGCATTGTCGGTTAGTTGCACGAGAATACAACGCTCCAAATCGCAGAAATCTCTTCTAACGACTCCCAGGCGCTGGACCTTCCGGTCTTGTTGCGGCAAAGACGCTCCTCCACAATGCACCCAAGGGACACTTCAAAGTCAGCATCTTTGACAGCCAAGCCGCCATTGGAGGGCTATGGCCGACCTCAAAGACCGACTCAGGACGTCTGGTACATCCATTGATGGTTGCGAACCAGAGCAGACACACGGTTCAGTTCAGCGACTTGGCCTGGGAAGACGATGCGCCGCAATTTCCGCGCGCATGGCAGGTTGGCAAGTATTTGGAGCAGTATCAGAGCAGATACCTCAGCGGCAATCCCGATTTCGAGCTTCGATTGAAGAGCCGCGTGGCAAAGGCAGAGAAGCGGAATGATGGTACCGAAGGCTGGAAGATACACATTCAGTCGGGGGACAGCGAAGAGGCGAGGGATTTTGACTACTTGATCGTTGCCTCTGGATACTTTGGCAAACCCATTATCCCCGAATGCTTCAAAAACGCAAAGACGTCGGTCCCAATCATCCACAGCAGCCAGTACCGCGACTTGAAGGGGCTTTTAGGAGAGGGTAAGGAAAAGGGAGGCAAGATTCTCATCGTCGGAGGACAAATGTCTGGCGTTGAGATTGCAGGCACCATAGCGAGTCATCTCTCATCTGCCGTCAACTCCCCGGAAGAATCAGAAATCGCTGGGATCGACAAATACTCCATTTACAATGCGATTCAGCGACCTATTTGGGTGTTTCCTCTGTTCACCAGCCCCGAGGTAAGCTGACTTTCCCCCGTTAAACGTCTTACCACAGTGCTCACATGCATCAGCCCACGTTTACGGCAGCTCCCTTTGCACCTTTAGATCTAGGCTCTTACAACGTCAACAACCGGCCCAGGCCACTCGAGAATACACAGGGCCATATCAGTGATGAGCATGCAAATATGGTTCATACCATCTTTGAATCCTCGCTCGGTGACCAAGAACAATTCTCTCCTCTATTGATGCCTAACCAACAGGAAAGAGACCAACCGGCATATCTAGCTGTTAGCGACTGGTATAGCGAATTCGTGAGATCCGGGATGATTACTCTGTCATTTGGCAAAGTCCTTTCCATGGAGGGCGATCTCGTTACATTGGACGATTATGGAGCTCAGATCGACGACATAGCTGCGGTAGTCCTTGCCACAGGCTTTGATCCCTCTCCTTGTGTCGATTTCCTGCCAAAAGAGATCCTCAACACGCTCCAGCACTCCCCAAAACATCTCAGTCAGGCACTTGCCTTGGCGTTCCACGGCACCCACCACCCAGAGGTTCCAAATCTCGGATTTGTTGGATTCTATCGATCTCCGTACTGGGGAGTCATGCAGATGCATGCCCGATTGCTTACTGATCTATGGTCTGGTCAAACCGGTTCGAAATTAGAGGCGCTGGAGCGAAAACTCCAAACAGACGACTCCATCAAGCGAACACTCAGCTTGCGAGATGATCCTAGGCTTTCACAGTTCCCCATGGGTGACTACATGTACCTCATGCAGGAATTTTCCGAGGCGCTTTCCATACCCATGCACGAATCCATCATGCCAAAGAGTCCGACAACTTCTCGAAATAACCTTCCTCTCGATACGCTCACGCCTGCTCGATACCCGTCCCCCAGTGATAGCCCCGAAGCAAAAGCCGAAGCTGAGAAATCGTTGAAGCAGACTCGCGACGTTGCTGTCGAATGCCTTACGACCCACCGTTTCGTCGCACGAGGCGTTTTTAGAAGCCTTCTCGGCACATGGCGACTCGAACGCGATCTCAATAGTCGACTTCCTTCTCACCCGAGCGGCAAGTTTGTCGGCACAGCCCAGTTTTTGCTCCGTGAAAGGACGCCGGAGGGCCTTCAGTGTGCCTCTGATCCAAACAGCATTGATGCCTGCGACGAGAATGGCGGTGGAGAGGATCTGGAATATCTGTATATTGAAGACGGCGAGTTCCAAACATCGGCTGGTTTCGGATTCAAGGCGACTCGTCGGTACATCTGGCGCTACGACTCTAAGAAAGACGTCATCGGCGTATGGTTTGCCAAGCCAGATGACCAGAAGCGCGCAGACTATCTCTTTCACGAAATCGAATTCGAAGCGCCCCCGAAGGACAACGAGAAGCGCGAAAAGGAAGGCTGGGCGGCAAAGGCTGGACATCTTTGCATTGACGATTACTACAATGTCAAGTACAACTTTGCATTCAAGGCTGTGAATTTGGAAAACTGGAGTATAGAGTATACTGTCAACGGTCCGAAGAAGGATTACACGATTCATGGCACGTATGAGCGGATCTGAGCGCTGCTTCTGGCGCTACAAAACACAGGAGATGATTAGATACAAGTGCGAACGTTTAATACAACAAGTACTCGAAATCAGATGATTACAATCCATTGCAAGGCATCATATTTAACATCCAGTCCAACTCTATCACAACTTCGTAAACACTTTGCATGGCTTGGGATCCTTCGTAGATGTGTGTCCTAACTTGTTTGTACTTGGGAAAAGCGGCAGGATATCTGGCAAGGAACTGAAGGCGACCGGTGGCTGTTCTGTAGTACGGCGAGCGTGGTCAATGGAGGTTTCAAAGGATGGGTCTTGGGGACGAGACTACCTCATGGCCGCATCGCCCAGGCTCATGGCCATACGTAGTCTTGCTACGAATGCGGTTGATGCAGGCTGTACATCACGATATCGAGAACAATGGGCAGCAAAGTGCCTTCTCAAAGGGCGCCAGATATCATCGTCTTTCTTATACGACTTGTAGGCGGCGCGTAGTGTGGGAGGCCATGAGATTGGCCATTTGGGCTTGTATGTGGATTCACGCTGAGCTGCATGCTGGGCTTTGAGCATGGAATGGAGGCTTCGGAGAGATTGGAGTGAGATTTCAAGTTCATGCAATCGTTTCATGGCAATGGATAAAAGGCCGTCTGTTGGTTGGAATGTATGGCTTAAAGAGATTTCTGGGCGGTACTTCTTGTCGTGATTGGCTGATGAGCAGTCTTTGTTCGCATTTTGGATGGAGCAATGGAGGTTCACGTGATGGTTATGCTTTCTTTGATCTGATGGACAAGTACATGCGCAAAAGGACTCAATTAACGCTGCGCTTTGAGCAAGAGTCCAAGCAGGCTTCATTACTTGATGGGAGCACATGATGTGTGAGAGGAGATGGCTTGATGGGACAGTGGGAAAAGAGATGTGATAGGTTGGCGAAACATGGTGGCCAAGTCTTTGAGACGACGAATGATCTAAATACTTTGTTGAAAGGATGATTGAATTGATGAGTGAACAGTAATGGCGGTCTTTGTTCGTGTTTTGACATTGTAAGCGCTGGGCCTGAACAATGTGGGTTGAACGACCAGTGACGCGTTCCATTTCGGAAATCTCATCTCGAAGAGACGAATAATTGGCTGCGAGTTGTTCATGGCGGTTCTTTGTGTTCAACGGATGTAACCAATTCTTTCACCGTTCAAAGGAAATATTCAGCTGTGGCGAGGCATGCATTGAAGTTGGACACATTATGACCGGCATTAGATGGGATGGGAGACCGAAGTGACCATCTGCAAATGAATATATATATGCCTTACGGCGCCAGTCATTGCTTGCATTGGTTGCCAAACTTTCGCTTGCAAGATAGCAATCTTTCACCAGCTCTGCCCTACAAATCCCACCACTTCATCGATCAACATCTTTTAGTTATACCTGTCGTTGATAAGACAGCACTGAAGCCATGGATTACAGACCGAGTTCCGAAAATTTCCACCAGGCGTTGGAATGTATGGACCTGGAAGTCATTTTTGCTGCGGAGATTGCCCACGATTCCGGCAAACTTTCTGACAAGGGAGGCTACGAGTTCACCATTGTGCAATGCGAGGACAATTTGACGCATCACCAAGATCTCCAGAAACGAGGTATATTCAAGCAACTTCCTAAAGACAAACTTTCAGAAATGATTCCATTTCACAACGAGGTCGTAAAGCCGTTGGTCCGATTCTTTACATACGAGACCCAAACGGGTGCTCCCGAGGATAACGTGCCTCTTGAGGACCGCTATACTGCATTTTATTATCTTCAATATGCCTGCAACCTAGCGGCCAGGTATAAGACAGATGAGAATAATGTTGAAAAGGACTTTCACATGAGGGGCGTGTCTCCCAGTGTGAAGATCAAGATGCTTGAAAAGATCCCTAACACATTCTGTGGGCCGAATGGGCGGCTTGCTCTACAGCATGTAGTCGCCTGGGTGAAGAATCGTTACGAGAAACTTTTAGTCGAAGCGCGGACGAGTTGCTCAGGCACAACTCAAATGGGTCCAAGTAAGTTCAAACCACATCTTCCCACTCTCTAATCGATTCATTCTCACAGGTGATCTCTGACAATAGACAATTCCCTGTTGAATATCCTCGTTGTGGATGGTCTCAAGAACTTTCAACAGCGCATCTCAAAAGATAAGCTTGAACAAGATGAGGTGGTAAAAGCTAGCGAACACTGGGCTAGCGGAAGGGTTGATCAAGAGCTGTTCGTCATAGACAGGCTGGAGACTTGCCTCAAATAACCTAGTCAAGCCTTGCAGGATCAGAGTACCTGGAATGTCTGCGAGTAGTTCTGGGTGTTCAGCGGAAATAACATTTCCTCTAGCTCACAGAACGGATGGTTTTCTTCACTTTCTGCCTATTTTCAAATGGAGTAGAGACGGAAAATTCCAGTACAGGTTGCTGGCCGTTTTGCTTTTTATGGGTTATGCGATTCGGGACGCTGTTTGGTTTGAGGGAGACGCGCTGGCTGCGTTTGTGTGTCGTTATCAGTATTGAGGGTAGGAATAGTGGTAACTCTGTTTCTACCATTGTGTCTCTGCGATATTTCTGCAAGAATCACGATTTCATCATATATTAACCCTTGAGATCCCTTACTCATACAACTGTGATATTAAACATTAAATATTTGTAGTCGTTTATGGTACAGACAGCGATCCAGCGCAGCGTCTCCAGCAGCAGCAGTTAATTCACCAAGATTGTGCAGACCCAGCTACACAAAGCAACAAGTAAAGCCACCAGCACCCACCGCAGCTCAATGGTAAACTTGGTTTCAAGCCAGCGCTGCCATGCCTTCATGCCTCGTCGGCGACTGGGACAAGTGGGAGTTCCGTAGATGATGCATCCCAAGCCAGGCCGTGATTCGCACTCAATGTGCTCTCGCCGGCGTTTCATGAGTAGCCTGTTTCAGATCAGCATCTCGCTTACAAATATGTCTCTGATTCAATGAGAGAAAACAAAGTGTGTGACTTACGCTACGCTGCCTCTGCAGAATCGCAAATCCGTGCCCAAATCACAGCGCCCGTTGTTCGGACATTCTAGATGAAGACGGCGGCGCTCAATGAGCCACTCCACCTTGAGGTCGACGTCGGTGTCGACGAAGCTGTGGAAATACCGATTGGTGTATTTGAGGGAGAGCGCATCGGGATATATCAGGAGTTTGGAGATTTGAAGGTGAATTTCTATCGGCAGGCTGAGGAATGATGCCCGCGGCTCATGTTTGTCTTCCATCATGTCGGTTTCCGTTTCCGAGGGGCTGCGGTTGATATCGGAGCTGCATTTCGTGATGGTGGAGCTCATGGCGGAAGAGTCGGGAGAAGATGTGAGGAGAAGAAAACCAGCGTGATGATTGCTTTGCCGAGAAATCAGGGGAAAGTAAGGGATTATGGACAAACACTGAATCAAGGTATGGTGTTTACTTCAAGACGGCTGGATCATGATTGTTTTGTTTATGTATTTGATGGCTGCCTCCGTGTTAGTGAATGCCTTGGTCTAAGCCAGGGCGGCACGGCCACCCCAAACAAATAGAAGAGACATTGAGCCCAAATATGAACTAATGCCAGGCCCCCAAAATACGAGCCGCCTCAGGTGACGGGGAGCCGAAACAACGGGATCGCTGATCGGGCTATGCAGAGCTGCTGCACAACGTCAAACGTGTTCAAAACTGCAAGGCAGCTCCATTTGCAAGGGCCTGGGTGGCTGGCCCATCGCGTCCATTAGTGGAGGCCTTGCTGCATTTGACACTTGTGGCCGCTAGGTCAGGCAGCGATCGAGGACTTGCGGGTGCCTGTTGATCCCTGTAGCTGCTCAAGTGATGGCTGTAGATCCCGTGAGATGTGGTTTTGTTTACATGGATGTGGTGTGATTGATTGGTGTGTGGCCCTGATTCAACATGACTGCCGTGGAGGGGGGAAACGTGGCTTCGTGCTAGATGATCTGGCTGCCTTTAGCATCCAGGCACACAATGTGCGCCGAGGAATTAGACGTCAATGGTGATAAGACCAAGTTACCCCGGGAATATGAAGCTTGAGCGCTGACTCCTTGTCAAGGACTCACGAGTCCTGGCGATCCGAGAGGCGTGTGCAAGGACTGGACTCTCCAAGGACTCATGTCCGCTAGTTGCGGCTGAATACTTGATCCACGCCACGTAAAGACACGATGCCGTGTTATTCTATTTTTGTAACTCGCGACCAATTGATTAGCCAAGAAATTGACTACGGACAAGCTAAAAAGACACAAGTCGAATTACAGCAGAGGATATTGGCAAACCATCAGTTGTGCTAGTCGTGCCGAGCCACGCCACCTATACCTCTTCATTCCCACTGACTTGCTTCCAAAGAGTCAAGCTATTTAGCGTTCCCTTCCGTACTAAAGGCACAATCTCGTCTCACTGTTCTCTGCTTCCATCGTCGTCCTCATCACCATGCGGCAGCTTTGACTTGAGCCGCCTCCTTTGGTGTGCAGTTCGTCGAGGCTTCTTGGGGCTAGGGAGACGGGGCACATCGTACACATTACTGTAATCCTCTCCGACCTCGTCTCCCTCGTCCACTGGCAGCCGCAGTTTCTTATTTTTTGGACAGTCCGATAGCTGCATTGCCCAGTCACAGATCTCATCGCCTTTGTAGCCGTAGATGCAGGCCAGTGTCAGCACGAAGAGGGTCACTGGTATTCCCGTTACCCAGAATAACCCTTGCTTGTAATGCATATCTCTGACATCGGCTGTGTTCATGCCCATGAAGCTCGAAACAAAAGACATGGGTAGGAAGAACAGCGTTACAATCGTAAAGACTCTGATTGCTTTTCCATGATCTTCTTCCATGATTTCAATGTCCTGTTTCACCTGTTCTTCTAAAAATCTCGACCGCGTCTTCATGTTCTGTACTTCTTGTATTCGCATGTCGAGTTGTCGTGTGTGATTGTCTTGGTACGCCTTTTCGACACGATTCTGCCCGACTCTTGTCATGGTAGTAAGGCGAAGGGTATCGGGCGAAATGGACTTTGCAAACTTATGCAGGCACTCTCTCTGGTTGCTTAGCAGAGAGTCCAGACCGTCGAGTTCTTCTTCCAGATTGCGAATATTCAGAAAGACCCGCTTCTGAGGGCGCTGATTGGCCCGGTACTGAAGCTCTGAAGCATAATGTTTATACAACTTGAGAGTATTGTCGTTGTGGCGTGGATTTGAGGTCTTGGCCTCGAATAGTAAGTTGTGGCTCTTGGAAATAAAAGCCAAGGCCAAGAATTCGGCTCCAGCGGCCTGGGGTTCGGGGGGCCTTTAGATATCACTGGATGTATTGCCGGACAAGAAGATGTCTCTTTTGGCATGATCCAACAGATCCAACATCCGGTCTTTTGCAGTCTTCTCAAACCTCTGCAGCTCGTTGATCTTATGCGAAATCTCAGACAGGTCAATTCCCGAGGATGCCTTTATTCTCGTCATCAAAGATAGCCTCTCTGATCGGAGGACAAATACTTGCACCATCTTTTGTAAAGCGTAAAAGATATGTTTTGGTAGTGGCGGCCCTACCGTCAGATCACCCATTGAATCATCTTCCTTGGATGTCACCATAGCGTGCAGCTCATTCAGTCGAAGTGCAAGCTCGGAGAGTTCTCTTTCGAACTCTTGTACATTGCGAAGTAGACCATTTCGCTCATTTCGCACAGAATAGTGTGAGTGCCAGATACGATGCAGCCAGGAGTAACACGGATCGTCGTACGGCCTTTTCCCTCTGTGGTGGCAATCGAAATGTTCGTCGTGGAAATGCTTCAGCGCCTCTTCTGCCGACGAGTAGTGTTTTCCTCCTCTGCAATCCCCGCATTTGGCCCAGCTTGTCTTTTGAGAGTCAGGAGATTGGCCTCTGCCCATTCTTTGAAGGGTTGCAGAAAAGTCGCGAATCATGTATGTTGGTACGTGGTGAGGTTCGCGTTCGCTCTCTTCCCAGATGAGTTGCTACAAGCCACTTGTGTCAACGAGTGAATAGATGATGGAATGGTGTACTCTTACTCGGCGAATTATATCCATGCAACTCCAAAACCGCTTCACGAGAATGTGCACTGTTGAGCTACCCGTCTTTGGCAAAAACGACCACAGAACCTGTCGGCTGACTGTGACGAGCTGCTTCATCAACTCTTTATCAGGGCTCCAAATACCCAACGATTGCGCCTGCTTCATAGCGACATTGTCTTGTACCATAGCAGACAACGTTATTTCTGAATCAGTACTGTTCTTCTTAACCTCCTCCATCTCTTGATGGGCATTTCCTCTGGCGTGATCAATTGTAGATACGCTATTCGGCAGATTGTTGTCTTTCGCTGTAATATGAGCGGCCATCGAGCCAACATTTTGATGAGTAGGACTCTCTTTCGCAATACTTGGATCCTCTTCTTGTAAGCTTTGACTCGGAATATCTTGCCGAGAGTCAAATTCTTCCTCTGTGAGCTCTGGAACTTTAGCATAGTAATACATGCCCACTGGACTGTTGGAAATGGCCTCGTCTGCTTCATTAAGAGGTTTAATCATGTTTGCCTCTTTGGCGCTTCGCAAAGTACTGGAGCTCGTTGGTATGCAGGGTCCCTATAAGAAAAAAGGAACTATTTCCGAAGATTTGGATCCTTGTTGATTAGCAGAAGGATATTTGCCACTGGCCAAGTCGCTTATGGTGGAAATAGCTGGCGTCTGTTTGATGAAAGCATTTCGCTTCCGATGGTGGGAATGAGATGCGCTACCCGAGTTCGTATTCTTAGCTCTCAATGCATGTCCTGGGTTCCTATTTTCGTCATCTTCAACAATATCCTGTCTTTGAGGATATCCAGAGTTGAGATTGGTGATAATAGGCGACGATAAGTGATATTGGGAGTCGGCGTGTTGATGCATGTGGTGAGCCCGCAAACTGTCACGCCGAGAGCTAAAGGATCCCACATTCGCGCCTTGGAAATGCTTTGAGGCAATGAAAGAAATTGAACTTTGGCTTTGATGTTGCTTATAGATGAATCGTTGTTTCAAAAACATATCGTTACTTGCATTGGGATCATTCTCTTGGACCTATGAAGAACATTCATGTGAGACAACCTTCAGCGGCGCGTAGGGTGAAAACTCACAGAAGGGTAAGTTTCGACAGATATTTCTGAACCAAGCTGAAAGTTCTTGTGTGGTATTCTTTTGTTATTCATCTCATGTTCGTTTGTCTCGGGAAGAACAATCGTTCCGCCAATGTCTGCCATGTTACCTGTAACATCATCATGTAAATGGGTAAAATTACCAGTAGAAGAAGCCTCCAGAGCCTCCCTGTCACTTGAAAAGTTATCAATTCCCAGTGGCAATATTGTGTTTGTACCTTCAACCGATTCAGTTTCGCGCGATCGCGAGACGATGTCCTTATCGACGCTATAAAATGCATCGGGATCTTGAGGATCCGGAGAAGACACAATAAAACCGGCACCATCTTGATTCAGAAAGAGGGGATGGGAAGCGGTGTCGGAGGTGAACCGGTCTGCTGATTCGTGTACAAATGGCTCCTTCTTAGAAGATCCCACCCGTTCGGAGGATGCGTCGCTTCGTCGGTACCTTGTTGACAAGTCGTCCAATATCCCGGGGGAATCGTATCTTCTGTACTCCAATAAAGGTCGATTCTTCCTCGGGTCTGCATTATTTGGCCTTGGGGTAAGATAAACCGTATAAAACTGTGATTTCCGTAGGCTCCTTGAGCTCGCAATCTCAATCCATCTTTCAGCAGTTATGACGACCTTGTTCTCATCACGCAAATCATAGTAGTGAAAATCAGATCTCTTCTTCTGAACGGCATCCATAGTGATTTTGAAAAGATCAACCCATGTTATGCTTGATGATACAGCAATGTCATGATGTTTTTGCCCATCGTCAATGATCTTAACCTTGATTGGCGGTTCATGACCCAGACGTCGCTCTCCAATTGTTCCGTCCAAGAGCTCTTTGGTTGTATGGTCTGACATGGTGATCAGAATGGTAGAACCAATTAGAAGGCACCACATTTGGTTCACGTGCAGTGCATTATCATTTGGTTGTGAACCATTCACAATTTTGCTGACAATTTGCGTCTTATCGCGATTTGGAGTAACATCGAACCCGTAGAGGTTCTGTAGAAGTGTTCGGGGTTGATGGTCGCCTCGACTTGCCGTATTTTGGTGACCTTCCAAAGGACGTAGTCTCAAATAAGGTGAGGCGACAAATACTACTGGAACTGTTGGTCGACCCTTTTGCGAAAGTGAAACAGAGGTTTTCTGAGAATAATTGCCGATGCCTCCCAGCACAGAGCCGGGTTCAATGAAGGGTCCTGTTTCAGAATCTCGTAGATAGTTTTTCTCAGTTCTCTTGATGAGTTCCACTGTAACCGCTCCCACGTCGTCACCAATCAAGTGACAGTTCATAACGAGTTTCTGCATCTTCGATTAGCAGTGGCCACTTGGATCAACTGTGGATAGCTTACTTCTAAGACATCAAGACTCATCGTGGCACTTTGTAAATGACTAAGTATTGTATTGTCAGTGTCTGTCAGAGTATTTAGAAATGCGAGTATCTCACAGCCATTTGATTTGCATCGAGTTGCGAGCTTGATTTGCATCGAGTTGCGAGCTTCATCGTTTTTAGAGGTCCCTCTTGACGAGAGACTAAAATTTCTTCCTATCCTACATCATTGACGGAATATTTGAGATTTTGAAACGTCTGAAGGTGCTTTAAGATCCTATTAATATTTGCATCTCCTTCTTCCCAGTAGCGGGAATGAGGAGCGCCATTGCTGGAGTCTCTAGATTCTCGGTAGCTCGATACCAAAGGTATTTTTATAGACAGCCCCTCGCTTTCAGCATCATGGGCCATCTTTCCCTGATAAAATGGCTCAGTAATTTCTCCTGTTGTATCAATGGACTGCGAAAGAACATTGAGGCCATGATCAAAAGGAGACAAGGACCGCGGTGTTTCGTCAAGGGGGTCCGTGGGTGGGCGTCGACCTTGATTTGGGTTCATTTCTCTAGAGTCGTAAGTGGATTCGTCGTCCTCATCATCAGTGTCTTGTATATACTGTAAATTATAGTTTTCATGTTGCAAAAAATTGCCATTCGCGTCATTAGCATGATTACCGTCGTTTGAAGCAACTCCAAGGTCAGGACCATGGATATTGTGCGTATAAGTGCGAGGAGAGTGAGTGTCCATTTTTGCAAGAATTGATGCACTTGGCATACACAAATTTAGGGGGAAGAAAAGAACTTTGTAGGTCTATAAAAAATATCTCAAATGGCAAGTCAAGATGATCATCTCATACAGCATGGAATGTGGGAACAAGCAGCATATTTTATACTGAAAGCAAACCACTCCCAAGACGGAGGATTACGTCCATAGCTCATCGTGTCAAAACTGCAACTAGGATATGCAATGCTATACAAGAAGGCTACATTGTGCTGATAGAGAGCCGAAGACCTTGACCAACCGTCATCAGCCGGGTATATCCCTTGTCCTTGGATCTGGACGAGGCTGGCCGGGGTTCATGTACAGTAATCCAGATGCATACTGTGGCTGAAAATGCTACGAGCATACAAAGTTCACCAAATACAACTTGCGAACCGGTCCCAGCAAAAGGTCGAGCATCGTACAGCCTCAGTGGCGAGTCTGTCGAGCGGGGAAGACCGTTGTATGTTGCAATGCAGGCCATCTTTTTGATTACAAGTGAATCAGGCTGTGCTAAGTACGTTGCATGATAACCCACACACCGACTTTTAGCCACCTTTCGTTATTCTCTCCCATTGGATGCGTTTCCAGTGATATATGATATGAGCAAAGGTATTGGTCGTTGTCATGGTCCGGGGAGGTTCGTCCACTTTTCCGCCAGAAGCCGGTCGAATAGCATGCCATCTAAACCTTGACAGCTGAATGAAGGTGCATTCGGCGCTATGCAGGCATTTATTTATACGTCTCTAGTGGCAATCCATAGGTCGGTTATATCCGACGTCCGAAAGAGGCACGGGCTGATAAACTCATTGCCATATAAGGCTGAGGAGGCGACTTTTCATCCCAGTAGGGCTTTCACAAAGCTAACACAATGACAATGCTCTTCAGCTTAGAGAGATTATACCAAAATAAAGCCCGGCATGACATCAGACCACAACAATGCAACGATGTACTTACTAACAGTCGACAATTGCGCGGCTCTTCGTGAGGCGCCCTCTAGCATTGTTCCGTCGATATGCGGAGTACAGCTGAACACACCAATGCAGGGAGAGTCAACCAGGTTCTTCTGTGGAGATTGGTGCGCCACTTTCTATGTGAAACTATTGGATCGTTGTGAAAGGATGAGTTAGATTTCACCTCATGCCACAAGCAGTTTAGCACACATACGCTTTTACTCTTCTCCTCCGCCATTAGTAACTCTCCCTTCTTTCGTTACTCGAGATGGTATTCGGTTGATGTTCAATGAGCCGGATTGAAGGTAGCTGCTTTGATTCGGGTCTGTCCTAATACATGGAGAGAGAACCCGAGTTACACCGCAGCAATGCCTCGAAAGGTGTGTCATTTTTTAAAACAGCGGTCTCTAATCTCGCCAACCCAGTACTAACCCATGTTGATTCTGCTGCCAGTTCATTACCCAAGAGGTCAAAGACCAGAATCGCGAGAGCCAACGGCGATCGCGAGCCCGGCGCGCTGAATTGCTAAATGATCTTCAGAAGCAAGTGCAAGATTTTCAGCGGCAAGGCGCATCTGCCTCTTCGGAAATGCAGAGGGTGGCTCAGGCAGTGACACTTGAGAATCAGCGCTTAAGAAGCCTGCTGAGCGTGCATGGTGTATCGCAAGACGAGATTAATCGATTCATCTCACCTCCTCCGACCACTTCACCCGAATCGCCAGATGGATTTCTTGAGTCCGGTGCTTTGAGGTGCAAGACATGCGGCAGCACATCTATAGTGCTACAACATCTGCCGGCTTTGTTATCACCACAACATCAAAACAATCACGCTTCGCCACAGATTATGGGCGATTGTGCCCTCCCATCACCTTCTATCTCATGCGACACTGTTGAGCTTTCCAGGATGGAAAGTAATACCGATACGGGAGTTAGTCCAACAGATGTATTCAACTCACCACCGGCAAACCAAGTTGTTCACTCCGGTCGCTCCGCCAGAAATACTCGAGAAACGAGAAAATCCCAGAAATCTCAGTCACAAGAGAGCAACAAACGTCAATGCTGCGGATCTCACTCAAATGAAGGCGACAACCAACATAGCGAAAACCCCTTGGAAGATAAACCTCATCTTCCAACACCTCATCCTCTTCCGAATCATGCAGCACCTGAAGCCATGAACTCAAACGATTCCATGGAAACATCTTGCGATACAGCGGCATCTATTCTAGCGGACCTTCGCTATGGGATGGATAATGAACAAGCTCGTGCTGCCCTTGGTTGCAAAGGATCGGAGACTTGCAATGTTAGCAACATCAGGATTTTTCAACTTTTGGAGGAATTTGACTAGTTCGCTCGACTCTCTACACTGAATCATGGAAATTCGTTGGTTATAGAAGACCATGTCCGATCTATTTCCAGCCCCATCTATCGGCGACCCATCGAAGAGCATATACCAAGCCCAGCAAAACAGGCACTTCTATCAAAGGCCCGACAGTGGATGCCAATGCCTCGTCGCTGTTTGGACCAAATGTCGCAACAGCCACAGCAATGGCCAACTCAAAGTTGTTACTGGCCGCTGTGAAGCTTTGCGTTACAAGAAACTGGTATTCAAACCCAAGCATCCGACAAATGCCCACGGTGGTGAAAAAGACAATCGCGAAGTACACAACGAGTGGAGCGGCGACGCGAAGGACTGAAACAATCTGGTGTACCACTTGATGGCCTTGGGCGGCAAACAAGACCAAAATGGTATATAAAAGCCCGATAAGAGACCATGGCGATACAAAACGGATGAATATGCGGTCATACCATGCCGTCCCCGCGATGAATCGAAGACCAAACCTCGTTATTACGGCAGCGCCTAGGGGAATGCCTAGAAACGCTGCCACGCTCGTTGCGACGACCGAATACGAGATAGGGGCGATGTCGTTCTCATCACTGATGACATTGAGAAAGACGATGGCAAGCGGCGCAAAGAGGACTATTTGCAGAATGGAGTCGACTGCAACCAAGATGGCACAGTAGTCGTTGTTGCCACCGGCGAGGGCATTCCAGATCAAGACCTCGATGCAAATGTCAGCATATGATTATGAAAAGGCTACATCAAGGTGAAATTCAAGATCATACCATGGCGATGCATCTGCCGAGGCCGACGAGAATAAGGCCAGTACGGAGATGACTCTTGTCTGGAAGAAATGCCCACGACAGCGCAAGCTGTGCAAGTTTTTGAGCGTTGGTATCTTGACAAGGGGAATCGAATGAGAGTACTGGCTCACCATAAGAAACGGAGCTATAATCCAGTTCACGAAAACGCTGAACCCGATTTGCTTCCATAGCTCCTTTTTGTTCAAGAGCTTGTGAAGGGATTCATACTGGACCTTGCACAGAATAGGATACATCATCACCAGCAATCCAATGGCTAAAAGGGTGTTAATCAGCGAATTATTGGACCATCTTAACGTTGATGAACTTGCCTATTGGAACAGATACTCCTACAAATTTCCCCCTTTCCAGAGTTGGAGACATTGATGGGACAAAATTTCCGAGGATTATTCCCACAGCCATGGCCAAGAAGATCCAGACTGCCAGAAAGCGATCTAGTAGGCCAAGAGACGCGAAAGCCGAGAAGTTGCGCTTCTTTTGTGCATTATTGTCATCGATGTGATGTGCATCGTCACTGTCGGTTTGCTGGGCTTCTATGTCGGCCGTTGGTTTTTCTTGTCTCATATCAGGCTCTGAAGCGTCTTGTGTTTCCATCGCTTTATGGTCAGACATGGCGTGTTAATCCAGATCGAGGCCTCTGCATAAGATATCGAGTTCGGTGATGATGAAAGAGGCTGGATCAACAATCAGTTTTAAAGGGCAAAATGCCGTGAATTCATCTGGCCATTCCAACGGCCAAGAGAAGGATTTTGCCATAGAAACATATAGTATATGAACCGTTACTTCGTCTGTGGTCCATAATGGTATTACCGCCGAGGCGAATTCAGACAAAAAACGGGACGAAGCCCAGACTTGGCCAATGAGAGAGGCGGGGCGTGACACACTCCCAATTTTCTCGATATCAGCATATGACGAGCTAAGAAATTGCGACTTGAATATGTGTCGAACTATAATAACAAGAGAAGAGGGAATCCCAGAGACGTGCATAGATTGATATGAATCATGTTTCTAATTAATAATTACTTCAGAGCTACATGACAGGATAAACAACAAACAAAGTGGCGAAACTCAGCCTATCAATCAATCTATCAGGCATGTCGCGCCTCAAAACAAGTAAACTACGAAACAAGAATTACGTGAAGAAATAAAGCATTGCTCCAACTTGTAAGCCCAGCAAGGAGATCCAGCTCAATGCAATGGCTTTTCCAGCACTATTGCCCGTCCCACTTCCAGATCCAGAACTCCCAGATCCAGAACCCGACCCTGAACCAGATGAGGTCCCAGCCTTGGTGTGATTGGCGGGAGGATTCGACAATCCAGTGCTGTTGGCAACATCTTTGTACTCGATTCCTCCAACCCACACTTTAGCAATATCTCTCGTGTTGGTGATGTTGGCCAGCGGGTCGCTGTTGAGAAGAATCAAATCGGCCCTCATGCCAGGCGCAATCTTTCCTCGGTCTGCCAGCCTGTGGTGCTGAGCGGCGAGTTCAGTCGCTGCACGGAGGGCTTCCACTGTGGTTAATCCCGCTTCGACAAGATTCTCCAGCTCAAAGTGAAGACTTAATCCGAATGGAACAGAGATGTTGGCATTGATAACTCCCACAGCATCAGTGCCTGCCAAGATAGGGATACCAGCGGCGTGAATAGCCCTGACATTCTGATACACATTCTCGTAGCTATCTGGTCCGCCAATCTGGTGACCAGTAAAGGTCAATATGGCGGGATTTGCAAACGCATATCGAGCAATATTCATAGTTGGGGTGCTCCAGCTGTTGGCAGACCTGCGAGCCTTTAGGACATTGGAGGCATTTATGCGGCCATTCGTAGGCATATGCTGGATTCCGTCCGTACCCGAAAGGACCGCTTGTGTCCAAGCATCAAGATCAGCGGCATGGGTCATGGACTGCTTGCCGAGATTGTGAACGGCATCGACCAAAGAGTTCTGCATGCTCTGGCTGGGTCCATTCAACTCGGCCGTGATTTTATAAAAGTCGGAGCCGTTGCCAAAAGTGTAAGAAACAACTTCAGTGGCATTCGCGTCTGGATAAATGAGGTACTGTGAAGAGAGATTGAAAGTTCGAGAGTGTTGGCTGCCGGGTCCCGTGGCGGGGACGCCTGCCGAGATAAACGAAGCTACGCCCTCCAAGTTGCGGAGCGGCGCACATTGTGTGTAATTTCGACAGGCCATAACCATGGCGGTGGTGACTCCGTAAGAAGTCAGGGTTTCTAGCCCGGCAACGTTGGATATGTGGACGTGGCAGTCGATTAGACCAGGGATCAGAACGCCGCCGTTGCCATCAACCGTAGTCTCGACGTTGCTGGTGTCGTTGCTGATATTTTCACCATCAATGATGACAGTTTGGAGACCGGTGAGTTTAGCGCCGTCGAAAACACGAACATTCTTGATGGCAGTCTTGGTTCTGGGGGCGGGCTCTTGTCTGCGAATCATGTCGTTGGGATCTGGAGTCCGCTCTTGTAGTAGATGCTCAAGGCAGGCAAAGGCGCCTTGTGAAAGCACTGCGGCGATAGTAAGGAGTTGAATTGGTTTCATTTTGGGTGTGATATAATATGAATGGTAAAAATAAATAGGAGAAAAGGAGTAATTGTCAATTGAAGAGCTGTAATGAGCGTCTAGAAGTGTAGTCTTATGCCCATCTGCATTTAAACTTGTCGTGAATCTATTATTGTATTATTGCCAAGAGGGATGACCCAAAGTTATATACTCCATGATTCTGTTTTCTACGTCACCGTACTTATTCCCATCATCAACTCAGTTCTGCCCAATTGACATCCATCACTGTGCATATTCGTACACTATGCCATTACCAGACACAACAGAGAAACATGCAAGGGCCTTTCATCTTGCCTTAGGGCTGATGCATTAATCAACGTGAAGCAGTGTTAGGGATCAATCAGCCCACGAGGCTACGGCAGGATTGTACGAGCAAAGCCTGAATATTTTGATCAAACAGATCTGGCCCGCATTCAGTCAAGCGTACGAAGGCAATCTTGGTTAATTGGGCCTCCTCCTCGAAAGGATCGCAAAGGTGCAGAAAGATGCATATTGTGATGCATGGTCAAATCCATATCTGATTGGACAATACAACAGTGCTCATCAAGACGTGAAGCTAGCAGGGGTCAGGCTCGTACACTAAGTCGGAGAGGGATAGCTCAGGAGAGCCCATTTGCAGGCCTTGACCATTATTTCCGGGGCAGATCTCGAGTTGCTATTCTCGTATAGCCTCGTGGGCTGGGCTAGAGTGGCGTCTGGCAACCTCTCTCATGCACTTCGCCCGTGTGCCTTGTCTGACTTTTGCCTCATCGCCCACAACGGCCTCCAGCTGTCTTGCCGTCTCCATCTCTGTTTGTAAACTCCATCCCCTTGCTCCATAAATGCAACGGCCTGAGCGCCACTTGAATGCGGAGCAAGCCAAACAGGCCAAACGAGAAATAATCAAACGAAGCCCCCGTTTGCATAAAACAGAGCCCAAAAAGATGGCTGGCGGCTCGCGAACATTCCACCACAAGTCCCGGAATGGCTGTAGCCGTTGCAAGAAGCGGCGTGTCAGGGTTCGTCCGTCTGCTACTATGGTATCCTGTCCGTAAACTCTTGGCAGTCGTGCTTATACATCTGTAATGGCGATAGTGTAATCTGCAGGCCCCGAGCTGTGCCAACTGTACGAGGCGAGGCGAGCTTTGTGACTATCGATTTCTCGGCACAGACAGCCCACAGATGCCATCGTCTAGTCATGCTGCATATATGAAAAGAAGCAGCCACTCGGGTAGCTCACCATCCCCAGAGGCGCCACTAGGGCCCATGCTATCCTTCATGTCTCCCGCTGCCCACAATCAGTCAGGCGTCGATACTGGGCCTATAAGAGCGGCATCTCACCCTACCGTTGACACCTTGGCGTTGTGTCTACTTGAAGACGACGAGAGTCACCTTATCCCCGATGAACTCGTAGACCAAGCAGACGCGAGTGAATTTCTTGAGCATAACATGGCTGTCGTCTCAACTCTTCACGACAAGTCCACCGACTCCCTACTCCGACCAGACGGTGACAATACCAAATCAGATCTAGTTGCGTATCAGCATCAGATTGCGGCATCGAGCAAGTTCCGCAAGTCAGTTGGCGCCATCAGCGACCGTAACTGGTTCACCGTCCTCGTCTTTGCCATCTCAGTCCTCATCTTCCACTTCGACATCCACAGAAGAGCAAAACGCGGGCTCGCTGACAATGAATCTTTGGAACCAATAATGGCTCTACGTGGAGCCGCTCTCTTGGGCATGGAGCTGGGGCCATGGTTGATGAAGAGCAAACTACTCGCTGCTGCCAGAAGACGCATTGCGGCTGAGAACCCGCCGTGGGATGATCTCGCCGAGCAGGCTATTACGAACCTCGAGCTAATAAACGAGACTTCATCTCCGCTCCGAAGCCGCGGGATCTGCAAAGATGCCCTAAACAAGTTACAGTTCTGGCTTCGACTTACACAGTCTAAGCCACGCACATGGCTGCACTTTGTATGGTGGCCTGGGGCTATCGACCAAGAATATCTAGATCTTCTAGGGACAAACGATCCCATGGCACTGGTAATTCTTGTACATTGGTGTGCAGTGATGAAGTCTTCGCCGAGGAAATGGTTCATGGAAGGTTGGGCTGAAAATGTTGCACGGCCAGCGATTGCGCAGATTGGGCCAGAGTGGGACGACACTATGGCATGGGCATTGTCAAGGATAAGGCCTGGTGTCAGCAAGTAATGTGATGACGACTTGGCCAAATTGTTTCAATAATATTATTCACTTGCAATGGGCTGCGTTGGATTGTAATGGGGTTATAAGAATACACATCATCCATAGAGAATATTGAGGACTTGAGAAACTACATGTAGACATAATGCATCCAGGCTATACTGTTCCCTCCTGTCCCCAACTTGTTGGCTCATCACTCATCTCAAAGTCAATCCTGCTCGCCTTTACAATCTGCTTATGCTTCAACAATGGCCTGTGAACCTCCTCTCCATCGACCTTTAGACTCTTCACATATGCCTTCTCATCTGTACCCGCTCCCGGTGCTGAAATAACCAGCGTGTGCTCTTTTCCATCATCCCCAGGTCCAGGAGGCAACAAAATCTCCACTTCATCAAAGAATGGCGTTGCTACAACGTACTCGTCGCTCGCCGGGTTGACAGGATAGAACCCCAGCGCCGACAAGACATACCAGGCACTCATCTGACCCAAATCCTCATTGCCACTTAGCCCTGAAGCCGTCGCGTTGTAATTCTCCCAGGCAAGCTCACGGATCTGTCGTGCCGCATCAGCGGGAGATCCGATGGCAGAGTACAGATACGGGGCGTGATGCGACGGCTCGTTGCTGTGCATGTTATGGCCGCCCGCGAAATATTCATCCATGCGAGCTTTCATGGCCTTCTTCCCGCCTTTGAATAGCGAAGCCAGGCCGCCTACATCGTGCATCACGTTCAATGTGTAGATCCACCTGTCTCCCTCGGTCCATCCCCAAGATTCATTCGCCCAGGTCCCGTTTGCATTGCGAGCCTGCATAAACTGCGTTTCTGGGTTCCAGAGCTTTCTATAGTTTTGTGAGCGCTCTCTTAGCTCCTTTGCATGCTTAACATCCCCTGCATGTTCAGCTACCACGGCAGCGGCATAGTCATCGAAGGAATAGTCGAGTGTACGGCTGGCCGATTCGGCCCAACGATCATTGTCAACCCATCCATGCTCGAGGTAGCTCGTTAGTCCAGCTCGGCATTCGTATGGAGTGCTTGGCTCTCTGGAATAGTAGAGAAGGTCAGTGTCGTTATCAGGAGGCACATAGGCATCGACATAAACAGCATCCCAAGCCTTGGCGACGTCAAAATCATCGAAGCCTCTGATCAGAGCATTTGCAATCACAGCGTCAACATGGGTCGCAATCATCTCGTTGTTCTCAATCATGTTATTCCACAGAGGCAATCGGCCAGACCAGTCGAATATTCGTAGGAGAGAGCGCATCATGGAATCGACGCGCTCCGGGGCAAAGATGGTGAGTAGCGAGTGCTCTGCCCTGTAGGTGTCCCATATCGACCATGACTGGTAATATGAATCGTTTGCTTCATGAACGCTGTCTGTATAACCACTGTAAAAGCGTCGGAGGCTGCCTTCAGATGAGGTGGTAGGTTCGGAATAGTCGCTTGGATATTGGAGAGCATGGAACAGGCCAGAATAAAAGATCGTCCGGGGGTCGTGATCCGAGTCGGTTTCGTTGACTCCGGAGATTTTGATCCTGCCTAGTCTTTCTAACCAAGCCGATTTGACGTTATCGACAGTGGTTTCAAATGTTGTCCCGTCCGGTACATCAATATCGAGATTCTTCCTGGCCTGCTCTACGCTGACATACGAGACTCCAGTCCTCACCTCGACTCTCCTGACCGACTTATCGAAGGTGACATATGCACCAACAAACTTGTCTTCGATATACTTCTCTCCCTGATACAATTTTTCTGCGCGGCTGACTCCATGGGAAGTAAAAGGCTCAGAAAATCGCGACACAAAGTAGAGCCTAAACGACTCGGGCTTGTCAGGACCCAACAGATATTCTTGTCGCTGAGAATTACTGCCCGACACCTCTTGAGTTTCAGGATCAATCTCAACATGGCCTGTCCAATTGAGTCGGCTGGCCTGGATGGTGAAGTAAGGCTGCCGTGTCTGGGTATCCTGAAAATCGACGCGAAGATGGCCGACATGCGCCGACGCGCTCAAGGCTACTTGTATGGAATTCTCATATCTATATCCTTCCGGATATTCTGACCCATTTGCAGACAGGCCTTGGACGGGAAACTGGTTCTCTGGCTCAAACACATACTCTCGTCGTCTCACGCGGCCATTGGCACCTTCAGTCACATCCTTGTTAGGGATAAAATTAGCACCGCCAGGACATGGAGGGCAGGCATCGCCAAGAAGCTCCGACGTCGCCTGTTCAGTAAGATTCCATCCGAATTCTCCCGCTGAATCTGCGTCGAGCGTCACCTCATACACGTACGGCGTGCTTCTCTCGTCCTCTTTTCTGAATGACAGACCTCGGTGCTGAAACAGGTGTCGGACCTCATCTCCTAGACCTGGCATAAGCGCCACATGGCCGTTTTCGCCAATCCAGATGGCGGGCTGATGCGTGGCCTGGAAGCCGTGCATGCGGCGATCGCGGTCGTTGTAGGGGACCTGTGAGATGAAGTTTTCGCGCGTCTGCGGAGTCCACCGCGTCATTCCAAACGGGGGTGATACAGAGGGAATCATTCCGCCGAGGTCATTAGGATCGTAGCCTCTGGTGCCGATGAGAGGATTGACATATTGCAGGACACCCGCATTGGCGTGATAATCGCTGTTGACGTTGGCTGCTGATGGCGACGATTCAACGGCGGGGTCCAAGTGAGACGACAGAGCTGTCGTGGATGAGGCCAGGGAGAGAATCATGCATATTGATGGGTGTTTCATCGTTGGATACGTGATATAGCAGCGGATTTATTGACAACGCTCACATCTGAAAGACGTGTGATGAAGGGAGAATGACGAGGGAAGAGGAAGCCACAGTCAACCTCTGTTCTTCTGGAATATCCAAATAACAAGGGTCCAGAACCAACCACCTGATTGCCAGATAAGGAAGTTGTTGCGATGCCACCCAAGTTGAAGTTGCACGTAACTCGAGCTGCAACTTTGTGATATAATAGAAAAGTCACCGCCTAAAGATGAAGGTCATGACATTCATTCCGACTGTATTTAAGCCCCTTCTCGGCCCATTCCGGCGGCACCGGCGTCGATCGTCCACTTTTTGCGGGGTACAGCTTGACATTTATACATTAGATGATGAAAATGAAGAACTTGGCGATATACTATTTATTACTTGTGATAATTCAGAGTACTGTTATTGGAATTGTCATGTATAAATGCCCTTGATGTAGCTTTGCGCGTGGGTTGTACATGCACACTACCTTATTTATAGATACGATGCTAAGACGCACCACCACAAGCCAAGACATGCACACAATAAGGAATAGCTCTTATCACTGACAAGGAAAAGAAAGCCACAAGTGAGAAAGATGTCACCAAGAGCGCAAATATTCTCGTATTCACTCAATATTAAGCACTAATGTCGGCGGTCGTGGGTATTCCATAAACAAACATCCCGATGTCAGCCCCCGAGTACCCGGTATCATTAGTGAACATAAAACAAGTATAAAAGCAGGCGAATAGCCGCACATGTCTGCCTCAAATCAATGCGTGTCACCAATAATTTACTCTTCACATGTCAATTCTTATCACATATCACAATCATATAATACAAGTTATGAAGACATTCATTCATGATTCAAGCAACTGCATGACCAACATTTTCATATATCAATACTATCCATCATTCATCTTCTTCCCTTAAATATCGACCTTGATCACAACCTTGCCCTTTGCCTTCTTCTGCTCAACCTTGTCATAAGCAGCCTGGAATTCCTCAAACTCAACAACACTGTCAACCTGGGGCTTCAATCCCCGAGCATCAATAAAGTCGGCAATCTCCTTCAGATCCTCGCCCTTGCAGTCCATGAGGAACCAAGTGCTCTTGCCCAGCTTCTTTGTCACAGACTCTGGCTTCATTTCATCTGGGCCGCCAACAACACTCAGCAAGACACCATTCTCCTTAATGGCAGACCAGCATGAAGCCAAAGTCTGTCCACCAAGGCAGTCTAGGACCAGGTCAACCTCACGAGAGGGATTCTCCTTAGCCCACTCGTCAATGGACTGCTTCTTATAGTCAATAATCTCTGTGGCTCCGGCCTTCTTGGCAGCCTCGATATTTGCGCCGCTGCACTGGGCAACGACAGAACCGGCACCGGCGGCGGCGGCAAACTGAACGGCCCAGGTTCCGACGCTTCCTCCGGCGCCAGTAATCAGGACTCTCAGCTTGCTATTATGTGCCCTTGCGTCTGCATCACCTCGAATACCGTGCTTGTTGAGGGTCCCCTGGGTAAACACTCCTTGCCACGCAGTCAATGTGCTCAGTGGCGTTGCAGTGGCTTCAACCCAGTCCAGAGACTTGGGCTTCAAAGCAAGCTCCTCGGTGTGAACAATTGTGTATTCTCTCAAACATCCAGGGAATCTTGCATGGAGGCGAAAGTACACTTCATCACCAGGCTTGAAAGGGCTGGACCCTGGTGAAGTGGCGACAATGCCAGCAGCCTCAGTTCCGGGAACACGCTCTCGGTTTGGTGGGAAAATTGACGGGTAGTTGACTTCCCATCCTAGTTCACCAAGACAAGGAGCTGTGGCCTTGATCTTGATAAGATGGTCATCTGGACCAGCCGGTTTAGGAAGGGGAGTTCGCCGGAGCTCGAGGGTTGTGAGTTTAGGATCGATCTGATAAACAGCTCGGATGGTGGTGGGGAGGTTAGCAGAAGCCATTTTGACGAATTGGTTGGCGGTTGACAACAGATTTGGCATTATTCAGACACAGACAATGTGCAATGACAAGAGAAAGGGTTTTTTAAACAACTACGACTCCTTCACTCCCTCAGAATCCTCCCACCTTTTATAGTTTTCCCCCGCGCAAACATCTCCATCATGGTGATGTCCATTCTGCGGTTCGGTAACCCCAACTACGGGTAGCCTTCCCGCCTATCAACCGGGTACCCAATCTTTTCAGCTGCTAAGCATCGAATCGGCGACTCGTCCAGCTTCCATACACGGAAGCAAAAACCTTAAAATTATTCTAACCTAAAGCACAGGCATGGCTTAAGAGGCGCCGCCCGGCAAACAAAGGCCAAGACGGGAACGTCTTATGGCGATGCTTGTTAGGAACTGGAGATCAGGCACCGCCGGGAATCAAGTGGATCGGGCACGGTTACGCCAGTATGCGGCTTTTCTCTAATTATATCCACTCCAAAAGGCTACCACTTACCCTTATTGTCGAGAATGGGTATCATGAAGGGGTCTACCGCCTAACAATACAGGCCAGATCCCTGCCGTCGTGATTCGGAGATGCTTCCAGCGTCTTTTGCTCTGCTCCGTGCTCCGGTCTCCACTGGCCCGGGATCCGCTGCCGAAGTGTCCCAAAGTGGCAGCATATCCCGGCTCGGCAGATGGAAAACTGGCTCGAATGGCAGTTTATATCATCTGGTGATGTCCCGGATGATTCTGAAATGAGGCTGCGTTTTGTTTCCTTTTTCGTGCATCGTCACATTTCCTGTTGACTCTGCGACATGTTGTCACGATTACTATGACCACCTAGCTCCAGTTGAGGGATTAATAGGTGACAGCAATTTGCATACACAAAAGTCTTCTTGTTCAATGTTAATGCTGGTTTCTACTGGTCAAGGTTCCGGAATGCCGTCACATCTGTATCACCTCTTCTATTTGTCATCTTCACAGTACTCACCATCAACCGGTTCAATCGCCATTATGAATGCCACATTCGATCCATATACGGGCAAATTTGCCCAAGAGTTCAGGCAACCATGTGATTCCACCTATCACAACTCGCTCAGGCCCTCCACAGCCTCCTCATGATCTCCGCATCCTCACCAACATGTCCTCTTGCCCCTTCATCTCAACATGCGTCTCATAAACACACAGACCCTTGATTTAGAGGAATTCTTCGACATCTATGTCCCCGAATATGCCATTCTCTCCCATACGTGGGCCGATGGCGAAATCTCCCTCCAAGAATGGGATGATCGCAAGAATCGACGCTTCAAGCCCGGCTATCAGAAGATCGTCTGGACCTGCGAAGAGGCCACCAGAGACAATCTACAATATGTCTGGGTCGATACCAACTGCATCGATAAGACCAGCTCGGCAGAGCTTTCTGAGGCCATCAACTCCATGTTCAAATGGTACCGCCGAGCGCGCATGTGCTATGCGTATCTTGAGGATGTACCGCATATGAGTGTCGCAGAATGTGAAGAACAGGGCAGCGCTTTTCGAGCAGCAAAGTGGTTTACAAGAGGCTGGACTCTGCAAGAACTCATCGCGCCACCAGAAGTCAAGTTCTTCTCGCAGGATTGGCAATCTATTGGGACGAAGGCCGACCTGGCGCTATGCATCTCTGAAATCACTGGCATCGCATGGACATGCCTGCTAAAGCCTAAATTCTCCAAATCCAATCCCCTTCGGGGATACAGCGTCGCTCAGCGTCTTTCATGGGCTTCTCGCAGATCAACTACTCGTATTGAAGACCAAGCCTATTCTTTAATAGGCCTCTTTGACATTACGATGCCGCTCTTATACGGGGAAGGCCACGAGGCATTTACGCGATTCCTGGGTGAAATTATCGGCAAATATCCCGATCACAGTTTCTTCGCCTCACAGCTTCGATATGTCGACTTTCTTCCACGATCGCCAAAGGAATTTTGTGACTCTCGCAATGTGGTCATTGGCAACTCGCCACAGCTGCAGAAACATTATACGCCTGTGTCTCACTCATATCCATTTCAGTTAACAAATACGGGACTGCAAATAACATTGCCTATTGTACCTACTCTGGTGCCGCATTTCGTGTTTGGTGTTTTAGACTGCTGGGAGTATGACATGGATAGTACCCAGGCTACTCGTTCGGTGTCCCGCATATGGATTCCTCTACTGCAGAAGGACCATCCAGGCCTCAGGCACTATTCACGATTGCTATGGCCACAGGTCTTTTGTCCGGTTAAACTCATCCGCAAGCATAGATTCATGCAAGTTACGCAAGTCGAAGATGGAGAGCAAGGAGGGCAAACAACGGCCACTGAGACAGCTTCAATACTTGACGTTGTCCAACATGTTGACATTGCGTCCATGGACATACACAAGAGTATATTGATCAAGAATCCTTATGCAACTACAGTAGATGCTCCTCGCTGGCAGCCCCGTTTAGCCGGTAGCCCATTTTTGGTGTGCTTCCCGCGAGGCACAGGGGACTATCGTCTTTTGGGCATATATCCCACCGAGAACAAGGTACAGGAGGCATCTTGGTCTGCCCATAAACCACCATTGCTACCTCTTATAATGCCACGGAAGATATCACGAATAAGGAACGCAGACACTGAGAGTGACGGCAGCGAAGCACCAAACGGCGACGACATACAGACCGGGGTATACGGTGTGGTTGTTGTCTTTAAGAAGAGAGGATGTAAACCCGCCAAATGTACAGCAGTATACCTAGCCAATATACCACAGACGACAGATGGCTGCACTACATTCCGACCAAGTTGCAAAATCATCCACGGCTGGACCTCTTCGCAGAAGAAAGACTTGTGTGAAGATGACTTTGAAGACATGACCGACATCGACGCAAAGGACAACGTCTTCGTGGCCGCGCAAAAGTTCCCATGTCCTTCGAAAAACAGTACAGAAGGGTTGGAGCCACGGTTCTTGGGCTTGGTTCAAGTTGTCTTCGATAAAGCTGATATGATGGATGAAGTAAGCTTGTCATCGAGTGGGGGGATGAGGGCAGCGGAAGGGATTTTGCAGTACTTCGGTGTCGAGGATTCGGATGAAGAAACTGGTAGTATGAGCACAAACACGAGAGCAAGCCTCCCAATATGAGGCAGCCATGGTACGCAGACGATGATTCAGCTAAGTTTCCATAACATCAATAGGGGGGATTATCCATAATATAGGTACCTAGCTACCATTATTTACCCACTGTCAGATAGTTCTCGTTCCCAGCTCACATTCCGTCAATACATACCTGAGGACATGTATAGATAGACAGAGTAGAAAGCTGATGGGTTACTGCATCTCGTCTATGTAAGAAGCATAATAACTACGCAGCTACTCATGCTATTCACATTCACGGCCAATACATGAATAAACGAGAGAAAAGACAGTCGACCCTTTTTTTTGACATACTCAGATCATCAAAGGAGCATCAGCCTAGGAGCTGACCTCACTGAATGACTTAACAATGCTATCAAATACATCCCCTCGGTTCATACTCGGACCTTCTCCCTCAGCCGCAAAGCTCTTATTGGAAAAGAGTAAATCTCGAGGAGTGCAACCATTTGTATCCTTTACAGAAATTTGCGCACCAGCTTCCATAAGAATATGTATGATTTCGGATATCGAGGCGATTTGATCATTTTTACTGCGCAAGATTTTAGAGGATACTGTCGCACTAACTACCAAGTGAAGTGGTGTTCGGTGATGGTTGTCCAAACAATTAACATTGGCTCCCCATTCCGTGATGAGGCTTCGGACAATATCGTGTCTTAAACTTTGTGCAGCGACATGTAAAGGACTCGCACCATCGCATCCTCTGCAGGGTTTGTTAGGGTCAATATTGCCGTCAGTTAACAAGTAATCCACAGCATCAAACCAGCCTCTGGAGATAACCAGAGATAGTGGCGTCTCATAGCAAAAGTCTTGTGGATCTATCGACTCTGTCAGGCCGGCATGGAAAGTTAATAGACCATCCCATTTTGAAAAGTGATGACTATGCCACTCGCCATCAGGGTCTTTTGCTTTATATGTTCGTGACTCCGAGTCAACTCCAAGTTGTGCAACAAGAAGCTGTAACATTTTCTGAACTGGTCTATCCCAGTGGGTCCCTATTATTGCAAGGTGGATTGCATCCCATCTGCATATTGGATTGGGCTCTGGCGGTGACATATTCCAATTTCTTATCATGTATAAGTATTCGACAACACTAAATTGACGGTGGAAGAGAGCAAGATGAAACGGGCTGAGCCCCCATCGGTTGAGCACGTTAGGGTCGATACCGGGATTCATAAAGAGTAACCTCACTGACTCAAGATTACCTGTCATTGCGGCATAATGGAGAGCTGTGTTTCCGTTCTTGTCCTGGCGATTCATGTCGAGGTTCCATTTTGGATCCAAAAGCACACGGATTGATGGCAGATCTCCTGTTTGGCAAACACTATGGAGAGCTGTGGTGTCTTCAAGCTCAACTTTGTCCCGAAACTGCGAAGGAGTGGCGCAAAATCTCTCTGCCCAATATTCTATAAATACGCTGAACATTGGTATGAAGTGTCGTTGGAAAGCGTCCCCCGGTCGATCGCCAGCCCCCCCTTCAAGAAACAACTTCACTATTTCTCGTCGATTCAAGGAAACTGCTCTCTTCAAAGGACAAGTCCTCTCCGAGGCATTTGGGCCATCAGTGACATGAGCACCACGCGCCAGTAGATACTGGACTATTTTATAATGGCCTCCTACCACAGCCGTATAGAGCGCCGTGCACCCATCAGTCATTTTGCAGTCAATGTCCGCCTTGTTTTCTAAGAGGATAGTGACAGCAGGGAGGTGTCCATTTTCAGCGGCACAATATAAAGCTGTGTAGCCGAATGAATCTAGTGAATCAATATGCACCTTGTTCTCAAGGAGCATCTCGAGGATAGGAACGTGTCCTTTTGCAGCGGCTATTTGGAGATGCGTGCTTCCGGTGTTTCCGTCTTTCTTGAGAGCTCTTTTCATAAGAACGGTCAGTCCATAATCGGCCGCTAATTCAGCCTGTCCACTTAATGGCTTGTCATAATATGACTTCTTTGCCTTATGCGGTTCTTTCGTCGTATCCGCATAGCATATGGTGTTGGCCAACTCCATCCATAATTTGAGAAGTTCCGACTCATCAGAGAAGAATTTTGGATATTCATCTAATATTTCCGCGCCCAGTTGGCCAGAATGTTTAAAATGCTGAGTCCACTGCCGTGATGCGTAATCAAAAAAGGGATAGCGAAGTTTTCTCCTTTCATCATCTTCAACTGTCTCAACCAGGAAAGCATCCTTATCCTTGGAGTATACATCATAGAAATAAGAAATACATGCAGATGCCAATTTTGACTGCTCCAATTCAACATTAGACAATGGAAACCAAGGTATCGCCTCGGAGCTTGGAATTTGGCGCGTTAAAAAGTCGTACGCGCTGTGGTGAACCAAAGTTACGGTATCGTCCGTTATGTTTAGGAAATGGCCGCAGTAAGCAAGCTTTCCTCGCAATATTGTGACCCTATCAAGCAGCCCAGTGGACTTGATCTCTAAAGCGGTAGCAAGTTCGTTGAGTGAGAGCGGCCGAACTGCAAATGTGCACCACCGAAGGATATTCAAGATTAGGCCTCTCTGTGTGCTTTCGATTTGTTGAAGGATTCTTTCATAAAGAGCATCAAGCCCCTGAGGGAATTGATTTAGGCTCTCTTCCACTTCGGATATTTCCATTGTTTGAAGATCTTTCACAGTGAAGCTTACCCACAGATATGTGCCTGCGGACTTTTCCATTAGACATTCTTTAACATGATTCGCTAGCTGAGGTGTATATTGCTTGCTCTCAGACAACTCTGCAACACGCGTTGAGATATACTGCTCAAGCCCGCGATTGACCTCGGTTTTTGCATCGGGATCCAGGCGAATTCTTGGAAATTGACCAAGTAATGCTCCAAAAATTTGAGGATATTCTCGACTCAAAACAATGATTTTGAGCCTAGGCGATGTGCTTGTGATTTTCTTGAGATTTTTAAGCAGGAGCTCCAGTGAGATTGGCTCACACTCATCCAGACCGTCAATGATGCAAGTCGCCTGCGAGTTTCCGAGATCATTTGTCATTTCAAGAAAGAATTTCCAGACCGTTTCAAATGAATTCTGAGAGAATAACTGCTCTTTTTGCACTTCATATCTGGGAAGGATATGTCGGATAAGTTCCTTTTTCTGCTCAACGAGTTGGAAGAGTATTCCCCTAATGATGGCCACAGCGTTGTTGCGCGTATTATCCTTGGCATTACAAAAGAAATAAGTTGAATAATGGGTTCTCGTATCTCCAGACGAAAGAAAAAAGACCGAGAGGTACTCGGTGAGGTAAATTGATAGCATGGTTTTACCAAGGCCAGGGCCACCTGATATCCAGAGCAGTCCTCCATTGGAATTCATCCATTCGACAAACTCTTTTTTCTGAGCAACCCAGTTGCAGGTGCCTTGTACAAGCTCTCCTTTGGAGTTGATGAGTTTGGCACGATCAATTGCAGGATCTGTGATGAACAGCGCCTGCTGACATTTTAAAGAATCGGGGCTGGAATTGGCCGTTGTGTTAGATTTGTCAATTGAATTATATCCGGTTTGTATATCTTCAGCGATTGTAAAAATGCGACTATTGACGCACGCTTAGCCCATGTGTATACATTTTGGATCAGCTGTTCTCTGCTTACAGATTCATGTGAGTGTTGAGTGAGTTATACTCGTGATCCAGGTCGTCGAAGAGGTTTGAAATATTTGCTTCTTGTTTCAGGCCAGAGATAGCTCTCCAGGTCCTTTTTCGAATCGAATCACGGCGATTAAATGAAATCTTTTGCAGGAGATTTTGCAATGACTGCACATGGCATTCGCACCGAGTCAATATTTTACCAATATCTTCTGTTTGCAAAGACTTTGTATTTTGTATCTGTTTAGCAAGCGATGCGAGGCCTTCGAGTCGTCCAATTTTTTGCTGTATTTGGTCCGGGCCATCTTGAATTTGGTCGGCAACAGATTTGATCAGCTTGATAGTCTTGAACGCGACTTCGGCAAATTGTTCAGCAGCGGCCACAGCGCCAATGATTTCGAACCCCGACATATTAAGCAAAATATTTTCTTCGTGAACATATGTTAAAAGTTAACAAGATGGGATTTTACTCGATTGTCACGATCTCACCCTTGCCTATACCTTTTTCAATAATATCGTCAGGCTCCGATAAGGCAACTAACTTACTTGCGTGTCAATGTCGGATTGGCTCGACTCCGCCGCAAGGCTGCAATACGCATACTTGCCTATGCACCTATGTGTGTAACGTTTCCGCCACTTGTTGTCGTTTGCCCAATCAGCCGCACAGGTTTCGGGACTTGTGCGAGTGTCCTAGTTCAGATACAGCCAGATACATGTATATCATGAGAAAATGGTAGCAAGATGGATAAAACAGCGCCGAGCAACCCTGAACTTCAGTTGTTCTCCATACCAACAGCCGCAATTCAGCAGCTTTCTAAGATTATCTGAGTAATGGTGAAATAGTCCATACTGTAACAGGCTGGCACTAGAAACAGAAGCTCCCAGAAAATGTTCAATCGTTAAGCTTTTTATGTTCAGAATAATCCAGACCTGCAGGGTAGAGAGGTTTACTATGTATTTGGATTACTCGATTAGCCATGTCCCCCAACACCTGTCTAATCATCGCGAGCCGGGGATGCAAGGAACAGCAAGTCATGAGATCTAAAAAGGACGAAGAATCTACTTTCTATTTTAAATGTTATGAAGCAATGTAGTTACATGTACTTTGGTCCCGTACCGTACATACGATTGTGGGAACTGAGCTTATTTTAAGGGAGACTAGAGCGGTGTTCTGTTCCCGCTCTGCTCCAGAGTGAGAAGAATAGAACACTGCTATAAGCACATCATTCAGCTAATACCATGTTTTTTTTTTTTTTTTCGTCTTCCAGCAATATCATCCACAAGATATTGACACATTACGGGACATTGATCCTTACCTGTCAGGCCAGGTCGACTTACGTGGCTAGAGATCTCGCTTGCAGCCCCAAGTGCAGGGTCCACGGCCGATCCCCAAGAAAAGACCAGCGCGTGTGGAGAAGAACGGCAGGCCCCCTGAAAATGGGTGCACGGATGATTCCATGTACGTATCGTATACGAACGTATCTCATGTGTAATGCTCAACGGCGCCTACTGAGGACAATCGCGATGAAGACAAACGATAGGCTGGTGGGCATTAGACAATTGAGTGCATGTCATGTAATTGTCCGTCTCTTGTTTGACAACAGCTCGTGTATGTACATGCAGTGCAGTTTCATCTCCTCAACATTGCATGGAAACACCAGCAAAAGGGCCTCGCAATCCCGGGCCTGTTCAACACACCGGTTCTCCGCCCAATGCTTTCATGCGCATCTTCTCGTCACCGCTAAACTGCGGCGCCAAGATATCTGGAACCGGCAGCCATTTCGCAAGCAAATATTGCCATCGGGGATTTGTAGGCCGCTAAGATTGCCAGACCCCCATCGCCCACGTAATGGCATGCACGGGAGCGGCTTTTTTCCTGTCCTTCTTAATGCCGCGGGAGGCCGCACCGATGCCCTTTTGTGATGAACATGTCGGATCCTTTTGCGAAGGGCAGCTTGAGAGTTTTGCTGCAAGAAGCGTAAAAGTGAGTATGTGGCTCAGTTTGTTTCGTCGTGAATGAATTTATTACATTGGCGATGAGTTGAGGGATATCCCAAAGAGGCAGTTATCCATCATTTCCCTCTAAAGGGGGCCAATTGGGAGGGCTTGATGCATCACCACCACCAAAACTCAACCATCTCTCAGCTACATCGTCGTTGTCAATAGTACTGCTGCTGCGATACTCGTACTAGTATTCCGATACGCACGCACGCACGCACATACAACCCCCTACTTCACATCCCTGCAACGGGGGTTTTGCAACAACCTGTACGGAGTAGATTGAACGGTTACAAATGCGCTGACTTGCAACTTTGCCCATTTCCAGCTAGCCTCACAGCTGCAATGCCGGGACTGGAGCCTCATTCACCAGCTAGCCGCTGAAAAGCTGCAGTACTAGTCTCATCAACCGCACTCCAACGAAATGAGCGAACTGAAGCGCGTCTCTCCTTATTCCTCTCTCCCTCTCTTTGCTCTCGATATTTTCACTCTATTGAATTTAGCCTTTTTTTTTCTCCTCATCGACATCATCAGACTCCCCTCCCGTCATCGCTCACTCACCCCGTCAGCAGCCTCTCAGACGTGAGAGATTTGTTTGTGCCTTTTGCCTCTCTCTCTCTCTACTCCAACTTGCCCCGAAAAGCCGAAATCTCACGATGCCGCCCATTAGGAATTTCTTGCCCTGTAAACCCTGGCCCTCCCCCGAATAAAGTGGCGCCAGGTCCCGGATCCCCGTTCAAAACAGGTGGGCCTTTGTCGTGGGCTTCATTTAGCCCCTGTTTCCTCTCTTTTTCCATTTTCCCTTGCCCCCCCTATGCATATGACCAGCTTCTTTCGTTTTCTTTTTTCGCCCGGCATGACGATGGACTGCCCCCAGTCTCGTTATCCCTCTTCGTTGTGAGTTTTTTCGCCGCTTCTGCTTTCCACAAGCGGTCGCGTGCGCCTGACGCAGTTTGACCATTTTTCGCTCTTTTCCCTTCATCTTCTTCTCTTCCATTGTTGAAACACGTCGCGACACTAAAGACTTTTGTTACCATCCATTTTATTCTACGTCTGCTTCACGGTACAGACGGATTCCACACGTGCTTGTCTATACAACCCACCTCGTACGACCCGACGTAGATGAAAGTCTGGTAGTACGAATAGCTCGTATCTTCTTTTGATTCCTCGACGAGTCCGCGGCCTGGCTGGAGCGGCACAGCCTGGTCCGATACCTAGATGGCTCTGATTGTGGACATTGTGCGATCGGTCCTGTGCACCTCATGGCTTAACGTCTTGCTTGTCTTTGTGCCCATCGGCAGTGTGGCCTATTTTCTCAACATCAATTCAACCCTCATCTTCATCTTCAACGCCCTCGCTATTGTGCCTTTATCGTCCCTGCTTACGGATGTCACGGAGAAGATTGCCAGCGATGCCGGCGACACCGTTGGCGCCATCCTCAACATCAGCCTCGGCAACCTCGTCGAGCTGATCTTATTGTGAGTCGAGCACCTTGCTGTTCCCTTCATTGAGGCTTGACATGTCCCGGCCTCCTCCCTCTTTGCCCCTCCATGCTAACCTGGGTCATCTGCTTGTAGTATGTAAGTCGAACTAGCCTCACGCGAGCAACGAAGATCCCCTCGATACGGCTCGTCGTTATACATTCATTGCCCGCCATACTAACTTGTCCAGTGTCGCCCTGAAGAATGATCAGATCCGTGTCGTCCAGGCGTCGATCCTCGGATCTATCCTTGTAAACTTGCTTCTGATTCTCGGCTCTGCGCTCCTCACAACGAAGCTTCCCGACCAGGAGTTTTTGCACGATGCCGCTGGCACACAGCTTCTCGGATCCCTCCTCTTTGTGTCGGTCTTTACCTTTCTTATGCCTGTAAGCTGTCACCACCCTCGCTGCTGCTGTGCCAGAGTACGTGTACTGATTCCCAACCTCTCTCATAGACTGCGTTCGACCACACTTTCAGGGGAACCGAAGGCGCAGAGGGCATGAGTCTCAAGATGAGCAGAATCTCTGCCGTCATGATTCTGCTCATTTATATCCTATACTTCTTTCACGAAATCAAGACCCGAACCCCTCCCCACGACGTCGAAGCCGTACCCCAGGACGAAGAAAACGACGATGCCACGCTATTCGACGGCCAGGATCACGTTCCTCTTCGGCCTATGCCTCTCTCTGCAGACGCTCTGAATGGCTCCCAAGCAGCTCCCCGAACCGTTCGATTCGCCGATGTCAGCCCTACATCGGAACATGCGCCTCTCAAGGAGGGCGATCGAGACAGCTTGGATGGATTAGACCCCAACGAAGGCGAATTGGATAACGAGGACTATCTGGAGAATGGAGAGCCCAAGGAGGAGGCTGGCGAAGGTCTGTTCCAGTCGTCCAGACGGGGCAAGACACGAGCTCGCTCATTATCTCTAGGCTCAAGCAGGGGAGCGATGAGCGAAACATCCGAGGGAGGAGACCGCACGGAACTGATGGCGCCGTACCTCACGACCAGGCAGATCCTCCGCGACAGCCACGTCAACCTCGACCGCATCGTTGCCAAACCAAGACATGTCTCGTTCGGAGCCAAGACGGACCGCGTCATCTCCTACGTGATGCTGATCCTGACCTCGTCCTTCATGTCCGTCTCGGCCGAGTTTCTAGCCAGCGCCATCGACGATGTGATTCGCCAGGGTCATTTGTCCGAGTCCCTCATTGGCCTCATCATCATGCCCATCGTCGGCAACGTCGCCGAGTACGCCACTGTGGTTGTCGTTGCTGCAAGAGACAACATGGGACTTGCGCTGGCAGTTTCGGTTGGCTCATCGATCCAAATTGCGCTCTGCGTGACTCCGTTGACGGTCATTGCGGGCTGGATCATGGATCGTCCGCTGATGCTGACATTCAATCTCTTTGAGATTGCCACTCTCTTTGGATCTGTCTTGTTGGTGAACTTTTTGATTCTTGGCGAGGGAGTAAGTGGCCCGCTGCGATCCAGTGGCCTGAAGGGCGGATTAATGTGTGCGTGTTATGTGATTATCGGGTAAGTCTGAATTTTGTTTTCTACATTCTCATACTGGTATAGGCATTTGCTAACATTAAGCCAGACTCGGGGCGTATCTGTCTCCCTAGCATGATGGAGTTATACACTTGGGGTATTTTGTACACATAGAATTTCTGCATTCTGCGATAAAAGCAGCACCAAACAATTAGATATGTATCTACTAGAGTTAATCATAATGAACAAAAATTCGTCAAAACAAAGCACATTGAAGCTTCTCCAACATTTGGTGGCGGAATCATTGTGTGCGTTACGTAATCACATTTGTCGCTACGGAGCATTTAGTGTTGCCCAACTTCAACTCTTACATGTAAACCTCAACTTTGTCATGTTGTAATGCAGCATCACGACTCATCTTTTCTTCTTCTCAACACATGGTCATGCGGCGTGGGGGGGATGACTCTGACGATGAAGACATCCCGCTGCATCACAAACGCCCGTTTGGCGCTGGGTTGAAACGCAAGAAGATTGAGTTTGTCAAAGCCACAGACGCAGACGCAAGCAACACGATCAAGAATCTGGGCAAAGAAACCGCCTCCATCGGAGATGTCTACGCCAGCATAGTGTTAGGCGGCAGCTCCAGGGATTCGTCATCAAAACCTGAAGGCACCAGCGATGAAAAGGACGACCAAAATGAGGACGCTGCTGAAAAAGAGCCGGAGCCTCCGACATGTCCCGTCTGCTCTCTTCCCATCACGACGACGCTGCAGCAACACGAGGCCTCGCTTGCCCATCAAGTCAGCCTGGAACACTCCCATCCGCCATCTGCACTAGATCGATCGCGCATGGGTTTGCGAGCCCTGGAATCTCAGGGCTGGGACCCCGATTCCCGCCTTGGCCTGGGCCGAGAAGGCGAGGGCTCCCGGTTCCCGATCAAGGTAGCCCGGAAAGAGGACACGCTGGGAATCGGGGCTACTCGCACGCGGCCAAAGCAGGCGGTTCAAGAGAAGCCTCGGGCTCTGACTGGCAAGGAAATGCGCGCTCTGGCGGACAAGGAGAGAAGAAAGGGGGAGAGGCTACAGGCTGAGATCTATGGACGCGTGGATGTGGAGAAGTATCTCAGGGGGAATGGAGGCGAGGATGGCCTATGAGAAGTACAAAGAGCACAAAGAGACGAACAATAGACTGCAGATGGCCTGGATATAGACGTGGTTGGAGGAAACCGAGTTCCAGCATGGTCGTGTGATGTTTGCCGATGTTTGCTATCTTGCCCGTGCATGTTCTGTATCCATATGTACCTATCCCGGCACGAGTCTGTGGCATGATTCCATCCATTCCACATCGAGCTCTGAGACCCTTGAAGCCGGGTCGCTAAAGGGAATAACCTCCAATGCTCTTCAGCGAAGCGTCCTAGTGACCTCATCGCCCCGCGGCACTCAACCAGCCACCCTTAGCGCTAAAGTTAGGGGCCAGGCACTAATGGTCGAGCCTGAAGCAGCCTGGGGTCGCCCGGAGTTTCAGCCTGTGCGCACCAACCCCGCCAAAACCCGACCTTCCTTTCAGCTTTGGTGATGCTTCACAAAACAAAACTTGGCCTCCCTCAGCCTCGACCGCACTCGAGCTTCCAGCCGTTGCTCACGCCTCTGATCTCTACGCTACCAAGTGAAGCTGCTAGTCGTGGTTGATTTAATTGTCGCAAGCCGATCTTCCGCCTACTTCTCCCGTCTTTTCCGCCTGTCGTTGACTTTGTCCATCACCGCCTGACGGGACAGCTCCGTTGAACTCCGTCACAATGGGGTTGTCCGTCTTTGAAGAGCAGCACAATGGTATGAGCCCGGTTCTCATGCTCGGGGAGCTTGCATCTATCGCATTGCTGACACATGTCATAGTTATCCTGCAAGAAATCAAGAACATCACGCAAAACGATGTACGAGACCGCCTGCCCCTGTTTATCCCCTACCGACCGACAGCGATTCTGACCACTCCCAGTGGAAATGTTTGATAGTCGACGAGACCTCCAAGAAGATTGTCGACAATGTTGTCAAGTCGGATGACATCCTCAACAGCAATATTGCCAGTCAGCCTCACCTCCCGTATCTCCGATTGCGAGGCCCTTTACTGACACCATCTCCGCAGCCATCGAGCTCATCGAAGCTCGTCGCGAGCCTAACCCCGAGATGGACGCCATCTACCTCCTCAGCCCCGAACCGCACATTGTCGAATGCCTCCTGGCCGACTTCGAGCTCCGGCGCTACCGAAGAGGGTTTCTGGTATGGACGAACCTGCTAGACCCGGCCCTGCGAAGGAAAATCGACGAGTTCCCCGGCGTGCGCCAGCTGCGCGCGAGCTCTCGGACGCTGTTTGTCGACTTTTACCCTCGAGAATCACATTTGGTGACATTCCGGGATCCCTGGAGCTTCCCGATGCTCTTTCACCCGGGTTGTAATGCCATTGTCCCCAAGCATATGCAGCTCCTTGCGCAAAGAGTAAGCTTGGACCAGCCATGGATTCTTCTTTTCTTTTCTTTCTTTTCTTTTGTTAGTATAAAACGAGAGCGCTGATGAAGCTGTCAGATTGCCGGAATTTGCATTACTCTAGGAGAGTATCCAAAGGTGAGATACTACAAGCCGAAAAATGCCTTCCACGAGGCTTCCGTCTTATGCACCCACCTGGCGAGATTCGTTCAAGAAGAACTGGACGGCTATGCCCAATGGGACTCCAACTTCCCGCCTCCGTCGACCAGGCCACAGTCGACGCTCCTTATTACAGACCGGTCGATGGACCTTATGGCTCCGCTAGTACACGAATTCACCTATCAAGCCATGGCGCACGATCTGCTTCCCATCAAGGACGGCGACAAGGTTACTTTCCATACGACAATCAACGAAGGGACACCAGATGAACAGGAGAAGGACATGGAGCTTGCAGAAAAGGACAAGATTTGGGTCGAAAATCGTCATCGTCACATGAAGGACACGATTGACAAGCTCATGGGCGATTTCCAAAAGTTTTTGGATCAGAATCCTCATTTCACTAGGGAAAACACCGACACGACGAGTCTGAGCGCCATCCGCGACATGATGGCTGGGTTGCCTCAGTTCCAGGAGATGAAGGAGGCTTATTCTTTGCATCTCACCATGGCCCAGGAATGCATGAACAAATTCCAGCATCATAAATTGTCCGACACTGCGGCCATTGAGCAGACGCTGGCCACCGGGCTGGACGAGGACTACAAGAAGCCGAAGAATATTCTGGATTCGGTCGCTCGTTTGCTGGATGACGATGCGGTATCCCCCGGAGACCGACTCCGGCTGATTACTCTCTATGCGCTATATCGTGATGGCATGATTTTGGATGATGTCAAGAAACTCCTCGCCCATTCAGGTCTCCCCATCCAAGACACGGAGACTATCATCAACCTTGAACACATCGGAGGGAGACCTATTAAGCAGCTAAAGGAGCAACGGCAGGCAATTCCTCCGCTGTTTCCCGCTGACAATAAGAACTCTCAAGACGAGGACGATTATACTCTTTCCCGCTTTGAGCCTGTCCTGAAGCAGGTACTGGACGGACTGACCAAAGGCACTCTGGATCAAACCCTCTTCCCATACGTCAAGCCACCATTGGATCCGAACGAGGATATGCTTGCAGCTCAGGCAGGGTCACTTCGTGCTGCTGGACGGCCAAACTGGGCAGCGGCTGGCCGACGGCCTCCCGAAAACCGCCAGAGGCTGATTGTCTTTATGGCTGGCGGCGCTACATACAGTGAAAGCAGGGCATGCTACGAGCTTGGCAACGAGCGAAGCCGTGATATTATCCTGGCAACTTCGCACATGCTCACGCCCCAGCTCTTCCTCCGCCAAATCGGAGATCTCAGCCGCGACAAACGACAGCTGGATCTTCCCATTGAGCGCAAGAGACACGCACCCGCACATCTTTTCGAGCGCCCAGCACCACCACCGCCACCGGTTCAGGCTCGGCCACCACAACAGCAGGCCGCAGCACCTCGGCCTGGCGCTGCTGCGCATCAACCGGTGGCTCGCCCGGGCGGCCTTCCCAGTCGACCGACTCCCAGCGGCGGTGCCGTGCCAACGCAAGCCATGGCCAACATGCACATCAACTCTAGCGGACACAGGCCGACAACATCGAACAGCTCGTACGATGACGGCAAAGCACACAAGGAGAAGAAGAGAAGGAACTTCCTGGGTCTAAAGAAGTAGGGTTCTTTTCGAGAGAGGTCCTTTTCTTCTGGCTCCGCGTCGTCAGGCGGTGGGAACAAGATTAAGAAGCTGCAAGCTTGAATTCCATCCTTTCAGAAAGAAGGCATTCATTTATCTACGGCGGACGAAGTACTTCTTATTTTTTTTTTATTATTTCACTGCGAGGAGAGCCCTTTTTGGTACTCGTATGTTTTGCCCCCCTTCTTTTTCCAAAAAACTTTTGGGTACTACATTTTTCTGTTTCCCTAAAAGCGTGGCGTGGAGAATTGAGATTGAGCGATAGTTTTATTTGTGGTGGCGAATGAATGAATTCATGTATGGTTGAGATGTTTTAATAATCATGAGGCGAACGTGAGAGGTAGTAAGTAGTAGAGCACTTTAATTCTTTGTTCTTTTTTTTCGAAAGGTGTAGCAGGGTGGTGGAAGTAATAAATTGCATTGCATTGTGTTGAAGAAGAGTGAAATATCCATGTCCTAGAAATGTATGCCAACATGTGAGATGATGTATTATATACTGAATGACAAAAGACCACTCCGTGAAACGCTCCGCCTGCTGCACCGTGAATCATGACGAATTCAGACAAAAAACAAAACAAACTCCCGTGCAGACGTTAAAATCGTGTCTCGATTACCTTCTTCCCCTTGTTGACTCTCTCCTGAGCGCTCTTTACCCGCTCATCATCCATGTTGCGCCTCCATTTGCAGCTCGGCGCGAACTCGCACGACGTACACTTGAACGCCTCCTCGATCGTCACGCCAGCAGGTTTCCTCTCGCCGCGCCACCAGCTCATGTCCCCAGCGAGATAGGCATCCAAAGTCTGCTTCGAAACGGGGAAATCAACAGTCGTAAGTTCGCGACCGTCATCCCGAAAGACGTACTGCACACGGAGAATAGAGCCGATGGACTCTGCGCCGCGCGGGAAGGTGAGCCGGATTTCGTCCTCGACGAGGGTGACGAGTTCGCGGAGGGATCCGTACTTGAGGAGGTCGGGCACGCCGGAGGATGACGGCTCGGGGATAGCGGTGGAGTTGCTGTCCTGAGCGGCCTTTCCTTTAGCTGCGTTCCTTTTGAACTGCTCGAATTCTTCGGCCGAACTAGTGGGGGTGTCGAAGAAGATTTCGTCGTGGAGCTCTCCGATTTGCGACATGAAGGTGTCCGAGAAGCGCTCGTCGGCATCTAGCCCGTATCGCCTAAACACTTTGAAGAAGTCTAGCTCGCCGGCGGCCATGTTGGATAGAAAGCGATGGTAGAGAAGCAACTGAATCTTTGCAGGTCGGACGGTTGCTGCTGATACAGGTTTCGTAGTGCCCCGTGTTTTGACATCCGAAAGGAAGACTTGGCGGTTGTTGCGTTTTGGCTTGCCGGGCTTGAGGCCTGAGAAGTAGTCTGATATCATTGACTGGTTCTGACTGGGTTGGGATCCTTGGCTGGAGAGTTCTTCCTCAAACTCTGGATTGGGGTTGTCGTAGCTGAGATCGTCAATGACGCCGTTGACCAGATTGCCGTCCACCATGCCCCAAACTTCCAGTTCCCTCGTCAAACCCGTATCTCGCAATGTTCTTAGCCCTTGGACCAGGTTCCATAACCTCAGCCCAAACCCATCCTCCTTGTTTAGAATCTCAACCTTGACCGTCGTATGAACCTCGTCTTCAAGCTTCTTGTGCACTTTGGACCCTTGTTGCATTGCTGGTGTTCGAGTTTTCCGTCCACCAGGTAGCCGTGTGAGTGTATACCAGTACTGAAGCTCGCACCATGCTCCAGCAGTCAGGTCGCTTACAGTTAGCGGCCTCTTTGGAAATGAGCGAAACCGCTTTAATGGGGAACGGTCGTCCTCGAATTCAAGCTCATCATCGTCGCCGATTTCTGTAAGAGGGGGTGACTGGATGGGTTTAATTGCTTGTAGAGCAGTGGTTACTGTATCAAGATTTAGTTGTTTGTCGAGCTGAAGTTGGCGAATCTGGAGTGTACTCACGATCGGGATAAGCGATGGCCGTACTGACAGAAGGAGGAGACGAGATGCTCTGGTTCTGGTCTACCGATATCTCTTCCTCTATGGCAAACCCATTTGATGGTGACGCATAGTTGCGGTAGGCATATTTCTGAGAGGATTTGATCTCGCCCGGGGCCTCGAAATCTGTATTTGTCTTCTGGACAATGGCTCGATTCACATCATCAGTCGACTTGAGCGGCGGCGAGTGAGTCGAAGCAAGTTGGATGAGAAGCTCCTCGTCGTCGGTTTCAAAGTCGTAGCCAAACTCGTCGTCGCTGGGTTGCACGGCCATGATTGTCGATCATGGTGGTGTTTTCGCCATGCGTGAATGTGAATGCGATAGCGGGGTGAAACGAACGTGCCTATTGAACCCTAGACTGGAAGAAGATGCGCGATAGAAACACCAGGCAAACACGCAGTCACGTGAGCTAGGCATCTCTCTTGCGTTGAACAAGTTGGGATGATGGCCGACTTCTGCCTAGGAAGTGTCCGAGGATGGATTAAATTGGTTCAATATTACGTTGAATTGAATAACGTCGATAGAATCATTGGCCGCAACATTGATGCCCTGTTAAGCTTAACAGTCATGGTAGAAGGATGGTTAAAACGGCATGTAAGTGGACACAGCTACACCTACTGTAGGTACATGATCACACTGCCTAAAGACCAAATCAGCTCAATTCCTTATCATCCTGCCTCACTACTAATCTTTGCTTCTCTATCTTCAATTCGCGGAATAACGGATAATACCTCGTGTTCCTTCAGCCTAGCAGCAGTGAATACGATGCAACTTCGTATATGCATCCCCAGGCACGTTAGTTGGCAGCTGTCACTGGCACTTTGAGGCGTAGCTCGGGCTGTACCCGCCCCAAGGCGGCAAGTGGGCACGAACTAAATGTACTTGCAGAATTGAGCGGAAGCGGAATTCACAGTGCCCGCATCTGACTCAGCACAAATGCTACAGTGGGCGGATGGTAGACAGTGGATTGGACATGTGGATGGACAGCTGGCTGCAGCAACTCCGGACGCGAATCCAGTCCATACGAGTACAACTCGGCAATCTCTGCAGCTCCGTCGTTCGATTGCTGCTTCAACCAAACAGGCTTCTATCTCCTTGTCGCAGTTTGACGTCGATTGCGACCGCACCAAGAACAGAACCCCCTGGAGCACGCCTGGCTGCGTCACTCCCCAACTGCTAACCCCCCCCCCCGAATTGGTCTGAGCACCGCCGCCGTAATCTAAGCCAACAAAGCGATTGCCTTGCGAAACGAACACCTCACCATCTTCGAACCTCGACGACCTGGGCATGATACACCCATAACAGATCCCTCACACAATGCAGCTGCGAAATAGTGCGCCCACGGCGCTTCTGGCGACTCTGCTCGCGCCGCTGGCCTCGGCCTTTTACCTCCCCGGAGTTGCCCCTACCTCATACAAGCCCGGCGATGAAGTCCCGCTATACGTCAACAGCATCAAGCCCGTGGCGGCGCCGCAAGATGCTCGATTACACTCGGTCGTCTCGTACGATTACTACCATCCGGCCTTTCAGTTCTGCAAGCCAGAGGGCGGGCCAAAGTATGTGTCGGAGAGTCTGGGCAGCATCCTGTTTGGCGACCGGATAATGACGTCCGCCTTTGACCTCAAGATGGGCACCAACGAAACATGTAAGCCGCTCTGCACGGTGAAATACCAGGACAAGTCGGTGGATTTTGTGTCGACGAGGATTGAGCAGGGCTACAGCCTCAATTGGCTCGTCGACGGTCTTCCTGCAGGCCAGCAGATCCAGGACCAGCTGACGGGCACCACATTCTACAGCCCTGGGTTCTTGCTGGGGCAAGACGATGAATCGGGCAATATTCTCTTCAACAACCACTACGAGATTTGGGTCGAGTACCACCAAGTCAGCGGGAACGAGAATCAGCTCCGAGTTGTCGGCGTTGTTGTTCAGCCCAGCTCCAAAAAGTACCAAGGGGAGGCCGACTGTGGCGACAACCACCCGAACCTCGTCTTTGCCAAGGGCTCCGGTCCCCAGGAGGTCAAGTTCAGCTACAGCGTCTACTGGGTAAAGTCGCCTACCGCCTGGGCTACCCGTTGGGACAAGTATCTGCACGTCTTTGACCCCAAGATCCACTGGTTTTGGCTCGTCGACACCGCCATTATTGTCGTCATTCTTGTTCTCACCGTCATGTCCATTCTGATCCGAACTCTGAAGAAGGACATTGCGCGATACAATCGCCTTGACCAGATCAACTTGGACGACCTGAGTGGCACCTCGATGCTGGAGGATGGTGTCCAGGAAGATTCTGGCTGGAAGCTGGTCCACGGCGACGTCTTCCGAACCCCGTCGCGCCCACTCCTGCTTTCCATCCTCTTGGGCAACGGAGCTCAACTCTTTGTCATGACCGGATTTACCATTGTTTTTGCGCTGCTGGGCTTCTTGTCGCCTTCTAACCGTGGATCTCTGGGCACCATCATGATCATTCTCTACACTGTCCTCGGCATCGTTGGAGGATACACCTCGGCTAGAACGTACAAGGCCATGCAGGGCGAGCAGTGGAAGCTCAACATTGTCTTGACTCCTTTGCTGGTCCCCGGTATCGTCTTCATTGCCTTCTTCCTGCTGGATCTGTTCCTCTGGGCCAAGGAGTCTTCCGGCGCCGTGCCCTTCACCACCATGCTGGTCATCGTCGGCATCTGGTTCATCATCTCCATTCCCCTCTCGTTTGCGGGCTCTTGGCTCGGATTCAAAGCCGTCCAAATCGAGAATCCTGTCCGCACCAACCAGATCCCTCGCCAAATTCCCCCCGTCACCACCTACCTCCAGCCCATCCCCAGCATGCTCATTGTCGGCCTCTTGCCCTTTGGCGCCATCTTTGTCGAGCTTTACTTCATCATGAGCTCCATCTGGTTCAGCCGCATCTACTACATGTTTGGTTTCCTGTTCCTCTGCTACGGCCTTATGATTGCCGTCTGCGGTGCGGTCACCATCCTGATGACATACTTCCTCCTGTGTGCCGAGAACTACAACTGGCAGTGGAGATCTTTCCTGGCGGCGGGCATGAGCGGCGGCTACGTCTTCCTCAACTGCCTCCTCTACCTGGTCACCAAGGTCAAGCTTGGCGGCCTCGCGGGAACGGTCCTGTACATTGGCTACAGCGCTCTGATTTCCTTCCTGTTCTTTATCCTTTCCGGTACGTTGTCAATCATCATCATCCCTGTTCTCACCGCTACAATGTCTAACTTTAAAACCAGGCACCATCGGCTACTTCGCCTCCTGGTGGTTCGTAAGAAAGATTTACTCTTCCATCAAGATTGACTAAAGCAAAAAAAAAAGGAGTGTGGTTACAATGCGTGGCAGCGACGTGTTTCAGTTTGACACCATTCGCAGCGCAGAGAAAAAGGGGGCAACTTCGAATATATCTAGCAAACTTGTAAAGTACATGTACGACCATGGTGTGTACGGCGGTATCACTGTGACGAGGAGGGGGAAGGGCAACAAAAATCCAGCGATTCTTCTAGTTTTGCACATTTAAAGGCAACGATTTTTTATTTTATTTTTTGTTTTGGTGCAAATATGGGAGAGGGATGAGATTGGGCTGGGCGGAAAAGAGCAATGCGGGATAGACATGTTTAATTGACGACTTTTCGGCTTATTTCAAGATCAGTCTGGCTACCTGGATAGACTTATTCTTTTTTTTTTTTCACCAAGGGTTTAATACTGAATCAGCTGGTACGACCAGGATTGGCCTTGTGTAATGTTGAGAACAAAATACGTCTATGAAAGGTTTTGCTAAATGCTTCGCCGGACTGCGCCCAATGTTCCAAATAACTCGCTGTTGCTATTATCAAATGCCCTTTCAGTTCCACGAGACAAGCTAGTCCTCATCGTCGTCATCATCCAAATCATCCAGGTTGGTAAACTGAAACTGCTTCTTTTCCGCTTTTGCACTCGGAGGAGCGGCAACAGCTGCCTCCCCAGAGGCGCCGACAGCCATGCTTGCTCTCCGCCATTCGGCCTGCTGCTTTTCAATCTGTCGCTGCCTCTCTTGGCGCTGGCGCTCCGCCTCCTTCTCGCGCTCCACGCGCTCCTGCTTCTCCTTTTCTTCCTTTTCTTTGCGCTCCTCCTCTTCCTTGCGTTTCCGTTCTTCTTCCGCGACGGGATCGTAGCCTCTGGGGTCGATGCCTTGCTCCAGAAGAATCTGGTTCGATGCCAGCGCACCAGAGCGAATCTTGTCTTCCAACGGCCAGGGGAAGAAGAGTTGTCCCGAAAGAGGGTTGAGGAACTGCGTCATGGTGTCGGGGAGAGTGGTGTGTAAGGCGGCCTGCGCTTGCTGGGCGGAGTGCTCGATGGTGCCGTTTGTGGGAGCAGGGCTCTGCATAGGATTTGGAGTTTGCGCAGAGGGCGTCATGGCAGATTGGACCTGAGAATCGGGAAGCGGCGTTTGGCTCTCTTGACTGGCAGCCATGGCATTCAGGATAGCGGCGGGCGGCATAGAGGTCTTGCTAATGCGGCGGGCATGGCCGAGAAGCTCTTCGTAGACGATGGGGAAGTTTGGCTCGGTAGGGTAGGTGGTGACTTGGGTGTTGACAATGTCTTTGCGCGTCGTTGCGAGGCAGGTGAGCGTCTCGCGGATCTGGGCATCGAGAGACGCGGACAGCTGGCGAAGCTGCAGGATCTTGAGGTGGTTGTTTTGGTGTATTTCAACTGAAGAGCTGATTAGCAATTTCTTCTGATGTATCATGGGATATAAGCCGAGTGCATGTTGCCGCATACCTTGCTCGAGCCCCCTGCAGAGCTCATTGTCTGCAGCCTTGAGCTCCTCCGCATGAACAGCTGAGGGATGGTATTTGGTGACCGAGTCAATCAGAGTCGCGAGGGCCTTTTCTAGGCGCTCAAACCGGCCATCAATGTACGTGTCCATAATTTCGCACAGCCCAGCTCTTCGACTCAATTCCGTGAGGGTGCAAAAAAGCGGAATCGCAAAAGAAAAACAAAAGTTGAAAGACCAAAAACGACGAGGCTGATCGAAATCGGAAACGAGGCACGTTTGTCTCGATAACAAAAAGCTGGTGTGGGGCTCCTTTCCGGGTTCGATCATACGATTGGCCCACGCAAATTCGAGATATGCTTAGTCAGAGCCTCAGGCCAAAATCCTTGGCCGAGAATCGCCGGCAATTGCGAACAAACTCGCGCAACTTCTAGAGTGACGGCACTTTTCGACGAGCAATTGATCGATACACGCGGTTCCCGCTGCCAGAACAAGTCAAGATGGTTTCTCAGGTACGTCCCCAGACTGTCCTACTAGGTGGAAGTTTGCTCCTCAGCCGGGGGGTGGAAGCGAACGTTGAAAGAGATGCGGCGGGTAGAAAAGCAAGAGCTAACTTTTTTGACTGCGAAATAGACTCCCTTCCGCGCTGCGGAATTCAAGAGCGCCTACGGCCCCAAGTACGTTCGAACTATATGGTCTTGACGGTGGAAGGTTTTGCGGTTTGAGGGAGTGCACAAGCCGGGAGGGGGGGGGCTCTTGAGAAAAGCTTTCCGGCTGTGGCAGTTTTTTTGTATGGGTGTATGAGCTGACATCTTCGCAAAAGGTACGCTTTCCAGCCCAACTACCGCGGCATCAGCGTCCAGACTGCCACCCGATAGTAAGTCTCTCTTCTTTTTCTTTCCTTCTCCTGCATGGGGAAATCTGGGGAAAGCTGCAAGGAGGCGCCGAGCCTGGTATGCGACTGGAGGGGTAGTGGTGTGATGAAGAGGTGCGATGAAGAGGTGCTCCCAAATCATATCAAGTCGCCAAACATGCTACGGAATACCGCAAAACTCTCGAGACTGCCTCTCAGCTCGACTTTGCACCTGGAAATCAGCTCTTTCGTGCGCATGTATCGAGTCTTCAAGTTTGCTAACTGATCGATAGTGGCTTCCGAGCTGCCACCATCGGCGGTGGTCTCGGCGTTGCTCTGATGCTCTTCGCCTCCAGCCTGCCCCGTGTCCGTTCAGACATCCTCGTAGTAAGTGCTTGCTCCTAGCAGGAAGAAGGTGTATACTCACAGTGGCCTAGAAAATCCCCTTTGTTGGCGGCTTCTGGGAGAAGCAGGAGGTTCACCCTGCCGACAACGTAAGCTCCCCCTTATGGATTTCGTCAAAACTCGAATGCTGACTTGTGATAGCCCTTCTAAATGCACTCGTTGGATGGTGTTTGTAAAATTGTAACGAGGCCTTGCGCAGCTTGCCTTTGTATAAGAGATACACAATAGACTTTTCCTAAACCACAACTGTCTGCCTCTGTAAACATGCTTTGCTTTTTGAAACTGGATAATTTAATGTGATTTCCTAATGTTTGTGTTCCATAGAATCGATTGAGATGCATTGACAATCCAGATAATCAGCGTGCTTGTGCTGCTCTTCTCTCCCGGTTGAATCAATTACAGTGCTCTTCGTGCTATCCATACTGTCCGCTTCTCATTCATCTTGACAGCTCATCTCATTTCGACCTCTCTCCCCTTCAACAACGCGACATGCTTGGGCTCGTGAAATTCTATACAATAAAATGACACGCTCGTTATAATTTCCACCGTTTTATCATGCGCAAGTGCACTTTTGCGCGTTATTTCTAATTTTATTTAGCTGGCTCAAGACCCTCACTTGACAACATGGCATCAAACGCCCCTGATGCCTTTGCCATTGCAGCAAATTTCCAATTCGCAACATGGGCCGCCGGCGCTGTCCCGATTGCTTTGATTCTTCATATTCTTCTTTTCAGAGGCAATGGCAGTACTGCTGGAGGGTTGGGCCCTCTATTCACTGTTTCCCTTGCGGCGGCGACGTTTCTTTGGCTGGGCGTGGTGTCTGAAATTGTTCCCGAGCCGTATCTCGTAAGTCTGCAAACGAGCAACACATTTATGCCAGAATGCTAACGATGCATAAATAGGATGAAGTATTTCATATTCCTCAAGCTCAGAAATATTGTAAAGGGAAATTCTTAGAATGGGACGACAAGATCACAACTCCTCCAGGACTGTAAGTGACCCAGCTCTCAGCCACAAGTCAAGGATAGCTTCTAACCTCGCTGGTTGGGTATAGGTATTCGTTATCAATCTTGATCCCACAAGCAGCAAAGAGCAGCGGCCTCATCGCCTCGTACACATGTGATCCCAAGACATTGAGAGCCACCAACGCAATCGGCGTCATCATTTTGAGTTACATCGCCTTGCTGTGTCGGAAAGAAATCGAAGCTCGTCTGCATCAAGGCCATTCGTCCGTCAGCATCAAGGCTGTATCTCAATATGCCATGCACACAGCTTTTAACACTGCATTGTTCCCTCTACTCTTCTTCTTTTCGGGCCTTTACTACACAGATGTCATCTCTACTGCTGTTGTCCTTGTGGCGTTTTTGAATCATCTGCATCGAGTTGGGCGAGATCACAGCTCGTTCCTGAGCGACATCGTCACCATTGTCCTTGGATTATGGACCCTCACCATGAGGCAGACAAACGTCTTCTGGGTTGTCGTCTTTATGGGAGGGCTAGAAGCTGTGCATTCCGTCAAGAGTTTGCGACCAAAGTCTGTTACTCAGCCGTCTATGACGACGTTATCGGAGCAGTTGCTGTTCTTCATCAAGAGGTGGTCGGTTGGACATGTGCATGACTTGCCACTGCACATGGCATATCCCAAAGGTAAGACGATCCAGATTGTAGATTGTATACTTGGTCGCTAATCTGTTCATCTAGATGTGCTATTCACCGCCGTGAGTCTCATAATAGCAGCCCTCTGCAACCCCATCCGAGTCGCAAGGCAAATATGGCCCTATGTCACCGTCTTGGCCGCCTTTGCGGGATTCGTAGCATGGAACGGCGGCGTTGTCCTCGGCGACAAATCTAACCACGTCGCCACCATCCATCTCCCTCAGATGCTCTACATCTGGGCGTTTTTCGGCTTCTTCTCACTCCCGCTCTTCGTCCCATATGTGGTGTTGTGGGTGGATGCCTTGCGAAGTGTCTTCAGATCAGGCTCTGCATCTCCAAAGCCAAGCACAGAAACATCAGATGCCTCTTCAAACTCGACCTCTCATCCCGCGCCCTCACTCCCGCTGAGGTTCTCCAGTGCCATTTTCAACAATCGTCTGCTTTGGCCACTATATCTAATCGCAACATTCATCCTGTCCACTCTCGTCGTCCGCTTCAACACCATCATTCATCCATTCACTCTCGCCGACAACCGCCACTACATGTTTTACGTCTTTAGATACACCATCCGCCGCGCCCCTTGGATCCGCTACTTTCTCATTCTTCCTTATACACTCAGCCGCTGGTTTGTCTGGGGCACTCTCTCCGGCTGCACGAACTGGATCTCTGATTCTCACAAAGACGATTGCTCAGCATACTATCATTCATCTCGCCCATCGCCCTTTAGCTGCGATCCATTTGTGAAAGTAGGAGCCACCAAAGGTGAATCTCAAGACGCGCACGCACAGACACAGAAAGAACTGCAACAGCGATTCCTTCAGGACCCTCTCCTGTTCTCAACAGAGCCTGTATCGACATCCACAGGACTCATCTTTCTAATAGCCGCCACCCTGTCACTCATCACAGCACCGCTTGTCGAGCCCCGCTACTTTATCATTCCCTGGGTCATCTGGAGGCTCCTCGTCCCCGCTTGGAGGTTGCACGACCACCAAACGGCGGCGAATGGTTTGTTCGATGGCGTCACTCCAACGACCATATGGGGCAGGTTTGTGACTTTTTGTCGCTTTTATGATGTGAGGCTTATTCTCGAGACGATTTGGTTCATTGCCATCAATCTCGTCACTGGATACATATTCCTCACCAAGCCGTATGTTTGGAAGGCTGAGGACGGAACGATCCTTGATGAGGGAAGATTACAGCGATTCATGTGGTGAAACAAAAGAAAAAGCCGCATCAATCAAATGAGACGCTGCCGTTGATATAGAATATTGTATTGTTAGAGGTCCTTAAAAAGCCTCAGTCTTCTTATGCTAGATAGAATAGAATACGAATGCAAAATTTCGTTCGTGAAAAAGATTCCCAACCCAGTTGCCAAACGCCGCGCCCATATCTCGAATCCCAAACCCAAAAAGTCCCAAACGAATGCCTTCCCGTCGGCGTTGTTTTGATGTTTTGCAGCCTTGTTGCCCAAATTCCAAAAGTTCGCTCTAATCATGTATATACGTTTTTTCTCGTTGCTGGTGGCCAAGCAGGAAGAGGTGAGAAGGATAGAGAAATAAATAAAAAAACCCCCCCAGTCATTCTTGTCCAAATCCCGAATCGTTCGTTCGGTGATGTAGGAATTACCTATAAGCTTAGTCGATCGAGACTCAGGCCATCATTACTCCTTACTCGGCGAATCACGCCAAGCTTGAAAAACTTCTCCTCTCCAGCCGCCGTCCTGCCGCCGATATACCACTTGTCGGCGCCGAGGGCATCGCGAAAGCCTTCACTACTGCTATCACTGCCTCTCCTGCGCCCGCCGGGGATGGGGATGGCGCCGCCGGGGGATCCGCGCGGCGTGTGGATGGCGACGTTGGTGGATGATGTCGTAGCAGCGTTTGTGGAGATTGCGCGGGCGGTGGAGGCGGTTGAAGAAGCTGCTGCTGCTGCTGCTGCTGCTGCTGCGGCAGTTGTGGAGGCGACGGCAGATGCAGATGCAGCTTGTGAGGTGTGTTTGGCGGCCTGCTGGGTGAGGGAGGGCGCTTGCTGGCGGAACGAGTTGAAGAAGGAGGAGAGGAAGAAGGGACGTTGTGAGGGCATCGTATTGCTTTGCTTGTCGTCGATGCGAGGGATGTTTGGCGGTGTTACACTCATGTATATTGTTGTTTTTTGGTTTCCCGTCGTTGGATGCAGGCCGTTGAAGATTATTATGCGAAAGATTTGGATTATCAGCTGCCTGTGCGCGGGTGCGTGCGTTTGCGTGCGTTGCGGTAGGGTTTATGAGGGAGAGGTCCCGAGAGTCCGCCTATGAGAGCGTCCCAGGCTTGCAGATTTATGCGGAAATGGCTGCAGCTGCTCACAGGCTATCGAATGAGGGACGTCGTCGCGACTGGGCCGTGATGCGGTGAGGCCTGGCGGTTTTTTTTCTCTCTTTTTTTTGCGGAGCCGGAAGCGCAAGAGTGAGATTTGAAGTCGAGAGCGTCGTGTGTCGTGTTTCAAGGCGATGGAGAGGGAGAAGCCCAAGGGAGACGCAGAGAAGTCGCGAGAGAGGGAGCGCAGACGGAGGGCAAATCTCGCGATGATGAAGAAGAACAAGAACGAGATTCACTCAGGAGAGACGCTCGTGGTTAATGAAGATGAAGCTGAGCCGAGCGCGCAAGGGCCGTTGGTCCGAGGATGAATTCAAGCAAGGCAAGTTTTACGGTCCGAGAAGTTCTGACGTCGAAGAGTCGGCAAAACTCGGGCAGCCGGGCCAGTACCCAGTACCCAGTACGGGGGAGAAGTGCTACAGTAATGGCGGGGCTGCGATAGGCTGGAAATGTGGAAATACAGCACCTGGATGGCCTGGGCAAGGCCTGGGGGCAGCCCGTCACGGACCACCTGCAAGTCACACTGTGCATGTACTGGTACAAGGGCCTTGGCGCAAATCCCATCGGGCTTTTGATTTTGGTCCGTCGACGCAGATGACAGATGAAGTGCTACAGTAGTATCTAGATATGGAGATGGAGGGCGGACGCAAGATTCACAAGAGGATGCATGTTTATGAGCTGATGTCTGCGGGGAAACGAGGGTGACTAGGGTTTTTCAGCAAGGGAAATCGAACAACGTCCAACACCCAAAACCTAACAATAGAGTCGCAATAATCAGATCGGACCGCCCTCTCACAAATGGGGCGTCCGCTCAGCGCGCAACTCGACAGGCCTTGAACTAACAAGTGGCGTGAGCTTTCTGCACCGGCGGTAGGCAACGGCGTAGTTTTCTTCCCCTTCTTTCTTCATCTAGCAGCATCCTCAAGTCTGGGGTAAACCCGTGTCAGCCCACGGCGCTTGTGTTGTTGTTGTTGTGCCGTTGGCCGGATTGATCAAGGCATCGTCTCCGCATTCATCCCACGAACCTGTGGTTGCATTGCATTTTGCATTCAAGGTGCCCGGAAACCACTCATCAAGTGATCATGGGCTTGTTCCGAGTTGTTTTCTTGCGTCTTGTATCATGACAAGGGATCGGTGAGTGGAAGCGAAATACAAGTACAAGGGAGTCATGTGCTCTTCGGAATAGGAAAAGGAGAGAAAGCTTGTTCGCAGCCTCGGGTTAAGGGGAAGAGAGAGCCGAACAGTGAGTGCTTGTAACGGAACACGGTAACATACAATAGTTAGGTGGTAGTAGTAGAGTAGGCACGGATCTCTTCAAGTTTTCTAGACTCGTCATCTTTGCTTACCTTCCATGTCAAATCCATGTGCCGTAGATGGTTTGAATTCAAGGGATGCTTCTTCATGCGCTGCTACCAGGCACCTACAACGTACTAACCCGAACCGGGATGCAGTTAACGGGGATCCCGTTGAATCGAAATGGAACCTGGAAACGTTTTAGCGCATCGGCTTGCCTCGGTAGGTAGGTACAGGCACGTACCCCGTATTACACGCATCAGCTGTTGCTTGCGTCTTGGCCAAAGCCAGTCAAGCGCGGAGATGGGAAAAGAAGCAGCATTTCTTCTTCGACAAGAGGAAACTTGAGCACGCGGTATTATCGATACAATTTAATGAAACAATTCCAACGCTAACAATTAGTATCTGTCTACTTTCTATCCATCATGAATCATCGCCATCATTCGCAATTCTATCTCTATTTTACACTCCAATCCATGCTCAGAAACGCTCGACTCAACAATGCAGCCCATTACAGCATCGCACCGCCATTCACCAGCACCGTCTGGCCCACGACCCATGAGCTCTCGCCGCTGGCCAGGAACTTGATCGTGTTGGCGATTTCCTCAGCCTCGCCCAGTCGGTTAAAGGGACTCCAGCTCTTGATGGCAGACACCAAGCTCTCCGGCTTGCCCTTGTAGAAGAGATCAGTGCCCGTGGGGCCAGGAGCCACGGCGTTGACAACGATGCCCTTGGAAGCCAATCCCTTGGCCATGACACGAGTCATCTGCTCTATGGCGCCCTTTGTGGCAGCGTAGAGGAGATACCCGGCCGGCGCCATTGAAAAGTGGCAGATGCCCGTAGAGATGAAGATGATGCGAGATCCGGGAGGCATGTGGGGGAGCGCCTTCTGGACCAAGAAGTAAGGGCCCTTGACGTTGAGGTCGAAGCACTTTGCGAAGTCGTCCTCGGTGGTATTTTCGACGTCGCGCATCGGCATGATGCCGGCGCTGGCCACGATGGTGTCGATGCGGCCGAATTTGGTCACAGCAGCGTCAACCAGGCGGCTCAGGTCGTCGATGTTGCCCGCGTCGGCCTGGACGGCAATGGCGCGGTCTGGGCCGAAGGACTCGACCATGGCGTTTGCTGAGGCGGTGTCGCTGAGGTAGTTGATGACAATCCGGGCGCCTTCTTTGTAGAGGCGTTCGGCAGTGGCCTTGCCAATGCCGTTGGAGGCGCCGGTGATGAGGACGACTTTGTCTTGAAGAGACATGATTCAGTGCTTTTTTTTTAAAAAAAAAAAATCTAGTTGAAAGTTTAGACCGTGGCTTGTGAAAGGTGTGATTGTATGTTGGTAAAGTGGTATAAAGTGCTTATTGCTGGTGTGCGTGTGTTGATGCTATTGAAGCTGTAGTTGATGGAGATGCGGATGATGAGACAAACTCGACAACATCGCGGACGAAACAGTCCATTATATATTTCCATCTTCATCTCCCGACACAAACACAATTGAATCCCGAAAACTTGCGCGGCTCGCCTTCCATCGTGTCATCGTCGCCGTCCGAAAAAAAAAATCGCTTCCATCCGAAACTGCCCCGAAGCTACGGAATTTTGACGCCAGTGAAAATAAATCCACTGCAGCAAAATCGAGCGTCTGGCTGCGTCTCTCGGGCGTGGGCATCGGATATAGAGGGACCAAGTGGGAAGGGATAAATCCGATGATGGCGTCACTGGCTCGCCTTTCGCGCAAACAACGGAGGATGGAATGCGCGAAGGCGGTAAATCGTACGGGGGTTTCTTTTCCCTTCTTCCATTTTCTTTCATACATAGAATCTTGTTTTATTCTAACAGTCTGGTTTTACGGAGTGCAACTCTCCCATTATGTGCCCGGGATGCTTATAAGTGTGCAATTGACTGTTCACTGGCCCGGCAGAAGCGGACCCAAGGCCGGGATCCACAGAGTCGTGGAATATTCTACGGATCAATATTCTTCATTACTTTCCAGAGTGTACACGAGAGCTTTGCCGGTGAAATAACTTGACTGGTGTATATTTTAGTATAGGATGTTTGTCTCCAAGATGTCTTTGTGGTATTGATTTGCTCGATGGATGTGTACTTGTAGCTGTGTACAGCTTGGTATTGGTATTGGTATTGGTCTCGGTCGCGTGCCACATCGATGGAGAGATTTACGACAAGCCAAGTCTTATTCGTCGACTACACATCCAGGTCCCCTAAAATGAGAAGATTTCCCGAAAGGAATAAGAGGAATATATACAACTTGAATGTTTTTATTGTTCTTCAACTCATTGCAAAGCCAATATGCTGTTTCGTCTGAAATGGTGCAGGGTAGACCTTGACCACCATATACCTACCTAGTACACTTCAAGTGTTACTACTAAATTCTCTATAAAGTACAATCAAAGTACAATCAATCCGTCAAGGGTCAGAAATATCACTCACTCACTTGCATACATCTTCACGCAGTATGCAATCCAATAGTACTTTGTCTTTTATCCGCATCATGTGCATTCCCACGTTACACGCACATGCTCAGCTGGCCCCTCACTTGACGCATGCCGACATTGAACGCTCCACTCTCTCCGCAATGACATGCATCTTGCAGCTTCATCTTTGGAGCACATCCACTGTGTTGTGGTGATGCGTCTGTAAAGAGCAGAAGTCAAACAAACAGAGCGTTCAAATACCAACAGCCAAGGAGAAACAAGGCGCACAGTAATCCCAAAACTAGGGGCAAGCTGCCGATACAATGATTACACATATTCGATAGCGGAGCAGCAGAGACACGGCTGAGCATAGCATGTGTAATCACTAATTGGGCAACCTAAGCATAAAAGCGACGGCAATCACATGTTCTCAGCTTATTCACTCAACCAACGTCAAATCTCCAGTATTTCCAAACAAACAAAGCATCTAAACTCCAGAAAACCATCTCAAAATGGCCAGCTGGCAGGCATATGTCGCTTCGTGGATGGTATGGTGGAGGTTCAAGGGCTCTCTTCAAACCGTCAAGGCCCTTCGCCAGCGCATTGAAACCGATCGCCAGACCAAGAGCACGCGGCCTCCCGCGCATCTGGAAACACGGTTCACCATCGAGGAGCGCCATCTCGGAGGCTGCACGCTGTATGATGTGGCGCCCAAGTCTGAGATGCCGAACCAGGCCCGGATTCTTTACCTCCACGGCGGCTGTTTGCTGTTTGAGATTGATGCCGCACATTGGCAGATGGTGGCGGCGCTGGCGGAGCGGCTGCGAGCCGTTGTGACGGTAGCGATATTCCCGCTGGCACCAGAACATACCCTGATGGAGATTTTCGATGCGGTAAGGCCGGTCTATGATGACCTTGCTTTGCCGTCGCAGGATAAGACGCCGTTCTTTGTGGTGGGAGATTCGACGGGCGGCAGCTTGGGCATCTCGCTCACCCAGGAGGCGCTCAAAGCAGGACGGCCGGCGGCATCTCGGCTCGCTTTCCTGTCTCCCTGCGTCGAGTTCACTTTTCACAACCCAGAGGTACGACAAGCCGCCCAGACGGATCCGTGGCTGGATATCCCGGGCTTCGAAGAGGCGGTGCGCTATCTTTGCCCGGATGTGTCGCCGGACGATGCGCGAGTGAGCCCTCTTCACGGAGATGTTAGCCAGCTGCCGCCAACAATGATATTTGCTGGATCAACGGAGATGTTGACGCCGGATGTCAGGAAATTTGTGGCCAAAGTAAGGGAGCAGGGACGGGAGATTGAGTACGTCGAGGGAGAGGGCATGATGCATGTCTGGCCGTTGGTGCAGTTTCTGCCAGAGGCGAGAGAGGCCGTGGATAAGTTGGTGCGCTGGCTAGAGTACGGCAAGAGTTGATGATGGGGACTGTTGTGGGATTGGCGACCAAGGCAAGTGGATGATCAAAGAAGAGGATTTGGGCATTTGCATTTGTTTATCTTGCACGAGAGGATTTGGTAATGATTTGGATATACCTACAAGTAGAATGATCTATGGCTGCATGGATATTGGCAGACGAATAGAATGCAGCTCTGTTTGACGTTAAAATGGACAAGAAGAAGCCATAATTGGTCATGTCAATATCTATCTTGTAAAGCTTGATGATGCGAGTTCTGATAAACACCTCTCCTTCATACCGGAAGAGAGCATCAACCAATCTATGAATTGACATCCAACTTCATCGCCGCAAAATCCGCCGTCCCAACCTGCTGCCACATCTTAACCTCAAATCCATTCCTCTCAAACTTTTCCACCAACGACCTCTCAACACCAGCCCAAAACTGCACTCCATCCGCCTGGCACTGCTTACGACCAGCATCAACCAGCTTCTTCCACACATCTTCCGACTGTAATCGCGGCAGTGACGGGTCAACGAGGAACTCGACAACCATCCAGTGTTGGCTATCTTCACCACTCATCACCGTCTTCTGCACTTCCGGCATGGCGACCTGGCGAAAATAATCTATCCGCTCATTTCGCACTGCGCGGTTGGGACGGAGCTTTTCCAAGATGGTATCGTGGTGGCGGTAGAATGTCCGGAGGCGCTCTTTTCGCACCCGTGGGTCAGTGGCCGTCATTTCAACAATAATGATTGCATTGCATTGAGAGATGAAAAGAAAAAACAATTCAACTCACTCTCGCGAGGTGAACTTTTGCTGAGGTCCAATCCTGTCGGCGGGGGATTATCTCCCGGAACCAGCGTCACCCAGCCTAATATCTTGGAGTCTTCTTCAAGCACGTAGACGTAGACGCCGGGCTTGAGCACCAAGTTGCGCACGTATTGAGTCCACCATCTCCTGTAAGCGAATGGATGTTCCCACTTGCCGGCGAAGAAGTAATTGTGAAAACCGTCTTGCCAGGTCAATTCGACCACGTAGTCCATGACCTTTGGGACATCGTCAATTGTCATGAGTCGGATTGCCATGATTGCTTTGGAGGTGAGTGGTGAGTGGTGAAGCGGAAAGGAAAGACTGAGAGCGAGTTAACAACCCCTTTCCACTTGTAATGTGTAGTAATCGTGGCCGGGATCGGCAAAAGGGTCTAGTACTAGGCGTCTGACCTCAGATTTGTTTCGCAACTAACGCAACTAACGAGACGCGTTTTGCTTACCGATATGTGACTTAGTTTCTGTCATATTATTATTTCGACTTCCTACTTGGAACGAGTTAGATGGGGCATGCGAGCTACGCGGACTTGCAGCGGTGATTTGTGGGGATAATTCAGGTGCTTTCGGGATATCATGAAATTCGGAGATATCTTTCAACTTTAATTTGTCTTTTGCATGATAGCATAGGCATGTTGTATTCTATAAGCGAAATCTACATCTATGACAATTCTCTAGTTCTTGCCCGCCAACTCCAAGTAGTGACTCACAACAGACTGAACCTGCTCCTCATAGTTCTTAAACTTGAATCCAAAAAGCTTCTCTGCTTTTGTGCTATCCACCTTTGCCTGGCGAGTCACCACCTTCTCCACATTATCCAGCTGGAAGATGCCATCGGCAGCCGCCTTAGGGAAGTGCTTCTTAATAATGCTAGCCGCATCGCTCCATTGAAACGGCTCAAGAGGCTGTGACGCGGCCAAAAAGTCTTGGCCAGACTCGACCTTGGGGTCTAGAGCAAGGACGTGAAGTCGGGCAACATCGTCAAGATGGACAGAGCCGCCTGGGATCGGAGGTCGTGTTGAGCCGAAAAGGGGGCCCATGAGCAAGTTGTTTGTTCCCTTGATGATTTGCTCGGCGGTTGTGACGGTGTCGTCGCGTCCCAGAACGAAGACTGGGAAGACGTGGTTGACGGAAAATGAAGGCTTTGTCTCTGCAACCCACTCTTTGGTCTTGTTGAAGGCGGTGGCTTTGGCAACGGCGTAGGCGTCGAGATGGCTTGAGTACGGGCCCGGAGCAGTTGTGGTTCGTGTTTCCTCTGCATCATGTTATTATGATGTAATTTATTGATACGACGAGTGTAGTCATTTTCTCTGCGATCAAAGGGGAACATGCTATATAAACTTACCGTTAATGTAACTGCCTGAGCCGAACGTCTCTGTATCGACTAAAGAGAGGATAGATCCGGTAATGACAATCTTCTTGATTCCCGTGGTCTTGGCTGCTGATTCAAGGATGCCGACAGTGCCCCGAATAGCAGGCTGGATCATGTAACTTTCATGGTCGATTCCTGGAGGAGCGTTGCTTGCTAGAGGAGAAGCAACATGCACGATATAGTCGACGCCCTTGACGGCTTCATCATAAGCTCCAGGGACGGTGATGTCTGGTACAATGACGCTGGTCAATTGTGAGGCGTACGGAGCGACGGGCTTGAGTTGTGAGATTTTGTCGAAGCCAGCTTGGTTTCGCACAGCGGCGCGGGCCTTGTAACCTGCTTCAAGTAGGAAGACTAATGTTCGGAAGCCAATCATGCCAGTGGCTCCGGTGACCTGCAAGTTGTCAGCTCTTAGAAACGTGTATATGTATGAATGAAGTAACGGTAATAACTAACAAGAACGAGTTCGCCAGCCATGATGATTTGGTTTAATACGATTTGCGGCGAAGAGTGTGTGCGTTGGATAGGGAGATTGCGATGGAATATATTTCACGAAATGAAGTTGTATCTGCCCGAGATGATACTGCTCCTGAATTGAAAGCTGAAAAGACCTGGATGCTACCAAAACTCTATTTATACGGGAATCCAGCCAAAGGATCGATCCTCAAGAGCGGAAACTCCGCACTAGTTATGTGCGACGGCGTTGTTGGTTCGGGCGGTTTCCCACTTCGTCCATGGACATTCATTCCTCCAGCCATCCTCATAGTCTCCATGCTTTGCAAGACCAGGGAGGGGGTGATTTGTCAGGCTGGGCCAACGGTTCGCGCCGTGACATTAGTTTCTCAATCGAAGATCGTATCCGAACCTCGGAACACGCCCAGTTGCGCCATGGAGATATGGATTATAAAAGATCGAGTGGGTTCTTGATCCTACCTACGTAATGCCTAGTGACGGGGATTAGCGGGAAAAGGCCCCGATGAAAATGCCGAACTGTCCGCCAAACGTTTGTTTCTAGGGGAGAAGCTTCTTAGTGCCAACGGGGGCCGATTAGTATTCGAGGTTTGGTTCGATTTCCTGCGATTAATAATCTGGGTGGATGGGTTTCGAAGGGTGCTGGGCTGCTTCAGATGGACATGGCTGATGCTAGTGTCTTGGTATTAATTGCCTTATTAGGATAATGGAGTCACCGGGATTTGCTGGTTGTGAGGAATCAATATCCTCAACTCACCTATTTAGGACATTCCCTATTGTTTAGCTGAAGAATGAAATGTTTTCATCGGGGAATACTGGGCGCGGAAAATCCGGTAGGATTCTCTTTATCCTCGGTGAATAATGCTGATGACGAACTTTGATGACAGTTGCTTGTATAATACGGATGGCTGCATCGCATATGGCGAGCTTTAAGTTGATTATGCTCTTGCGTTTATTTGATGCATTATGAAGGCCAAAGTTCTCTTGTTACTTACTTTTGATTATGGCGCCTTGATTTATCATGCCGTATGACAAACTTCAGTGTCGTTTCGTACGCCTACCAGCCATGATACATTGGCATTGTATCTGAGAAGCCCTCGTTATCATGGTAGCACAAGATATATGGACTTGTCAAATTGCAAGCAGGTTCTTTATGCGACGATGGTGTGCAATTGGGGAAAGGGGAAGGGTTATTCGAGTTGTTTGCTATGAAAGTCGACTCGCTCAAGGATGCAATAACCACACACGGCCTTGGTCAGCCACCATCCTGTTGTATGAGACAATTATAATCAAGCGGAAGCAATTTCTCCCTTACTCGGAGTCAAACCCATCAAGACAAGTTTCACCTACTCTCAAACCCGCGATGCAAATGGTGCACATATGAAGGAAAAACACATCCACGGGTAAATCGTGTAAGGCGCCTAATATATTTGCCGAAGCTTAAAGATGCAGCCAAACGACGAATACCTCTGTAGGTCTACTTACTACCGAAAACCTGTAGTTAGGCCAGAGGTATGTAAGCCAACTATCAATGACCGCATCAGCTAAGCTTCCAACGTTGACGTCAAATTCTATCGTTTTCGCAATTAATTTTCAATTTCCAAGAATACCATTGAATATTGTTCGCCATGTTGGAAGGCTTCGATCCCTTCACCATCACAACGCAGGATGAGCCGCATGTCTCAATCTTCGGCATCAGAAGTGGCGATGCGTCGTCATCCAAACGGCCGCCGCTGTTACTCCTTCACGGCTTCCCGCAGACGCACCGCATCTGGCACCGCGTGGCAGCACAGGTCAAAGACAAGTACAACATTGTCATGATTGACTTGCGCGGATACGGAAATTCGTCCAAGCCGGCGGATGTATCGCAATATGTGAAAAGCCTCATGGCTCTCGATTGCGTCAAGGTGATGGACGAGCTTGGGATCACAGAGCCATTCTTCATTTGCGCTCACGACCGCGGCGCAAGAGTTGCCCACAGGCTGTGCGTCAATCACCCTGATCGCGTGCGCAAGGCCATATTCTTGGATATATGCCCTACCCTTGCAATGTATTCGGTCAAGGATCCCAATTTTGCCAAGTCCTACTGGCATTGGTTCTTCCTGATCCAGAGGGAGCCACTGCCCGAGACGCTCATATCGACAAACGCCCGGCGGTTTGCGGAATTGTTCATGGGAGGCCGACAGAAGAGCGGGCTCGAAATCTTTGAGAAAGAGAGCCTGGCGGCCTATGTTTCGAATCTCGAGGACCCCGCGACGATCCATTCCATGTGTCAGGATTACCGAGCAAGCGCTACACTCGACTTGGATGCAGCGCAGGAAGATGCAAAGCAAGGGAAATTGCTTCAAAACCCGTTGAGAGTCATATGGGCGAGGCATGGTGTCATTGGCAAGTGTTTTGATGCCGTGCAGGAATGGAAGGCTGCTAGCAATGCTTGGGTTGATGGTCATGATGTTGATTCGGGGCATTACATCCCGGAGGACGTGCCGGATGAAGTTGTATCTAACATCCTGGACTTTCTACATTAAGCACACTCATTTTTGATAAAACCGTATTAATTAAATTTGTGTCTTTGTTTGAATAATACTTAATCATTTGCATCAAGTTTTTTTTCTGCATACGAATGTTGAACTGAGAATGAGTTTGCGGAAATGCCCCAATCTGTCACTGCGGCAGATGATTACCCGAATAGGAATCCGGGGCTTGGAGCGAGCTTTCATATTCCCAGCTTGTTATGGTCATCAAATGATGGGCGGTAGTTTATGCCGTAAAACCCCATTGATGAAGTCGGCAGAAACTTATGATAAAGGCGTTCCAACGAGATTTGATACGCGGAAGATTGTTGTTCGGGTTCTATTTAAACTCTTCCGAAACATGCATCTCAACTGGCAACACAATACCCCGCGCTGCAGTCGGCTACTTCTGTATGCGAATCAACTGCGGAAGAAAGAACAAGCGTGCGTACGCATGCTGATCAGTTGTTGCGTGATGCAATCTCTCTTCTTTGTATTTCTTTCATTTCTTCCACCTCTCATATCCATCGTTTTACCCAGATTTATTTTCCCATTATTTTCTCTACTTCCACTCTTGTTCTATGAAGTCTTTGGCTACTCTGCTATCGCGTCGCCCTCCTCCTCCACCACCACCCCCAGCAGCAAAGATGCCGGCCCGCCAGTCTCTCAAAATCGCCGTCATTCCTGGCGATGGCATCGGAAAAGAGGTGATGGAATTTGGCGTCATGTGTCTGGAAAGCATCGCTTCAATCTACAAGATCCAGCTGGAGTTTGAACATTTCGACTTTGCGAGCTGCGACTATTACAAGGAGCATGGCGCAATGATGCCTCCCGACTGGAAGGAGAAGCTTCTTCCGTTTGACGCCATCTACTTTGGAGCCGTGGGTATGCCAGATCTCGTTCCGGACGACGTATCCCTATGGGGTAGCTTGATTAAGTTTCGCCGCGAATTTGATCAGTATATCAACCTCCGCCCTTGTCGCCTAATGCCTGGTGTGCCGAGTCCATTGGCCAACCGCAAGCCGGGCGATATCGACTTTTGGATCGTGCGGGAGAACACCGAGGGAGAGTACAGCAGCATTGGAGGAAAGATGTTTGAGGGGACGGACCGTGAGATTGTGATTCAGGAAACGGTCATGACGAGGACGGGAGTAGATCGCGTACTCAAATATGCCTTTGATCTTGCGCTGAGCCGACCGCGGAAGCTGTTGACCAGCGCAACGAAGAGTAACGGCATCAGCATCACAATGCCTTACTGGGATTCCAGGGTTCAGGAGATGTCTACCAAGTATCCAGACGTCTCCGTCGAAAAATACCACATCGACATCCTGACAGCTCATTTCGTCCAACGGCCCAAGAAATTCGACGTGGTGGTCGGCAGCAACCTGTTTGGAGATATTCTGTCAGATCTCGGCCCAGCATGCACTGGCACCATTGGCATTGCCCCGTCAGCTAACATCAACCCCGAGGGCAAGTTCCCAAGCCTATTCGAACCGGTCCACGGAAGCGCTCCGGATATTGCGGGACAAGGCATTGCGAATCCGGTGGGCATGATTTGGGCTGGTCAGATGTTGCTGCACCATTTTGAACATCGCGAGGCGGCGGATGCATTGCTGAAAGCGATAGAGAACGTCATGGCTCGTGCTGAAACAGAGGTTGTTACGCCCGATATGGGTGGCAAGGGAACAACGAAAAAGTTTGGAGAGGCCATTAAGGATGAGATTTGGCGGGTAGCAATAAAGACTGGGAAGTGGAAACCTTGAACATTGTTGAGACTCAATGTTCGATATGAGTGTGTCCTACATACAATGTCTAGTGTATAGAGAGTTCTCTTTCAGGATTAGAAATACAGGTACAGGTAACACGCGCGCATATCAACAATCTATTGCTGTATTACGTGAAACGGTGTAAATGTCTATCGAATATGTAGCTCAGACTCTAGGCTAGATCGAGGCCATGCAGAACAATGCCAATACTAGCATCTTGCATCTCATCAGATTTGGATCGCAGCCTCATCTCACTACCTCGGCTCTCCGTATTATTCTCTCAAACCGACCATTTGTCAGCATCGAAACCCTTCACCCAAACCGGGCCACCCGCACTTGAGCGGTGATATCTGCCTGCATCTGTCCGCAATATGCCGCAGATCAACTAGCAAACTCGCCTTGCAAACGCCCGACCACTGCCATTGCGCGCCGAGAACGCTTATAGCGTGTGTCCCTATTCCACCATGGAGCGGCGTTATGAGGCTCTGGCAACGACGCCGGCGCCATTCGCCTGTTTGGCATGCCGGGACTCCAAGCGGCGATGCGACCGCGCCATTCCTCAGTGCAAAGGCTGTCTCCAGTGAGGGCTCTCCTCATCTGATTACATTGACATGCGCTCTTCCAGTGCCTATTTACTAATCGGCGACCCCCTTACAGGAAGCGGATCGTGTGCGACTATCCCTACCGTCGTAAGAAGCGAGAGCGAAAGTCGCCAACCACCACCAATGCAGTCATCTCTCCCACCTCTGGCTTACTTACAGATCAGGCTTCAGCCACAGCCGAGCCCTCGCAAGCAAGCCCGGACTATGACAACTTCCATCTTGTGCCCTCTCATTCTGCTGGGGTCAACTTTCTCACTGAGCGCTTCCTTGATCCCGAAGCTTTCAACAGTGCTCAGCTCAAGGTACCGGAGCCGGATATTGACTACCTAATTACGAAAGATGTATCGGACTTGGTCGGCGACGTCGCAAATATCAAGGCGATATCTGATCAATTCTTTTCCTCTGTTCAAGAATGGATGCCAATCGTATCGAAAACCCAGTTCCTGGCCAACCTGGTTAGCTGGTTGACCCATAAGCGCGCCGAGCTCTTCTTTCTCATCCTCGCCATGAAATTGTCCTGCGAGCAAGTTTCGGGACCGAGAACGCCGCTTTACCAAATCACAAAGTACTTGCAGTTTCGAATTGAGCATTCGGGAGCTTTGTCTCTCCAGGTGATTCAGGCCTCGGTTCTCATAGCCATTTATGAGATGGGACATGGCGTTTATCCATCGGCATTCTTATCTATTTCTGAGTGTGCTCGTTATGCTACCGCCTTGGGGATTGACAAGTCGATTTTATGCCGCGAGTTGAACGGAGTCTCGAGGAACGAATTGGAGGAACGCCGTCGAGTGTGGTGGGCGATTCTTGTTTTAGATAGGTACGGTTCCCTTTGTCTTTTCCTCACGACATGTTGATACTAACTATCGTGTCAGATTCCTAAACTTGTCGGACCCAAGTCGCCATCTAGTAACGCCTGACCCAATCTTGGAGAATATCCTCCCCGTTGACGATGCCAATTTCAATAATGGGGTGAGTAACACTACGATAAACAATGTACTCATAGATCTAAGCTAATATAAAATATCTAGACCTGCCGGCCTGAGGATGCATACACACTCGGCTCCGCCAGCGCACTTGATCTGGGCCGATTTGCCCGTTTCGCACAAGCTGCCCATCTAATCGGCCAGGTCCTACGACACGTTGCCGAAGGATTCAGTGAGAGCGAGACAGCACAGCTGAGACGCACCATATTTTCTCTGGTCAGCGTTTCAAAGCTAGAAGCGCACTTGAGGCAACTAGAGTTCTGTGCCCAAACAGCTGTGTGCTATTGGTACGTGTACTTGAACGGATCCATCCATCCTACCTACATAGTTACTAATGGCTACAAGTGGAATACTCCTGCTGGACTGTTCTCAGTCAAAGAATAAGAGCGGAGCAGACACATCTGGTATATCACTTGACCAGCTATCTACGGAAAGCAACCTGATTTCTCAAACGGCTTTGCAGATGTCCATGTACATCGCACAGCAGCCCTTTAAGAAAATACACGACTTTGCATCCCCATTCCTCTTGCATATGCTTTACAAGGTGGCGCTGATTTATTTGCGCGCTTCAAGATCTACTCCTGGTGATACTGTTGCTGATAAGTTGCATGTTATCAAGCATGGGATGGAGATTCTCGGACGCCGATGGCAGATTGGTCGTACGTATTGCTACAGACTTTTCATTTAAGCATGTTCTAACCTGTTTTGTAGAGTCGTATCTTTCTTTGCTATCGCGGCACGAAATCATGCAAGCAATGCAGTAGATGCAAGTGCCACGAGGGCTTTCATTTGCCAAAAATGCCATCGACTATGAACTACAGTAGACTTCTTTGGTGTGCATCTACCTTACATGTATCCAGCATCCTTTGAGATCCTGTCCAAAAGTTTATGCAGCTTGACGGCCTTTTCAAAATCGGAATAGCAGTCCTTTTTGAGCGCGTATGCCTCGAATAATCTTGCAGTATTCACTCCAGGCGGAGCAACATCCTTGATATGGCTGGGCTCATCTTGCTCCCAGTCAATTGTTTTTACTTCTCCGTCTTTTCCAATAAGACGCAGAGTCCTGGCATTGGACCCCGTCTGATATCCTCTGCCCTTAGTTGCGAGCTCTATCTCTCCTTCAATGCCGGAAATGAGCCAGCGTAGACCTCCATCAATCGGTCGTGGAGGTGTGCGCGTGGAGATACTCACAACAGCGCCACTTTCCAACGTGCCTTGGACGAAGATGTGATCGGGTGAGGTTCTTTTCTTCTCGGGATTGACGACTTCTCCGGTCTTGCTGCTGATGAGCTTTACGATTGGCTGCTGGACGGCGAAAGTTGATTTGACACTGGCAAAATCACCGAGCACATGGACAAAGCCACTTAAGACTTATTGCAGGTGCAAGTCAGTTTCGAGACCATCATCGCGTATGAAAAGAGTACTCACAATGGGCAAAATTGATGTGGTATTCGTCCCCACCACTCTCAAAATCCAGGTAAAACTCAGCTTCTGCCGTCCATGTCTGGATCGATCCATTGGGAGGCGCAATCTGGACGTCGGAACTGGTTACTCTGCCGATTGCTCCACTCTCAATCAACTCTTTGGCTTTTGCAAGCCATGGGTCTGTGCAGAACTGTGTCCCGACTATGGTCTTCAAATTGGACTCTTTGGCCAGTTGAAGCATCTCCTCGGCTTGTGCGGTGCTGGTACCCAAGGGCCATTCCACAAAGACTTGCTTCTTGGCCAATAGGGCAGGCTTAGCAGCAAGCAAATGCCTCGAAACCACAATGGCCACATCGATGAGATCGACATGGGGATCATTGGCTAGGTCTTCGACGCTGCCGTATGCCTTGACAGATGAAGGCAGCTTGTGATATTCGATTGAACGACGAGCTGATTCAACTGACGAATTGCATATGGCAACGATTTCGTAATGAGGGGAGGGACGGAGGGAGGCCAGGTGAGCGGAAACGCCCCATTTACCTTGGCCGACACCGGCTGGTTCAGTGCTGAGTCCAACGAGACCGACACGGATGGGAGACATTGTGAATGCAGTTGTCGAACGAACTTGAGGAGATGTGATTGAGGAGGAGAGAGGAGAGAAGATGGGAAAGCTGGATGCTCCGTCATTTATACTTGGATGTAACTAGCATTTGACGTACAATCGGGGCCGAATCGGCCGGAAAGTGACTGAAATATGCTGTAAAATATGAATATTTAGTGAATACAATGTGTTTTATAGGCTTCAATAAGAGTCGTCGAGATATATCTTCAGGGACGCATCTTACAACAGCACCAATACAATTGCTTAGAGTTCCGGGACCCGCTCCAACTCCGACCAAGACTGCAAGATCGCACCGAAACTCCGGCCGCTAACACGTTTAGATCCACTTGAACCCCGTCGTTGTGGTGGTATTTTATATAAACATCGCTGGATTCACATATCAAAGATGGAGTTTATGCTGGGCGTATTGAATCCGATCGTATTCTAAAAGCTGTTCATATCCGGGATCGGATTTCGTGTTGCAGCAAGTGATTCTCGTGGCCCGCATTTGCCAAGTCGTACATTGCGCGGTAAGGAGTAAAAGCTTTGACTAAACTAAGACAGCAGATGCTGTGATACTGCCAGAGATTGGAACTGATATAGGCCGAACCCATTCACATACGTAAGATGTACACTTGATGACTCTATCAGGAAAATATGCTCTCCAGGTGATCATTGATGGCTATGATACCCTGTAACACCTATTTAGCTTGGCAATCCTACGCTGAAGAGCGAGCTAAAGTACATATCAGGAGTTGTACTCGAACTATGTATTCAAAGCTGCGACTGTGAGTTTAAACTAGTTGATTCACAGCTCAAGGAACGTGGCATTGTCCAAAACGATGAATGAGCCTCCTTTCACCAGAACAGATGCGCTTGATGATAGCCGTCTTGACGAATCTCGCGAACGGATCCCCAACGCAGAGTAATCCGCCTCAACGCAGACCCCGCAGCACGAGTATGGCCTCATTGACTATATTCCTGGAGAACCAGCGATACCGTTAGCTGGGATTGAAGGCTTTTTGCACAATGAGCTTGCTACACCGATCTTGGACGAGCTTTACAACGTGCTGCATATATTCGCAAGAAAGCTCAGTAGCAACATCGATGCGCTCCATGTGCAAAATTTCAAGGGCAGAAGGATTGTACCGGTTGAGGATCCCCGGTTTCATCTCGTACGACAAGAAAAGAGTGTTTTCATAAAGCCAATCCCAGTTTGCTTACTCAACTATGACTTTTGGACGCGACATCTGGCATCGGATTTGCACACTTCAAGGGTAGTGTTGTCTGAGTCGGATTCTTATCGGGCAATGGCTTTGGGATTCTTGAGATCATATTCTCATCTCATTCAGCATCAATCAGATCTTCGAATCGCAAGAGACCATGGTCTCATCCCGGAAGACATCACCTGGCCTAGATGGTCCACGTTTATTCGCGGGTTTCGCCTTTTACGTGATGAAAATGTAGCAAAACGGTATCACTATGGTCAGGTTCGCCTTACGCGCTTGAACTGGGCCATTTTCATCTTTCGGCCCAAGAGCGCAGGCAACAAGTCACGATTTTACCACGAGTCCCCATGGTCGGCATTGGCCTTCGTTCAGAATGCCGCGGTACCGCTGGCGTTCATATTTGCTAGTGTCTCTCTCATTCTCTCTTCGATGCAAGTGATGCTCTCTGTGCCCGATGATTCGCTGCTGTCTGGGGGAATTGGTGAAGACGGGCTTCGGGCGGTGCAGCGGATCTTTTGGTGGTTTTCGATCTTGACATTACTTTTTGCGGCCTTGTCCTCGGCATTACTAGTCTTTATTCCTGTTATCATTATTATATACCAGGTATCTTGGGGGATCATGAAGTATCGAGGGAAGTAGAGTTGGCAGGGCAATTGTGATTGGTGACGGAATGCAAATGTGAGATAGAGATGGGAATAAACAACTAAGGCAGCTAATATATATTATGCCTAACATGCTGGCAGGGATTGGGTAGGAAAAAGACGGGATCGACCCAACACAAGCAACATCCCCTATTTTCAACAGCTATAGCTATCGCCATGAGTGCAACAAACACGATGAGCCGTGAAAAGTCCGATGAGAGGCGCGATTCTAGCTCTAAAGGCTTCAACAACCTGGTCTTCGTCAGAGATATCCGCCGTCATAGGCCTCTCGGTCCGTCAGGTGAACCGGATTTACAGCCGGTGCCTCAAATATGGCTTCGACCCATCAGTCCGGCTGTTACAAATAAGCAATTCCTTTGTGTCTGACCGGCCGAGGAGTGGAAGGCCCCAAAAAACGGACTGAAGAAGTTGAATAAGCTGTTGCCGAAAACTTCAAGCGCGATAGTCGCAACGGGGAAAAGTCATGTGCTGACATAGTTGCCGAGATAACTCAAGCAGGCCATCCTGTATCATCTACGACGGTGTGGAAGGTGTTGAAAGATACAGGTCTTAGGAAATCAGGCCGGTTAAAAAGCGCAGCACGAGGACGAAGATGAAGAACAGCGCGGCTGAATCAGTGCCTAGTCCATACGTAGTGGCCCTTGAAAGATTGGAAGAAGGTGATTAGGTCTAAAGAGCCAGCGGTTATTCTACTGCGCCGCGGCGGCAGCAATCGTACCAAGTTTCAAGGTGACAAAAGGTTCGAGGCTCTATTCCAGAGCGATGAAGATGTCCTTTAGACTTATACTCCGGAGTTGTTTTTCACACAACCAGAAAGTCCCTTGTTATCGCTGGAAGACAGAGACGGCCCGAGGGAAGAAAGCGATCTCGAGGCAAATGGGAGGAATGAATCGGCCGCTACAGATCATTCTTGACTCTATGAATGAAGCTATGCAAGAGCACATGAATTTTTCCTGATTAACCCGTGGTCAGGATGCCTTATTTGGATCTTCAAAAATATTTGTATTTACCTATTGAAGGTGGTCGTATAGTTCGTTTGGCCTACGTTATGAGTGAATTCAGTCTCTCGGCTCCTTGCATTTCAACTGTTGATTCACGTAAATGTTCCACCACCACCGCAGAGCCCTTTGGCTCAAAGAGAATACTCTAGGTCCAAGATAGTCACACCGCTCATTGCCACCGTGGAGATACTAGTCTCCTGATGGATCATAAAAGTGGTCGCAAAGCCGGCCGGAAGTCATCACGTCCATACCTTCTCACCGAATGCATCGGCACAACACGCAGGTGTCAGCCGGTGGCACAACATTGATGCATGTCTTTCATCCCAAGAGGAGGTGGCAAATACAGAATTACGTTGGAAATATTAGTACGGTGCCTGACAATGTTTCAGAGCAATCTAATTATTACAAATGGCATGTATCACTTGTGAGATTTGCGATGACCCAACCCGTTTTCACAATAGCGTGGTGTTTTTTGATGTTCCGCTTTAGGACATTAACATATGTTAATGTAAACTTGATGTAGGTCATCTCTCCCTGCTGGATTGCTAAAAATTTGTTTACGGATTCCGTGTTTGCTCCTTGTGCCGCGGGGAAGTGTTACAGAGAACCCGTCTTGTCAATGACGGCTGCAAGGTGACTGCAGCTTAGTGTTACGTGAGTGAGTTGTGTGTGTACTCACTGTCAGCTCGCCACATGTTGAGACTTGATTGTGACGTGCATATGCGCGGGATAGTGGAATACGAGCTCCATTGCGGCGGTTCTCGTTGATAGTACCAGCCTCCCGCCATCATCTCTACAACAAGACTTCCGCCAGCCACGATCATGGCTTACTGTTGTCGGCCATTGTGTAAGCTGATATGAGGCATCTTCTCGAAGGCCTAATACTCGTCAGTTGTTGTTGATAGCGGTTTCTAAACAATCCCACCGTGAATCCTCCCTCCTCCTGGCCGCCGACTTCCGAGACATCTGTCGGTGAAATAGTTCAGTCAACGTATGTCTTATGCTGATTATGAAGTAGTATTGGCAGAGGGGGTCTCCGCCTTCTTGTAACATCAAGAAGCAGCAAGGGCAGACGAACATGAAAACCACGATGAATGCCAAGTATGCAAATGTGATAGGTCTGAAGACCTCTGATCGGACATGTACGCCTGCAAGCCACCGAATCATACGAGACAAACGGGGCCTTGTTAAGCATATTGTGATGTAGCCGGTGGAACAAATGATGTAATTGTATATAACGTAATTTCACTCGATGTCACAAACCCGTATAACGGAAAAGCTATAAGTTGAGATATCTATCCCCCAAGTCTTCAATCCGATCCTCATCTCACTCCATTCACTCAACCCATAATCAACCAGATCAGTTTGCTCATATCTATCTTTACTCAACTCTTTCCATAATGAAGCCTCTTTCATTCTTCACTGTGCTTCTAGCTGCCTCGGGAGTCAATGCCAAGGTGACCAATCTTCCGAAGAAAGAAGTGAAATGCAGTAAGACTTCCAAACACACAAGTGAAAATAACATTATCTTATTTTTTCAGGTGGTGTCAGCCGCGCATTCCAGGTTTCGGATGTTGAGAAAGCTGGAGAAGCCGCTATTAAACACAAGAATAGTCCTATTGGTGAGTGGAAGCCCAAATATTTGTGCCTCGGCGATGATTTAAACCACTAACATTGATTCCAAAGGGGCTCGCCTATACCCTCATAGATACTATTTTGATCGTCCTGACTGCCCCGGTGATCTCTGGGGGTTCCCGCTCAGTTGGACGATTGAATACACGGGAGGAGACCCTGGACTCGTTAGGGGTATTTTCACCTTCACAGAGGTCGGAGGTGTTTTGGAGGCGAGGTAAGCTCAAACACACTCATAGTTGAAATTACGTGAATACTGCTAACGTTCAAAGATACTGCGGTACTTACGCCCACAAGACGAAGCCTGGCGACAACAACTTTTACATCTGCACCTGAGCCAGCCAGCTCCTTACGGGCTTGCATAGAAGTATTAATATCTGCAATGCCGCCTTACTGCATATGATTGCATAGCACCAATTCACTTTTTTAAATCTCTTGTCAATTCCGTGACCTTGTTTTGTAGTGAAAATATAGAGCGCCTCTATGTAACGAATGATTGGATTCCTGATGTACACCCATCTTCGTGCTCAATATTTCACAGATATTGCCTTCCTTATTCCTTCTTTTCAAACAACTCCAAAACATCCCTGTTTCCACGCGCAGCAGCCACATCAATCGCCGTCTGCTGAGCCTCATCCTCCATCATGGGATCGAGCCCTAGATCCCTAAGCTCCTGAAATCGTTCGACATCCCCAGCCGCAGCGGCATGTAAGAGACCTCGTCCTCGGTTATCCCTAACAAAGAAGTCGCCACCTATGGTTTCCAGCATTGGCTTGACAAGTTCTGGTGAAGGTTTGATTTCATGGCTGGAATACAGCCACCTCTCAAACTTTGGCAAACTATAGAATGAAAACAATGCCGTCTCCCCACGGTTGTTGCGAGCATTTATATCAACACCGCGACCGACCAAGGTGTGAAAGAAGGTGCGTAGACTCACATGAGAAATACCCGCTCCTAGTATATGCAGCAGAGTTTCTCCCTTCTTGTTGACAACTGTAGGATCTGCTCCCGCTGCCAACAGCACCTCTAATTCCTCGGCAGTCTCCCGACGGTTGGCACGCCTCACGGCATAGTGAAACGGAGTATCGCCATTTCTGTCCGCCTGGTTCATTAAACCGGGGGCCTTTTCAAGAACGTAGGCCAGGGATTTCTGGTACAAGGTAGAATAATAAAGGCGCTCTTCAGCAGCAAGCATATAATGAATGACGTTTCGGCCAAAGTGATCTGTCGCCTCCAATTCTGCACCGAGAGACAAAAGTTGCTGAAATGAGGTAACTCGCTCCTCCGGCGCAATCACGTCGTTATTCGCGTCTGATCCGATGATATGATCGGGGCCACCACCATCATCATAGCCACCGGCATTATCGCAGATCGCATGGAGGAGGGTGCGGCCTTTGGCGTCTCGATGGTTGACGTCGAGATTTGGAATTTGAAGAAACGGATCTGCAAGTATATCCGAACCAAGTACGTAATGTAATAAGGTGCATTCCCTATAGCCTTTAGGCACATCGATAGTGGTGATTTGTGTTTCTGCGAGATTGGAATCGTCCTCGGCCTTTTTGTCTCTCTTGAGGAATTTTGCAAACGGATCAGCTCCATGCTGAATGAGTATCTTAATGATCTTCGTTCTCATGGCGAGGTCCTGATGAAAGTTGTGCGACTGACACCAATCCAAGCTCAAATGCCTGGCGGCAAAATGCAGTGGGAATTCTTTATGTGGCTCCTCATATGTACCCATCTTCTTTCTTCTCCTCACGTCTGACTCATCGACCGGCGCGTCTCCCACAACATTTATGTCTATACCGCTAGACAAGAGCGCTTGAAGAACTTCAGCATTACTGGAGTCAATGGCGCCAAAAATCGAGTCCAGCGTGACGGTTGCTCCATGCTTGATGAGAAGATGGACCATATCGACGTTATGCTGTGCGCATGCAAGACAGCTCTGGCCCTGGCCGTCAACCGCATTGACATCTGCTCCTCTTTCGATTAGTATCTTGGCTGCTTCCCAGTTAAAGGGTCCTGGATAATTGCCGTCTCCTTGGAGAGCCATATGGAGTGGCGTCTGCCCCTTTGCATTACGCATGTGAATGTCCGCGCCGGCATCAAGCAGATAAGGCAATGCCTGGCAGACTTGCCACCAGGTATTGCCTCGTGCGACCCCAAAGAGAGCGGATTCCATATCAGTGCCAGTCTCGTTGACGTTGACCGCAAACTTCTCAACAAGCAATCGAACCATATCCATGTTTGGCAACTCTCTCTGAACGGCGGCAAGAAGAAATGGCGTAAAAGGAGCTGCAGTGCCATCTCTCTTTGAGAAGAACAAGCCTGGCTTTGTTTTGTCGCCAAAAGCATGCCATTCTCCTTTCTCTAACTGTGCCTCCGTCTCAATGGATGCTATCTTGTCAACAAGCGACGTGAAGCCAAGCTGTATAAGATGTAACAAGGTGGCGTTCTCGTTTGGCTTGTCCTCGGAATCTCGAGTAAATTTGGGAAGAAATGTTGCTCCTAGCCGAACAAGTTCTTCTAGAAGATGATATTCTCTCCGAATCAAAAACCGCGTGACAAAGTTTAATGGCACGGATTGACCCTCGTCTCCGGGATGAATAAGGCGTGACGATGTCAGGGTCTCAACCGCAGCTTCTTGCTCATGGCGACGTGCAACTTGAGAGAACTTTGTGAGCTTATCCATCCCTTCTGTGGCGTCCGTACCGAGAGCGCGCATTAAACAGGAAGCAGTATAATTCCTTTGTTTCGCGACGGCTGTGTTGATGACGCCTTCTTCCCGCCTCCCAGGGCGATTTACTCGCAAAGAAATATCGGCTCCATGCTCGACAAGCATATCAACAATCTCATCAAGCCGTGCTGTGTCGCCTATACCTATACCCGGAACTGTACTGTGGCTCTGGCAAGATCCATCGGGACGGAATGAATCACGAAGGTGTAGAGGTGCCCTGTCTGAATATTCGCCACCATCTTGTTGCGCATGAGGATGCTTCCATAGTATGCACTCTTCTTCAAATTCAAGACAGCCTCGGAAGATGTCGTTGAGTTTAGCATCTGCTCCAGCTTCCAGCAGCAGAGACACTGTTTCAGGTCTTCCGGACCTACAGGCGTAGTAAAGAGGTGTATTGGAGACCAGGCCAGTTTTTACTTTCGCATCCACGCCCATTACTTTTCCTGACTGGGTGTTGTTAGTATCTGGTAGGTCCTGCTGTTGTTTCCTCAGTGCGTCTAACAGTAGGCCGACATTGTTGCTGTCTCTGCACCGGGCAGCAAGATGAAGAGGAGTCAGCCTTTCATGAGTATAAACCAGAGGATTTGCGCCAGCATCAATCAGCTTTTTGGCATACAGCCCTTGGCAACACACAGCTATGTGGAGAGGAGTGATTCCATCATTATCGGGGCCATTGATATTATTTGTTCGGGAAATGACGAGATCAATGGGCATGGTTTTTCCTGGCGGCATGTGAAGCCAACGATCATGGGCTGCGCATAAGAAGTGCAGTGGTGTGCGACCGGCATGGTTCTTCTGCTCCAAGTCTAAGCCCATACCGAGAAGCTTCTCCCAGAGTTCTAATAATGGCGGGCCATGATAAGAGCTGTGGTTTACACCCAACATGGCAAGTGTATGAAGGAGGTTATTTCCGTTATAGTCAACAGCCTTCACGTCGAGGTTTACACTAAGCAGGAATTCAAGCCTCGTCATGGGATTATCGGCCCCGGATCTCGACTCATAGGCATTGGGGCACTTCATGGCGTAGTGCAGAGCTGTTTCGCCACGGAAATTGCGTTGGAATGGTGAAACTCCTCGATCGATAAAATATTTAATATCTTTGTGTGGGTCCTTCTCGTTCATAAACAAGAAAAGGGGGAGTGATCGAAAGATTGGATTGTTTCCATGCGTGTCCACCGCGTTGATATCGGCACCCGCCTCGAGAAGGATGTCTAGAATATCTGTCCGATCCCCGCTGGACTTGTTCCAAATTAGTATTGCAGTCACACCGTCGTGATTTCGTGCGTTGGGATCGACTCCTCCAGCGAGTACGGCCTTGACCAGTTCTGCGGTTAGTTTAGGTTGCTGCATAAGGGCATGCAATGGAGTGTTGCCCATGTTATCGACTGCATTGCAGTTTGGTCCATACTCCAAGAATCTTAGAGTTGTTGGTTCATCACCATTGTGGATAAGACAGTGAAGAATTGTTTGCCCGTATTCATTTGTAGCATTGATATCAGCATGCCCTTGCTCAACAAGAAGTTCTATAGACGGTATCCAGGGTGCCGATCCTGAACGCATAACGTGAAGGGGAGTTGCGCCAGTGATATCGGTGGCATTTGCATCAAGCCCTGCTTCTAACAGCAACTTGATGAGGACTGGACAATGAGCGGCGGTATGTAATGCTGTTTCACCCAACGGTGTCCGGTAATGAATGTCAACTCCGGCCTCGACCAGAAGCGAGAATATAACTTGCAGTTTGTCGTTATAATATTCACTGCCGGTTTGATTACATAGAGCAAAGAAGCAGGTCAGTCTGGCGGGTTCATCTTGCGTATATGTCCATCGCCAAGCCGCATCCTCACCGGCATCGCATATAATATTAACATCCGCTCCAGCCTTCAATAGCATTGCCACCATGTCTTCATCAACTGCCTCGCAAGCTCTGTAAAGCATCGTCTGGCCGTTAACGGTTTTGTTGATATCCACGCCCGGTTGCTGAAGCAGCAAGTCAACGCATTTCGATGATTTCGATTTGGCTGCCCACGCCAAGGCACGGTGCATCAAATCCAAATCGTCTCTTATAAAGGGGAGAAATGCTTTCAGTGCCTTCATATTGCCATTACAGGCATACTCGACCGGTGTGTCGCCAATCGATGACCGGGAACGGCTACGCCTATCCCAAGGATTATCAAGAGTCTTTTTCGTTGAAGGACTGACCCCGGCCTTCAGTAGTGTTTCTATGGCTGCAGGGTGGTCGTGGCTAGCCGCTTCATGAAGAGGCCTGCGGCCAGAATAACTGTCAGGTCGATCTGGATCTGCACCGTTTTCTATCAATATCGAAATAATTTCCGCATGTCCCCCGGAAGCGGCCCACCAACTAGACGTTGTGTTGATGTTAGTAATGTGATTCTAGAAAACTCATCACTATTTCAATAGTAGTCAGTTTGCAGGAGAGAGAGCTATAGCTTACAGAGGTGTTTTATCGTAGATGTCCGGCACATTTATGTCGAAGCTTCCCAGTAATTCTTTCACGTATGATGCCAGGCCTGTTTTGGCCGCGAGATGAAGCTGTGTGACATTTCTAGCGCCCATGCTGTGTTCTGGCCACCTCATCTTGAGCCATGCCCTCATATTGTTATCGAGTCCAAATAGTTCGTTAAGCTTTGCGTTGATCTCTTTCTGATCCTGGCCGGCAGCTTCGGATTTTGCAATATGCTGGTGCCAATTACTGGCTGCATACTCAAAGAATGGGTACTGAAGCCTGATTTCGACTTCCATCTCCTCTACTTTGCGCCTCATCTCGAAATAGCCACCGCCGCGTCCCCATTGGTCGTGTGGCATCTCGGCAATTTCTTCATCCGTCTCAAGGACGACGGAATTCAAGCACCCAGAATTCAAGTACAGAATACACTGCAAGGCAAGTTGAGCGTGCGTTGGGCCCATCTGCAGGACAGGATACCCAATGTGTTGGCCCTCGCCCGGTCGTGTAGTACCCTTAAGGTATTCAGTGAAAGAGTGGTGTATTACCGAAACTGTTTCATCAGGTAATATTTCCAGCAATGGGCCACATGCAGCTCTGATGAGTCCCTTGGTAGCTTTTATATCCCACTTGGAATCGTTAAACATGCTGATCCTGATCATTTCTGCTAGCTCAAGCAGTCTCAAAGGACGAGTAGCATGAGTGACAGATTGCAAAATGAGGTGCTGAATATTATCCGGCACACCAGATCTTTTTGCATGCTCTCTCAATAGGTCGGTATATAAGGCGTTTAAATCTGTTGGGAGCTTCAGGAGAACTGCATTGATGTCGACGTTTGGCTCGAGAAACGCATCCATGGCTAGTTTGGCGTAGAGAAACAAGCCATTCGCACGGCCCGGGACCGCATCCGCAATCGTTTTCCAATCGCTCTCTGGGATGCTGGATCTTGATAGAGCGAAATGGACATAGGTTGAAATGTCCATATCAACCAAGGTTTCCTGCAAACGGATGTGCAGGCAACGGGCCTTTCTTAGTGGCACTTCTACACTTGACACTGGACGGCTGGTGATCAAGAACTTGACCGTCTTTGGTCGCCATTGGCTAATGTCTCCAAGTGTCCTGAGGAACCTCTCATTGCCACGATCCATCTCATCAAGTGCGTCAGCGACGCAGAAGACTTTTCCAGGAAGACTGACAAAGGCTAGGCGCAAGTGATTCCACATAGTTTCCGGAGATATGCTGTCAAGAGATCGATTCTCCTGTACATACTCCTTCAGTTGCTTCTGTAAAGGTGGGCTATAACTCAAGATTTGGTCCATCCAATCACGTAGTAAAGCTCGAGGCTCATGATTGGCGTCAATAATTTGGCGGAAAAAGAAGTACAACACCGGACAGCCTGGATTCGACTTGGCAATATCATTGATTAGATTGGCCGCCATTACTGACTTTCCAGATCCCGGGATGCCCTTGATCCAGAGCATTCCATGCTCGTCGCTTGTCATCCATTCTTTATATTGATCACTCGAGGTGAGCCAGTGTCCTGTGCCGGCAACGTGAGACGACAAGTGCCTCCGGTATTCTCCCCCAGCGATGTCGTATGCTGTTGGCTGCAACCAAGCTCGAATTTTCTCGATGACCTCTGGAAGCTCGGGAAGCAACTGCGCCGGATTGTAATCACTGATATCATCTCGGCCAATAAAGACAGCGTCAGTGTCTTCTTCGCTGGCCTGGCTCCCTGATCCCATGATGTTGGTTTATAGTTGTGGAGGTTGTGAACTGAGGGCTACCGCGGCAATTAAACCATGCGATCCACTCAGTCTCGCGAGGAGGGAGTTGGATTGTAGAAGTAGTTGGGTTTGAGTCGAGTTTGTATTCTCCAGGTTGAAATCGCACGTCCATTGCCGTGTCTCTAGTATTATATGGTTCACCTTGGGGGCTTGGTTGACCGCTAAACGCGAGATCGACAAGGCAGATAAACTGATGTTTTGCTGCCTGATGCAAATATGTAAGCGCTAAAGGTTTGTCGATTGGACGCAATGATCTGCCTAATGCTTAGCTTATGACTTCAGGGCTGTGTTTAATTATAGACGTGCATCGAGAAAATAGCTACGGAGTAATCTACGACAAATATATTGTTGACCCCGCCGATTGTATAACTTCAATGCTTTTTATGCTCATCAACCGATGGCAGTGAAATGAACGTGCCATGATGGTCGATGTGCTATTCATTTCTGTCAATGCATAATGGGAATAAACGGCGATTCAATGGACACTACTTCGACTCATAGTATCATGCTCCCAAGGTTGCCTTGAGCAGATGCCATTTTTTTCTCACCTAGGTGCCTAGCCAGTCTTGTCGCTGCGCCCAGCCCGGGGCGTCACATTGAGTAATGCTTGGTCATAGCTAGTAAGTGTGATTTGGATAGAAAACGAGGATGTCGAAGAGATTGAAGAAATCAGGAGATCTCTTATGGGGGTTAAACGAGTAGTTAAGAAGAAATTGAGTGTTGATATGGACAATCAAGTTGCTTTAGAGCGATCGTGGCAGACGAGATTTTGGCTGATGGTCAGAAAACCGGAGGCTGGACGCCCATGTAGCTCTCCATTAGCTCTCCATCCATCCGGTGCGGAGTAAGAACACCACACGGAGTTGCGGATTAATGGTCCTACAAATCATTGATATATTCTCCGGACCCAGCGCGGGGGTTTGTGCCAGCGATCGATTGCTTACAGTGCAAGCTTAGTAAATAGTCGACGCATTGGAGATTGCATCACGGAGCCTAAGAAGGGCATCGTTTGACAAGTAGAGTTGCTTTGAAATCATGGGCTTGGAAAATAGCGTACTAAGACTAAGTTAGGTTACCTGAGACTGGGATCCTGGCGGAATTGTGTTGCAAATGGTATGAGATTCGGAATTGTATATTAATCTGAATACTATCCTGATTATTAAATTGTCGTCCAGCAACATGATGGGCTGAAATGCAAGTCACTATTCTTTCAGTAATGACATCGATGGCTTGCTAAACTAGGTATGGAAATATAAAAATGATTCCAACTCCCAGTTCGTGATTAATGAACACACAAATAAACTGCTATCAAAATAGGGAACTGACAACTACCTAGCCATAGAGGTGGTAGTATAAACATCTCTCAATCCCCAACCAAAGTCTAGAATATCCAATCTGTCATTGGAGCACCAAACTCTGTCACATCATTAACACAAAACGTGCAATTCTACAACCACAGCCATGGCGGAACAAAAAGCGGTGGTGATTACAGGGCGTGGCCAGCGACTTGCCTTGCAAACCAGACCTGTGCCGACCCCTGGGCCCAATGAAGTCTTGGTGAAGGTCAACATCGTAGGATGTTCGTGTGATGATGCTCCAGAGTTTGACTAGCACGACTGACCAAAATAGTAAACCCCCACGACCAGTATGTTCGTGATTTGGGGTACTTCATTGGCGATAATATGCCCTCACCATTTGGAATTGATCTCGTTGGCGTTGTACATGCTCTTGGCAAAGATGTCAACAAGTTTAAGGTTGGCGATCTGGTGTTCGGTAATGGAGATCCATTCAAGGGAGATTACATGGGCACCCAAGAGTACGCACTCATGGATGTCAGCTTCATGGGTCGCGTTCCCTCCTCAATCACACAGGACGAGGCCGCGACATTACCATTGAACGCACTCACCATGTACATTGCTCTGTTTCACCCATCTACTCATGCCATCCCTTCTCCTTTGACGCCAGAAGGACAGTACTTCGATTACAAGAACACACCTCTAGTTATCGTTGGAGGTGGTTCCAACTGCGGGAAATTTGCCATTCAAATTGCTAAATGGGCCGGGTTAGGTACCATAGTCGCAATCGCGGGCAAGACTAAATCCGACCTTCTTCTCGAACTCGGAGCCACCCATGTCATTGACAGAACACTGAGCGACGGCGACATTGAAGCTCAAGTACGAGGCATTGTGGGAGATAACCTTTTGCACGTATGCACCGCAGTTCAGGCGCCAGACTTGACCCTAGGGGCCAACCTTCTGTCAAATAGCAAGAAGGGAATACTGGTTCCTTTAACGGCTGGCGAAGTTGATGACACTAGACTCAACAAGCAGGCAAGATACGAGTTGCGACGTTTCCTCTGCCGCCCACATGAAGACGATAGACGAGAGCTCTCAACGATCTTTTGGAAGTCTTTCCCAGATCTTGTTGAGAAGGGGATTTTTAAGCCGACTCCATTTCAGGTTGTCAAGGGGTTAGATGCCGACAAGATTAACGGCATTATTGACGATTATGGGGCAGGAAAGAATCCAACAAGACCGAATGTACACGTTGGCGATATCTAGATAGATAGCTACATAAAGATACTGAAAGGAGTACATCAGTCCCAGCGCCGCAATAGTATGGATACTCCGTTCTAGCCAAGCTTACTGTTCGGATCACTTGTATTATCACGCAAGGCCTTCACTTCGCTTCTGGCAAAGGAACTTATTGTATTAATTGAGACCATCTTTGTTCCTTTCTAGCATGAGGCCTTGACTGACAATTATGCTACATAGTCATTGACGATTCCCTGCATCCAAATGCGGACAAGATCTTTGAAGTAGCAGCCTATAGCCTCGGCGAGGTCCTTGGTATGACCAACGTCGTATTTGCGAAGAAGCCTTTGGAGAAAACGTTAATCCGCTCGATTGGCCGTGGGATAACTCCATGATACGAACAAATGAATCAGTTGTGGATTCCCGAGAATGGAATCGAGGGAGTGTTAGACCAACACGGAAATATTTACTCCGGGGATGGTGTAGGGTATATTGAACTTGAGTCACAGGAACCAGAGGCTCAAAGTACCGACGACGTCATCTTCGGTCTCAGTGTTCAAAAAGTGCCTGTGCGCATGATCTATAGGTAGCTTAAATTATCTACTCAAGCTTGGAAAGCGAATCATTGGACTTGCATGTAGATATGTTCGTGGTAAAGGTCGTCACCAAGGGCAAAAGTACACAAGTATTAAGCAAGCAAAATTGGATGTATTAAAGTGCTAAACCAAATATTACCATCTGTCAAATACGCGGCCACTTGCTTTAATCAATCTTGTAGGCCAATCATCTTGTAGACCAATCCAATAAACACTGTCGCTTTCATTATACCAGCATAAACCCGTCTTACCCGTCTTCCCATTCCATTCCCAATGTTTAATCCCAGTCCAAACCCCATCTTTCGAATCAATCTCCAAGATTTCCATCTGATATCCCAGTCCAAACCCCATCTTTCCAACAGGCAATCTTGTATACCAGATATCCCAGTCCAAACCCCATCTTTCGAATCAATCTCCAAAATTTCCATCTTGTTGCATATGTAGGTCCATAGATTGAACCAACTTCGCTTCTAACAAGTCCCAGGTGGACCACCAAAATAAATATCCATATCGCAAGTAGTCATTACTTCTTGTATCCGCTTCGTACATTCATGATCATCCCCAAATATGGTTTGAGATTTTAGGAGAGCTTGGTTCATCCAACCACCGCTTCGTTTACAGAAACCCTTTTCATGGAGTTCAGATGCCGTCGACATGAGGAAATCGCACACCGCAAGGCCGTAGCCAGTGCCAACATCCATGAGTTCATCAAAGACGATATGCTCTAATGTGGTGCTTAATACTCTCAAGCATGCATTTGGATCGTTTGCATCGGCATATGTAAAAGCAAGACGCCGAGCCAGTGTGAGCGTTGAGGGCTCCAATGGGCACTGGGATTCATTGTTCCCATTCAAGAACGGATTCAAGAGCCGCTCTGCCTCCTTGAGAGTGTTTATAGCCCTCGCATATTGAGCACTCGTAACTAATGCTGCCGCCAAAATGCATCCAGAGTGGATGGCTTGATTCTCAAGCGTCGGTTGGCCATCGCACTTCTGTACATAACGAGGGAGTAGATCTTGGAGTAGCTGATGGTTCTTGGAATCGGTTGAAAGGCGTTCCAAAATAGTTGACATGGCCGCGAGCTTCTCGGGTTCGCTCGATGCTATGAGGTCCTCAATCATCTCATTCGACCCAGCACAAGGCCCAGAAGGGTCAGAAGGGCTTTGCAGGAGGAAATGACCCGCCTCTGGAGCTTGATGATGTTTCAAGAGTTGAATTGTAAGCATGTTTGCCTCTTTGTCCCTTCGTGTTTGGCGAAGGATGCCTATAGTACTGATCAAATGGGTTATAGTCCCGGCGTGGCAAGACTTGGTGTCATCACAGTGCTCTTTGGTCATCCAGTCAAGAATGCAATGGGCATCATTGACACGCCCTGTTTTGACGTAGAAAGTGGCCAGAAAATAGCCAATCTCTAGCGTTTTGCTGTGGGTTGGAGACCAGTGGTGTCTGTAGTAGGAAAATGCAGCTCTGAAGGCTGATCCCGCCTCTTCGTGATTACAGGTACCTTCCCCGATCGCTTTCACAGCTTCTTGAACGCGGGAATAGAGCTCTTCTGGAGTAGCATTGGTGCGACAAAAGCCTTCGTCCAGGAACTTGCGCAAGTCCTGGGTGCACGTATCGGCAGTGGCTGCACCGGCCATATCCAGATCACCATCAGTGCCCTGCAAGTTCTCGAAGACGCTCTCGGCGGCGGTAACGATAACGCCGGAAGATGGTGGTGTTGGTGTCCGGTAGGTGAATTCGTCATGTATAGAAGAGCCTTTTACATGTCGTTAGATTGCGCAGTGCTTGGCTGTATTGCAGCCTAGTGTAAATGTATAGGATAGCCGACTTACCCTCCTGTATAAACGAGTCTTCAGCGGAATGTCTGCTCTGCAGCTTCTTTATCCGCTCGACGGGCTGCCTCTGCTCGGCAATGTCGAGCATACTCGCAGCTATGACTCTTGGCGGATTCTTGGACCACTTCCATTTTTTGAACCTGTATTTATACATCTTCTCTCTAGGGGGTCGGTTAGATTACCGTATTCTCTGTTGGATACTAAGAACAGCTGTCTGACACTTACGTTGCTTGAAACTGGTAGTTTGCTTGCATTAGGTCCATAGTTGCCGATAAAGCACAGTCTTGTTCTATATAGTAAGAATAGATGTTGGCTTTGTGATGCTCCCAAAGTTGAGGATCCAGCGGCCGTGCACGGGACCTGCGTTGGCCGGGAGGCTGCCCGTTGGCGGTTGCAGGTGTGTTGGCGAGAACATGGGACGGCGTATCCTGGGCTCCATCAACGGCCGTAGAAAGAACATCGGGAGAAGCATAGGCCGCATCCCCAGCGGGTTGGTTGTCGAATAGACCATCGACTTCATTAAGAGATCCTGCCATCTCAGCTTGGTGAGCCGGGTGGGGAGGTGGTGCCCAGTTGTTTGGGGCAAGGGGCTCATTGCCGGATATAGGGTATTGGTGTTGCCCATTAGCAGGAGACATTATGATATCGTCTTCAGCAAGAGATGGCGTGAGGAACAGGCCCATATCCCCGCTGGTCTGCAACACAATATTATTGGACTCATGGTCATTGTTAGAGCTATGATGGCTATACTGCCCAGTCATGGCGTAATTATCCATGGTGCTGGGTGATGAATAATGGGAGAGATTTAGAAGTTCTAATCTAACATTAAGGAATCATAATTTATAACGAGCCCTGCGTGGCAGCCAGACTATACTCGTACGCAGCCCGGCGCTGACTTGAGGAGCAGGCCGGGCAAGCTCATACTTTCTTTGTTCTTTGTCTTCATAGAAATAGGTAACCTGACCGTCGGCCGCAATTGACGACTTGACGAGCACGCCAGGGCGCTAGGGCCAGCAAACGAACAAAGGAAAATCAACAAGACAGGGATGACAGTGGCCGTGGACCCAAAGGTCCAGTCAATCGCTGGGCAGTGGAGAAACCATCACTTGGCATCGACGAGTCGTCACGCCCCGAAGTACGGATGGCCCCTTGCACAGCTATGTAGGCAGCTTCGATTTCTCGCTTAAGTATATGGAACTAACAAGTCCAGCCTTGGGTATGGCGTGAATATGTTCCTGTACTTGTGCGCTTTACTAAAGTGCCAATGGAATTAGGGGAGAGAGGGGGGGGGGGGGGGGGGGGGGGGTGCTTGGCCCATTCACTAAGGGGACGTTATTTGAAAGGCTTATAATTGGATTTTTTTGGGCATTTGCGAAATAAATGTCAATTGAAGCTAACGAAGAGAATAACCATAAAGTGTTTGACTTTGGGCTCAAGAATAAGGTATAGGAATCCCGTAATAAAATGACAGCAAAAGTATATATGTACTCAAGAAACCTGAAAATCATATTGAATTTTTTCTATATACCTTCGTTTGGGAAAAAGAAAAGGGGAATCTAGTGAGAATTTCTGGGTTCCCTTTGTTTTGCCTAAAAAGGTTGTGCGTCTCTCTCTTTGTTGCTTTGTTGAGAGAGTGGCTGAGTACATGTAACCTGAACTGTGGCAAGGCCGCTTGGGTTTCTACATAATATACTAAAGGGTATTGCAGTACCTTAGTAACCAGGGAAGTATGAGGACTGTCTTCTCTATGCCTAGAATTTGTGTCACAGTAAAGCAGTGACGTACCTTGTGTGCTACCTTCCATAGCAGTCCAAAGGGGTTCTTGGGGTGCGGAATCGCAGACTCGGGGCACTGACGTTGGCACCTGAACAGGTGTTTTCCTCACCTCTTTTGTAAAATATGCGTAGACGTAAGTACATATACCCAATACCTACTGGATGTCTACGTCTAAATAGGTCAGGTAACTACCTAAGGTAGTATTATGAAAAGTACTAGGTACCTTATTACTAGGTGTATTAAGTAGCCTCGGAAGTTGGGAGAGGTATTGCGCAGTTGGTCCAGAAACAGCCCAGCGCAGCCCGTACAGAAACCGTCCACTGGGTTGTACTACGTGGGCGGCCGCCGGAAGTATGAAAGAAGTGGAAGTCATGAAAACAGGAGCCGGGACACAGTCTCTCACCCGTACATGTCCATAGTATCTAGTACTAGATACTCCACACACACACACACACACACACACTCTCTCTCTCTCTCTCTCTCTCTCTCTCTCTCTCTCTTTCTCTCTCTCTCTCTCTCTCTCTCTCTCTTTGTCCTCTGCGTCGTACCACAGGAAGCAGTCCCCCCCCCTCTCCCCTTTCCCCTTTCCCTTTCATCACCTGGTGTTGCCATGATGCAAGATCCCGATAGAATGTCAAGTCTGTGCCTTCATCTCAGATCACTACAGTGTCTGCCTCCTGCTATGCCTGCAGCCACCTCTGTAGCGTCCATGCCGTGTTCTAATCACCCCCACAGCCTAATAAGCGATGCGTCTTCTTCGAGTTCTTGCACGTCATGAAACGGTAGCTGCAGGGCCATGAAGAACTGGACAAATTACGCCAATACGTGACAGAGCAAAATATCTAGGCAAGGTCCAGTAGAAACAACGCCAGGGGTACTGTACGCGTAGCCAAGGGCTTTTTAGGTAAGGTTAAACTTCTGGAAGCAGGACAGGCAGCAGCGGAGAAAAAGTGCCACCAAAGGCCTGCCAACAAAGGCCATGTATGTACATGTAAAGATGAAGTCTAGTACCAAGTACGGAGGTTACAGATTTAGCCTTGATATGGGACACGCAAAAGTCTTGGTGGGATAAGGGTCTTTCATGATGTGTACGGGATAGATGTAGAGCACGTGCAGATGATAAAAGCTGGCAATGATCACTTCCATCAGACGGAACACCATCGAGGCGAGCAGTTTATCTGTCTGGACTTGACTCTTGAATACGTGTACTTGCCTTTCAGCTCATCACGCGCAATTGCAAAGACATCTACAAATTTAAACCAGCCATGAGCGCTTCGGTAAGTATCATACTCCGTACCTTTGTTCAAACTCTATGTCTGAAGGTCCAAGAGACTGGGCTACTCTGTTGGATGGATCTACTATGGGATCTACTCCAAACTCTACTCAGATCCAGCCAGCCTGGATCCGCCAGATATTTAGAAGGAGGCTAACCATATGTCATCAAGCCTCATCGCCACAGCTCTCTCGAGGCGGCCAGTACACAAGGACAAGCTGGATCGATTCCGGGCGCAGGAAGTAATGGGCGAAGCAGTCCCCAACACAGCCCAAGAGGGAATGTCGACAATGGTCAGGGTCGTGCCGAACGCTCTTTTGCTCTCGACAAATGGCTATCAGAATCACCGAAAGATGAACCGTTCAACTCTTTAGCGTGGGCTACGGCCCCTGCTTCGGAACCGGCCGTGGGCACGCCGTCAGCGACGCCGCTACATGTAGACGGCTCGTCTCGCCTTTGACAACATGGATGCTGTATCCATGGATATCAACGACGCGAACGGTGTCTTGAACGCTGAGAAACCGCCTTGTTGCTAGACACCGCTGTTTGCGCCTTGCCGCCTTCATCTCCCCTTGTTTGTATCATTGGAGATTGCGCAGAAGCATGAGCGTGTGTAATAATACTTTAATTGAAAGACTGGCAAGAAATTAGGCATCATCGACAGTGCATTAGTGCCCATGTTATGAACTATTGACGCTTACCTGTACGGAGTACTCCATCATTTTACAGTAGGTGCCGTGCCACAAAAGATCTCCGCCAATCCACTTGGTACATGTCCACATCTTTGGCACGAGTACATGTCATCTGTCAACGGTTGAAGAGAAGCTTATACTAACAGGAATAATCTCCACTCAGCATCTAATACTATCCATAAAAGTGATGAATGTTTACGTTTATTAAGGGGATTAGATTAGTTCCTAGAGCTCACAGGATGTTTCCAAGCTTCGTACGACACCCAAGCCTGGAATACCCCAACAGCCAGCCCGAGAATTCCCAGAATAATCGCTATAATAACGCCAACGAGTGTCGCCATCATCATATAGCGAGCGCCGCTTTTGCGCTGAAGCCATTTCTCCAGGATGCCGCGGGGGCTGGGATCCTCCAGCTCCTTGAATAGATCCACGAGTCGGCTGCCAAAGTAGTTGTAAGAAGCTGCTTCTTCACCTTCTCTTCGATAGACGGCCGAGTCATATCGCAGGCAATCGGGGTCGAAGGATTCTTTAGACACAAGGTCGCAGAGAATCTGCTCGGAGTCTGAGTCGAATGGGAAGAGGATCTTTTGCATTGAATCCAGAGCTTCGAGGGCGATCTGTCTGGGAATATTTCCTCTGAGATTGAGACGATTAGTGCCTGCCGTTGGAGAGTTACAAATTTCACCAAAACTCGGATCTTGCGCTGAAATGGAGGGCAACGTCCGTGATGCCGCCAGATGCTCCCTCAAGACGCTTGTGTAATGGTAAATCTCCACAACCCCCCTTTTGACGTCCATCCTCAGATGGTTTCGCAGGTCATCAGTCCCTTGAAGCCTCAGCCCTGCAACCTTCTTTAGACGTCTGGCTGTTAAGGCTGGTTTTATATCTCTAATTTCGCCCGAGTCATCGTGAACATGGAGATTGCCTGTATCCTTTTGCGGAAACGCTCTTGAAATGAATCCAGTAGGTGACTCGTCGGAATGCCACTGGAATGCCTGAGCCCCGAGTTCTAGCAGACTGGATGGTTGGTTTTCAGCTGAACACTTGACCATGGACATGACTTGCATGGCAAGGTTGAATGCCCAATGCTGATCACTGGACGAAGGTGGTTTGTCCCTCTTGGAAAAGTATTCATGCATCAACTCGGAGCGCTTCACATCGGGATGAGCCTGGAGCAGATTGATGATGTCGCAAACGTCTTCATGGTTGCGCAAGGCTGGGGTGCTGGCGGGTAGCAAATCTGGGACATAGGACGACGTGACATATTTGTAAAAGTCAAAGAAGTGCTCTAATCGAGCTGAGCGCCTCCATGAGCATTCCAAGTTTGTACATGCCTCGGCTTTCTGACATGCCTCGCAGATATTCCAGTTCCAGAGTGCTTGGGTGAGCTTTTGTAGCTCAGCGTCAGTTGTGCTCTTAAGCGGGTAAGGAGATGCCAGAGAGCCAATCATGCTTGGAGTCTTGGTGTGACGAGTTGTTCATTCTCCGTTAACCCTCAAACGAAAGGGTATTCGAAATGGGCAGGTCAATGCATTTACGTATATTACTTGGGCATCCGGAGAGCCCAACTGGTTAATGCCGCCATAAGGTGAATGTAAGGCTCCCCTACTGGTTCGGTTGATGGGATTGTGGCTTATAAGCTATTGGAGCCCAACCAAACAGCTCGTAAAGGCTGCATGAACCCAAGTCAAATGTTCCATTACAATTTCTCTACTCGACCATGAGGCCTCCAGTTAATTCTTACGTGCTGTTTAACGCATATACTCTCCCCTGCCATGTCCAGTTGGTGACACCATAGCAGGCGTAACCATGAATGCGTGTAACATCCCGGCATCCGCCCAACCGTCCATGACCGACAACCGACAGGATTCAGGATATAGCAGCACTCAATTCCCCTCGCCCAATGGCAAACTAAGAGAGCCTACATGTACAGAAATTACGCGCCAAGGGAAGAGCCAATCTGTCCCGCCTGCCCCCACGCCCATCGCCGGTTTCGCAGAGTTTGACAAGAGCGTCGACAACGCGACGATCTCCCAGTTCCGTCATGTGCACTCGCTGCTTGAGAAGCCGTTGCTGGAGTATATTCGCAGCACGATTCGCAAGAAACAATGTCCTGTTTCCATACGACTGATGGTCCTAGGCCGCTCCGAAGATGATGCGAAGCCGTGCATTGTCGTCCTGTGTCCGGAGCAGCAATCGAAAAAGGTCAGGAAGTTTTTCGACAAGAAATCCGTCAGGGCTTTGCGCCTGCCAGAAGATGATCAGCCCTCATTCGAAGTCTTTGTCGTCGGTCGAGAGCCGGAGACGAAACAAGCAGAAGGAGACATTGATGTCTTCGTTCCAATCGTTGGCGAAAGCGAGAGTTATACAAACGACACGTACTGCGGAGCGCCCATACTTATCCGACAGACTTCTTGTGTCGACAAAAGATGCACTTTCGGTGGTGTCATAAAGGCTTCTTGGTCGAACGGAGAGATTAAACTATACGGGCTGACCGTCGGCCATATCCTTCTGGACGACTTGGAGGATGATATGACAGCCAGTACGGAGAGCGACCAATCCAGGTGTTCCTATGACTGGGTATTCGAGCTTTCGGATTCTGAGAGCGAGGTCGAGTGCCATGATTCGGCTGAAGAGGAGCAGGATGAAGATACCGAACCACTGTCTATGACGGATGAACTCCAGTTGGCTCTGCCGGACGCCGGTTCGTCATGGGTGGCCGACGAGTTGAGCAAGATAGGTTCCATTTCGAAAGACTCGCCGCGATATCAATCGGCAGTGGCCGACACACTATATGACGGACCAGATGCTTACTACGACTGGGCTCTTATCGAAATGATCAGCTACAAGCCGAACCTCATTCGACCGAGGAGGATGTCACACGATGAGACTCAGGAGGGTGGAGTCTTCAACTTCCGAGATCATGAGCTCGTAATGTCCGCCTCGCCGTCTGACGGCCATGGCAAGAGACAGCCGGTCGTCCTTTTAAGCGGATCAGAAGGGCTGAAACGGGGATCTCTATCGGCTCTGCCTTCGAGGCTCCTTCTTGGCCCTGGAAGAGAGTTTGTCGATGCACTCATCCTAGACCTTGACGGCAATAAGCGTATGTAGCCTTCTCCTGTCTTTTCTACTTTGGAGTTGATCACCTAAAATATGAGTAGAAATTCTTGATGGAGATTCAGGGTCATGGGTGGTCAACGAGACAACCCTTGAGGTGTACGGCTACGTCGTTGCTGCCGACGCATTTGGCGGAGGTTACCTTATTCCATTAGCAGAAGCATTTCGCAACATTGCAGACACCCTGAGATGCCAATCTGTTGATCTGGCTACGACAATTGATATGGCAAGCGCCAAACTTGGGCGTATGTTCGACATAAACGGCGAACCAACAGCCATGATGGCACCCATCACTGCCGATCATTCTGTGATGCCCAGCTCACACATCATGTCCTGCATCTCTACTCCGACTACTAATCTCTCTATTACCTCCAATATCTCCCGTGCCTCTACCCCGGCTACTAATTTCTCAATTACTTCCATGTATGACGGCGCTCTAACTCTCACAAGTTCACCCGAAGACGACCCCTTTGCTCAGGAGAAACCGTTTGCCCATCCCAAAATCCGCTCAGATTACAATCTCGAGCCTCCTGGGAGGCCTGATATGGAAGATTCTTACACGGAAGAGCTTCCTGAGTACGAGAGCTCCGACGGCGGTTCCAACAACACCTCCAGACCTGGAACCCCCACTGAGCACACTGAGGATGATACTGCCGTTTCTAGCAGGCCGTCACGCCAAGTTGACTACTTGTCTCATGGCTGGAAGGAGGAGGACATCTGGTCCTCCTGGAGATACATTGTAACTCGGCGCGCCGACTTTACTAATAACGTGCGATTGGAAAACGCTTCTTGGAGAGCGTGGATGAAAGTGAAAAACAATCTAAGGACCGTTTCGGCCAAAAGCATTAATTGGTATGTAGTTAAATCACCTTTTCTTAGGGGTGATAAATGACTAAGAAGACATCACAGGCTCAAGGATAACGATGTTACTTGGCTGTACGGTCCGTTGCAACTAGGGGTCAAGCCCATTCACGGTACTCGCGCAGAGCGATCAGGCATCTCATTGTCCAAGACGGACTCGCGGGTGACTCTCAGCAAGAAGCCGATCCTCAAAAAGAGGATGTTCAAGATTACGCTTCAGAGGCCGTTGTCCACTGCCTCACTGTTAAAGCAGGCCGCAGCGACCATCCAGGCCCAAGAGACACAAGGCAGCCTGCGACCCAAGAACAACAGGCACGGGGCCGTCGATGACTTCTCCTACCCCTTCTCTCCAAGAAGCATAATTGGTGAAAACGGCGATCTAATATCCCCAACAGAATCTTCTAAAATTGCATCCCCTACTACTAAGCGGAGGCAGATTCGTTTCAACGAACAAGTTGAGCAATGCATTGCTGTTGATATCAGCGCCGATGACGACGATGAGATGGAGGCGTACCCATGTTACGCCGGCGACAACAGCGACTCGGATGATGACATTATGTTAAAGCGGATCAGGACCAAGAAACGAATTGCCAAATCAGAGTCGACGGAGGATAAGACCATTGCCAAACTTCCCTCAACGACCCTTAAGGACCGCAAGGATACGAGACACCCACGCAGTCCACCCTTGTCTGCGTCACCTACAGAGACAATGCTACCATCAAAACCATCTTCAGAGTTCTTCTTTGACGAGGATGACGATGATGAGGCACGGATGATCCTTGGCTGGTCGTTTCCCCCTGCTGAAAGCAGCAGCAGTAGTAAACCCGTTAAGATGCGCCGCACATCTTCGGAGATACTTATATCCTACGAAGCGGGCGATTCAAACCCTGAGGAAGGCGTTTATACATGTAGTGGAGTTGTCGACAAGGTCAACACCACTCGTCGAATTGGCCACGTCCACTGGAAGAGAGAGTGAAGCTTTGGGAGCTCCCACGCATTGCAACGGTAAATGAAGACTACTCGAATACCCAACGGCTTCTTGAACTTTGATAACCACCGTGTCTCTGATCGCCGCTCTTTGAACGTTGTCGGCTCATTCTTTCTCTTGTACAGTAACTACAGGAGCATGTGTATAATTACGTTTATCAAGCCACCTGTTGCCATGGTAAAATTGCGAAAAAGCGAACAATCTGTAACTCTCAAAAAATATAGTCTCCGGTTCTGACAAAAGCTGCTCATCAAGTTTGAAACATTTGCCTGGCTTGTGGCTAACCTTATGGAGGTTATATTTATTATCAAGAGGTTCAGTAAAGCTGCCACAGCTAGGTCAGAGGAAGACTACGCCCCAGTGGCTAATCTTATTATCCTGGTTTATTCCTCAAAATGTCCTGAATTTCCACAACACTTGCATAGAGTGGTCGGTTTGTTCCCGGAGGGTCAACGCCAGGGAAGTTGCCTGCACCGAGGATCATGAGACGACTGTTTTCTTTGCTAAAGATGTGGAGGGCACGGCTGTATGCCTTTGGCTGAGGAGAATTATGCTTCTCCCATTGATCAGGCTGACCGTTGGCTCGGTTGGTAAAGACACTCTGGTGGTCGGCGTCTGAGACGACGATGGTGCCATTGATGCCACCCTCTGGTGTCCATACAACATATGGACTGCTGCTGGGCTGCACGCCGTTGAAAACAATGGGGTAGCCGTAGGCATATCGGAAGTCAAAGGGACTATCCGCGAGCCTATAGTATACGGGGTAACCGGCACCAGACCATGAGTCTCCGCCTGGAAATTCATGTACCAGGATCCATTTCTTCAGAGGCGGGATGTAATCGATGACAGTCATTCCAGGTCGATCAGTATACAGCGGGTAAGCGACATCATTAACAACATCGCCCCAATTCTTCAGATCTGTTGAAACTTGGTGAGACAACTTTTGCCCGTGTAGAGGATCTCGCTGATCAGAGTAAAACACGCCAACTGTGTTGTTCGTAGGACTGTAGCCGGAATTAGCTCCAAAGTCCAGGAGACAATACAGTCAAGAATTGCAAGGGCTCACAGAATGAATGGCTCCCAAATGCAGGGATTGCCATTTTGAGTACTGGGAGCACTTCCCCTAGCCACATTGCTGATGAATTTCCACGTCTCGCCTTTGTCAGTACTTGCGTAAAGATCAATGTTTGTGCCGTTGGCGCCAGCACTGTTGCCGCTCGCGAGCACGGTACCAGCTTTGAAGATTCCAAGGTTAAAGGTGAGCTCAGCCAAGGCAGGCTGAGATCCAAAGCCAAGTCCATTGACTTGGTCAGTCAAGTTGCTTCGCCATTCCCATGTCGCACCGCCGTCCTCACTGGCAAAGATGGGGAAATGCGGAGGGTGGTCTCCAGAGTATGCTGCGGTCGCAAGGATTGTGCCATCAGATAATTCCGTGAGTCTTGGGTAGGAGATGGAGTGACTCCCGTCTGGCTGAAAAATTATATTCTGTTCAAAAGGACTCCATGGCCTGGGCTTCTTTGATTTGTTTGTAAGGGTAACTTCGGCCCCAAGAGAAAGAATCAAGAACAAAAGTTTGCCACGCATTATGGTTGAGTGAACTTAAGCTTAAGTAATGAAATTGGCAAGGTCTCTGGGGTCTTCATGCCATTATTGGGAGTTTTCTGGTCTTTTTATATGTCAAAAGAAGATCAAAGGTTCCGTTGATGTTACCATGATACTCACCGGCCCCGATGGCATGATACTGTAACATCTGCCGGAATGCGATCCCTCGATGTCAGATCACTTACCGGAAAGCGTGGATTTAACCGTCCACGTTCTGCTTTTCTTTACTTTTTACCCGGTACAATGTGCCCCAAGATCTAGGAAACAAAGAAGTTTGGTTATTATAAGGGGCGTCTTATTGGTCTGGACTGAACCGGGATCAATTTTCGGTACCTGTCATCCGGAAGTTGAACGATCGTGGGGTGAGTTTACGGGGAAGTCGTGCATGCAAGGAGATGAATTCATCCCTGCCATTTAGCCGTTAAACTCCGGTCTCTTCCATCTGCAACTATAACCCGTCTGGGCCAAATCTGAAGTCATCCGTCACATCGTTTGCCTCTGACAGCTCATCGTGGGACTGAGTACCCCGCGCGGTGGCCATATCGAGACACTTGGGATGGAGTAGTGGGGGCTAGGTATATGCGATCCAAAGAACGCGAAGATAAAGAGCAGGGGGGCTTGTCTTTGATGCTAGCAAGCCCAATTTTCGGGGAGTCGGAGGCATGGCAGCTAGACCTGATAAATTAAAGAAGGTCGTGTTTGTGTATGAATGCGGAGAGCACGTCTATAGAGAGAGTTGAACTATATATGAAGTGGGCGCTCTAACTGAGATTCAAGCAAATAGAAAGGTAGAAAAACTATATGATGGTGCTGAAGAGTGGCATCATCGCCTGATTCAAGGGACATACGTCATCAAAGCACGTGGACATAGAGGAATCTCCATAAGAGAAATGAAGATGAAAATAAAGATTTATAAAGGCACCACAGAGGTTTACCCTAAGCTTCATGCGAAGATGGCCCAGATTGTTTTCTGGAACAACGACCAGTCTATATTTCAAGAGCTCGCTACTAATGAAACTACATAATATCCAGTAAAGACGAATTTATTGTATCTCGTTTTGAACAGATCTTTGAGAGTGATTCTTTTCATGTCAAAGAGTAGAAGAAATTTGTAAAGATGCAAACAGCTTAGCCCGACAGATGTAATAAATCGGTAAATGTATCTGGTGAACTATATATCCCAATAGTCTTCTAGTGAATAGACTATTTGGACAGTGTCTTGATCAGCTTGCGTATATGCATGCTATTCAGCAATGAAACTGTTTCCAACAATAACAGCCATGTATACCTGAAACCTGATGAGTGGTACTGTTCGAAGTGGCTAATACTATCAACTCAAGTCTTGATGCAAATGGGCGTAATTACCGAATCTTCACGGATAATTTCATCTTATACCCCAACTCGGAAATCACGGTGATTCATCAAAACCAAGACGTGCCCATAAGTCTGTCGGCTTATAAGCTCTGCTTAACCCAATTCGTGCGAGTAAGCCCCAGTCTTAACATCTGACTAGCCAGTAGTTGACTTCATCCTATTCACAAGCCGATCTCTTCAATAATATCCCGTTAACTAAATTTCTGCTACGCAGCTAATAAGCAGTAGTAAGGATTGTTCATAGATTAGGAAACATGTCCGATTTTGCTTTTCCAACTGTCTATTATTTTTAGTGTGCTCTGTCGCTCATGGCTTATTTGGGCCAACTTTACATGTTTGGCATCATTTAACTCGCTTGCTGGCCGCCATGCCGTGTCTGCGCCCTCAAGATCAGGAGACGATGATGCGGCAGTGGAGCTGCTGAGTACAGGCATGTGAAGTTCAATGAGCGTAGCGATACTCATATCGTCGCCTCTATCGATTAATTCGGCAAAGACTGGAAGTCGAGCATGTAAATCACGAGCAGTCTCCGTTTGAGTAAACACCGTAATCGAACATTCCTCCAATGCAGCATATAACAAGTACGGTGAGGAGAATAGTAGAGTGTTGAAGAATCATATTTCGTTCGAATATAGGCTTACCCATGTAATAGTTCCGCCTATCGTCATTAGGCCATGACAAATCAAAGATCCAATCACAGCGTGCCGCTGGGCAATTGATGTGGTGATCTCTATAAGACCTAGTAGTGGCCCCAGATATACCAACAGGAACTGGGGCACTGAGTTATGGCTATGCTAATCACAGCCCTATTCGAGCTCCAGCATATATGCCCAAAATAGAACGATTTTCAGCCCAAACTCAGTTTCACGGCGATCGACGAAGATGGGACTTGCTACATAGAAACTACATATACCAAGCATCATAGCCTTAGAGTTCACCATCAAATTGACATTCAATCAGAATAAACACAACTACATCACCAATTTGCAAGCTAGCAAACATTTCTTTCCAATCTCGAGCGTCTCAATCACCACCATGAAGGCAGTACTCCCTTGGTCGGTCCTCGTGCAGGCCTATTTGGCCGCGTCGAGCCCCCTACTACCACGAAGCATATCGAAAGCTCAGCCAGAATCATTGCTTCACATGAGATCTCCAGCTCCATTCCAGGATCCAAGCCCAAATACTGTCACACCCCACACCATCCGACTCAGCCGCGTTAGTCCTCAATCATCGGTTGCGCATGAGATGTCAGGGGTTGTCTCACGTAGCGACAAGTCCAGTTCGTCCATCTTCCAAAAGTTTGGCGGCGGCGTCCTCGCTCCAGTCTTTCAAAACACAGAGATGGTTGGCGAAGTCACACTTGGAAACCAGACTATGCGGCTCATTTTCGACACTGGCTCAAGTGATCTGTGGGTAGCGGGTGAAAATTACCAGTGCCTCTCATCAAACTTGACCGTACAAAGCAACACTGTCTGCAACTTCACCAACCCATTCAAGGGCACTTACTCAGGAGGTGAAATACGCGATCAACATCTTGACGTCAGATATGGTGGCGGCCAGATTGTTATAGGTAGTTTGGGATACGAGTCCGTTTCTGTTGCCGGTCTTACTCTCCCCGACCTGGAGATCTCTATTGCCGATTCCATCAATTTCCAAGCTCAGGGACAAGTCGACGGCTTGCTCGGCCTGTCTTACCCTCAAATTACAAGTGCGTTTGCTGGCGCATTTGCTGGCAATGAAACAGTCATTACTTCAGACACCCCAAATGCTACACTTCCATACAACAACTTCTTGACCAACATTTTCCGAAAGAATCTTACGGCACCTTTGTTCAGTATTGCCATGGAGCGTGGCAGCGGCGGAACTTTTGCTATAGGAGGACTTCCCTCGGTACCCATCACGCCTAATTTTGTCAGCACTCCTATCCTGATTGCTGATATCGGAACTACTGGAGTCCCCGGCTTAAGGTCAAACTTTTCCTACTACACCATTGTTGCAGAAAACTATGTCGTCAGTGGTTCCAAAGGAAACGATAGCAAGACTCCTGGAGCTGGTATTTTCACTATTGTCGACAGCGGTACATTCCTTACGATGCTGTCGCCAACCATTACTAAACCCCTCTATGAGGGATTCCGCGAGGCACCAGTCTCTCCTCCCGAGGCTCTGGGCAATTTCCTTGTGCCCTGCAACGCCACTGCACCTGAGTTTGGCATCGAGATTGCGGACCAGACTTTCTACATGGCGCCAGAAGATCTCATCCTCCAGGATATGAGACTTGATGACATGTGTCTTCTGGGTGTCCAACCTACAACAGGTACCAGACCGTCTATTATTGGCGCGACATGGCTGCATAGTGTGCTGGCTGTGTTTGACGTTGGCGCTTCGCAAATGCGATTTGCCCCTCGCCTCCCATACTAATTGGAACATCTACGGGGTCATGAGCTATACTTACGACCTGGCATCATTTTACATTTGAATTGGGCATTATTTTACACGCAACAGAAATAATTAGAGAGCTTGGCTAAAGGAATACATCGCTATGACAGCAGGGAGTTGATAAGGGCTGCACATGTCATTATCAGTTCACAGAATTACATAGAAAGAGTAACAATTACTCTTATAAACACATCAATAGCCCAACATTCGGGTATTTAATAAAATAAAACCTAGAAATGAATCTCACAACTGGACCTTCAAGAACCTTTCTATCCCCATCCGGCGATAAAAGTTGACCTTGTTGTTGTCAACCACCATCGCCGCGCCGTCTCCACCATCCCCAACTGGGTCAACAAACATTCTAAACGGCTTCTTTCCCCTCGGAACGTCTGAAAGCTCAGCCAACGCATCCGCAACCATGGAAGGGTCGGCATCCGGCGGTGGCAAGCTTGCCGTGCCGCTCATTGTCTGCTCGCCAAGGCCCTTGGTAGGACCAGCCTCGTACTCCGCCGCGATATCGGGATATGCAGGGCTTGCAGCGTCCTTGAAATGGTCGGTGCCCTTTGTGAATACTCCCGGTGATACTAACGTCGACTCGATTCCCCAGAGCGACACCTCATGGGCATAAGACTGCGCAAGAGCATCCTGCGCGGCCTTGGCGGCGAAATAAGGCCCAATCATGGGAGACTTTCCACCATATGTCGAGCTACTGCAGACCCAGATCAGGTGTCCAGATCGTGCTTTTCGCATATGCGGTAGCGCCGCCTGGTTGAGTCTCTGGCAACCAACCACGTTGACGTCGTAGAGCTGAAGCAGCTGCTTTGCACTAAAGCTCTCGGTAGGACCCCAGCTCATGTGGCCGGCATTGTGGACCACGGCGTCGATCCGCCCGGCCGATCCAACGACGCTATTCACGGCGGCATTGACGGAGTCTTGCGATAGGAGATCGAGGGGGACAGGCCGGAGGTCCACCTTGTGTTCTTTGGCGTATTTCGATATGGCATCTTCGTACTCTTTGGTGTTTCCGCTGTGCGAGTACATGCCTGCAAAGACGGTATGGCCTCTTTTGGCAATGGCTCGAGCTGCCAGGGCGCCGAAGCCGGTAGATGCGCCTGTAATGAGATATACTTGGGACATGTCGAGACGCTGGGTGTTGCTATGAAGAGTGAAACTTGTAAATGGTATAGTATGTGAATGCTGTAAGTTTAGCTGCTAGCGCTGAAAGAAGGCTGTTGTTTTTTGTTCAAGCAATTCTAATGACTATTTTCTCTTCAGCAACTCGATATAGCGAAGATTTTATATTTTATTTCTCTATAAGTGTCATTGTCCTGCTTACTGCTTCGGAATGTTAGGAAAGAGTCCGTTGAGACGGACAACGCATGAGGGTATTCCCGAGTGGGGCCGGTCGGAATAAGACCTTGTCGGGTTTACACTCACAGCCATAACTAGCATTCCCGAACCCTGTCCTCTAGCACGGCTCGCGCACCGGAAGTAAGAGTTGGCCACACGAAGAACAAAACGGACTGAAGTTGAACGTCAACGTCATCCCGGGGATAATACGGCTCAGCAAAGATCAATGAAGCTTCACTTGTCGAGTATGCTTTCGTAAGGCTTTTGAATTATTATCTTTTCTACTGCTGAATCATTCACGAACGCCTGTGCAGGGGATTATTAAGTCCACCTTTCTATTCTTGCAAACGCAATGTGATATGTAATGACTGCTCGCCGGGAATATCGAAATATCGTTGTCTCTGCAAATGCAGCGAATTTTGTTTTATCATCTCATACCTTACACGAATTTGTCAAATTGTTTATACGATTTCCATCTTGCAGATGCTCTGCTTAATAATACATCACACGAATAAAAAGTGCATTCATACTGTACAGTAGTTGTCACGGGTAAGCTCATTACATTACAATGATCACGGCAGGAATCCAATTCTCAAGAGACACATGTTTGAGATGTAGAGAATATACCCAATTCTACAATAAGAACATGGAAGTATTAACATATGGTTCTTATTCGTATCAAGCTTGTTTTAACTAAGCTCCGGCAGGATGAACCGCCACCAGGTCTCCCGCAGATGATTAAGCAGCCGATGACACTAACTCAACCTTGATGCAAAATAGCACTTACCACTCTCTTCATGGACGTGTAAGTCGAACATTGTCTTTCCATTAACTTGATAGGTATCAAATACATGAAGTTCCGTCTATGGAGCGACGTAAGTATGTAATTTTTTTTTGTATTTTGTAATATATATATATATATATTCGGTTATTCATTACCTAGGTATTTCCAGCTCAACCGAGGTCTTCATGAAGCTCGCGTCCGGAGTTAAGAACCCCCACCAAACTTTGGATGAAGTCTGAGAAGAAGCAGCAATAGTAGAGCGCACCAAGTGAATCAAGTAAAGCGGACTACTATTACTATAGTTTCTACTCTTAAGAAAAGATTGAATCCAATCAAAATCCATAATTATATGTCATTTACGTATTTCTGTACTATAGGCACTTGTAGATTTGACGTCGCATGCGCAACATCATCAAAGCTCGATACTTCACACCAGGGCAAAAATAAACTCACCCATTCACAGAAACCCATCTATAAACAAACGACCCAAATAGGAATGACGCTCGTTGGCCCTGACACTTTTCAGCCCGGACTTTTCGCGCTTGGGAACCCACCCAGACCAACTCAAACTCCGAGACAAGAGACCCTGCAACTAGCAAACAAGCGCCTCGGAAATATTGATATTGAACCAGCGCATTGGTTGAACCAGAAGCTCATTGAGCTTTTAGTTTTTCTATTTTTTCTTTCTTTAGATAGTACTAGGATTTTTGGTGTGTTTTATCGGATTTGATATTTTTACAATAAGCCCATCTCCGATGCTTTGTCATGCCTGAAGATATATCCTCTTGGTGGATGGATACAAGAAGCATCCATGATCTATATCAAGACGCATATATATATCAACCCACTGTCAACCGTCGAAATGAGACTCACACTCAACAACCAGCAACATCACAGTCTACAACATCATCACCCGGGTAATACACTACTCTCAAACTACAACATCCTATCATAACAAAAAAACACCACCACAAACACCACCATGTCTCTCCCCAAGACTTACAAGGCCATGGTCACCCTCGAGGCCAACGCCCCCTTCACCCAACAAGAGCGTGAGCTAAAGATGCCCGGCCCGGGCCAAGTCCTCGTCAAAGTCCTCGCCTGCGGCGTCTGCTCCTCAGACGTCTCCGTCATCAGCGGCCACGTGGGCCCCGTGTTCCCTCGAGTCACCGGCCACGAACTCGTCGGCGACGTCGTTGCCGTTGGCGAAAACGTGAGCCGCCTCACCGTCGGCCAGCGAGTCGGCGGCCCCTGGCACGGTGGGCACGACGGAACTTGCCGCCAGTGCCAGCGCTCCCAATTCCAGTATTGCGACAGCCAGGCCGTCAACGGCGTCAGCTTCGACGGCGGCTATGCCGAGTACGTTCTGCTAAGAGACGAGGCCGTTGTGCGCGTGCCCAAGGAAGTCGACCCAGCGGAAATCGCACCCTTCTTGTGTGCTGGCGTCACCGTCTTCAACGGAATCCGCAAGCTGCACGTTGAGCAGGGAGGAAACGTCGTCGTCAACGGCCTCGGTGGACTGGGCCATCTCGCCGTGCAGTTCGCCAACAAGATGGGCTACGAAGTGATTGCCCTCTCGTCGGGAGACGACAAGGCCGCTTTTGCCAAAGAGCTCGGCGCCCACCACTACATCAACACCAAGACGTCCGATGCCGTCGCCGAGATCCTCAAGCTGGGCGGCGCCGACATCATTGTGCAAACCGCCCCCAGCCCCGAGATGATCAGCGCCCTCGTCAAGGCCTTGGCGCCTGGGGGAAAGCTCCTGAACCTGACCCTTCTCGGACCTGTTCCCATCGACACTGTGGCTCTTGTGACGAAGGGATCGAGCGTTCACGGCTGGGCGAGTGGACACGCGATTGACAGCGAGGAGGCGATTCAGTTTGCTGTTCGACACGGGATCCGCTGCTTGGTCCAGCGATACCCTCTGGCGGAGGCGCAGAAGGCGGTGGATGATTTGATTGCCGGAAAGCCTCGATTCAGGAACGTGTTGGTGATGGACCAGTGAGGATAGGCGAATTAGAGCAGCGTTTACTTGGTAGCCATTGTGTGTTAGAATATGAGAAGATCAATAGAGTGCCTGTTGCCTAAAAACATCGAGTTTACGGAAATAAACATCCTTTTCCAAGTGTGGCACTTGTCTAAGTGCATTATCCGAGTTTCAGTCAAGTGAACCAACAAAGTTCCAGGGCCATGTGGCGGCGCAACTCCACCTCGTTCTACAGCAACATTCCAGCCCAGTCACTGACAGCATGTAGATCGCCTCACCTCACATCAACTTGACTCATGTGTCACCCCAAAACAAAACCAGCTCAACATGGATCTCTTACAATTTCCTATTTCCCATTCACTTTACCTTTATTCAGCCATCACTCTGTATCGTATCCCAGCAACATCCAAACACACAGTCTCTCTCCCCCCTAAACTGTCAATCCCCCCCCTTCTCGAATGTTCCATCTCACAACCATTAGAAATCCCCCCCCAAAACTCCGCCGGTGCGGATTCCCCCCCGCCACAGCCGCCCGATGTAGATTTCAGGGTCCAATTACCACTTTCTGCCAGCCCAGGTCCAATCCAATCCAATCCCATGCGCTCCCAATATCAACCTTGAAATGCCAAACAATCCACGGCGCCAACCCAAACCTGCTCCTTTGTCTTTTGTTCCCCTTTTCTCGTCCCAAAAATAGTCACGCGATCATTCTTGCGACAAATCGAATCTCTTATCAATGCCTCGGTGAAGATTGATCGTTTCGTCTATTTACCAGTCGCTTTTCCCAACCCCTCCGTGGCCTGGCCTGTGATGCGCAATCGGGCACCAGCTCTCTCCAAAGTCCGGTGATACAAGAAGAGACACACGTACGACGGGCAGAGGTATACAAATCCAGGGAGGCTTGGGCTGGCCGAAAGCGCAGCGCTGTGCAATCGAATTCCCCTCTCTCGTCGTGGGCAATGCCTTTATCCCGCTGCTGGGCATAACATCAATCCTACCTCGGCTCGATCAATCAAACCCGTTTATATCAATCATCCTCGCTTCCTCCGTTCCACCCAACCTGCTTTATATAATACAAACATCGCCAACATGTCTAAATCGCTGCAACTCAAGGAAGAAGGCAACCGCCACTTCCAGGCCGGCGACTACATCGGCGCCGACGGCCTCTACTCCAAAGCGTAAGTTCCCAATTCAACTCAACCTCTCCCTCTCTCTCCTCAGCAACCCCCCAAATCTCACACAAAAGGCAATGGAAATCACAGCATCATCGCCGACGCCAAAAACCCCGCCCTCTACACCAACCGCGCCATGGCCCGCCTCAAGCTCGGCCACTGGGAATCCGTCATCGCCGACTGCCAGACCTGCCTCGCCCTCTCCCCCCAAAACATGAAGGCCCACTACTACCTCGCCCAGGCCCAGCTCTCCATCCGCGACTTCGACAGCGCCCTCGACAGCGCCCTCGCCGCGCACAAGCTCTGCGCCGCCACAAACGACAAGTCCCTCGGCGCCGTCACCGCCATGGTGCTCAGGTGCAAGAAGGACCGCTGGGGGGATCGCGAGAAGAAGCGGCTGCGGCTGGAGCGCGAGGTGGAGGAGAGAATGCTCGCCTTGCTGAGGAGGGATCGCGATGAGATGCTCGTGGCGGAGGACAGCGAGATTGAGCGCGGCATGATTGAGGAGGAGGCCAACGAAAAGATTGCGACGCTGAGCAGTGTTTTTGAAGCGTCTAGATCGCAGAACCAGAAGAAGCGCGAGGTTCCCGACTGGGCTATTGACGACATCAGCTTCGACATCATGGTCGACCCCGTCATTGTAAGTTTTTCCCCCCTCGAATGTCATGTTTCACTTATACATCGCAAAAACCCCAATGGAGACAGCCATACATACTTACATCGTCTTCACCGCAGACAAAAACAGGCAAATCCTACGAACGCGCCACCATCATGGAGCATCTCCGCCGCCACCCCTCCGACCCCCTCACCCGCGAGCCTCTCTCCGCCGCCGACCTGCGGCCCAACCTCGCCCTGCGACAGGCGTGCGAGGAGTTTCTGGAGCAGAATGGCTGGGCCGTCGATTGGTAGCCCTTTTCTCTCTCCTTTTCGCGCAATTCAACAACAGCAATGGGCTTCACATCTTCCTTCGACGTGTTTCGATTATATTGTAAGCGGGCGATGGGACAAAAAGATCTCAGCTTCTTTTTTCTTGTGCAATCTTTGGTATGGCAAAGGAGCGGCATTGGCAATCAGTGTGATAAACAGGCATATCACGGCGTTTGTAGGATTTTATTTTTCGCTTCTAAGCAGGTAGCGTTGCCATTTCACGCAATTTTTCTTTTCAATAACCATATTCATCAGGAATGATAGCTGTCCCAATCATGTACATCATGTATTGCTAGTCCAAGCACAAGCTCGTCATGAGTTATCCTGTTCTATACCCCATATACAAAAGCACATTGTCCCCTTCCCAACCGTCATTTGTGTTTGCACAAAAGCACGACGCCACCCTTTTTTTTTTCTTCTCCATACGCCCAGAGCTAAACGCATATATCTTGAAGCCCCCTTTACTTTGACTTTGCTTGCACGCGATGTGGGTATCCGCCATGTCATGACTGCCCGTCCCAGCCCAAACCAAGAGTAACTCTCGCCTCTATACCGCTGACCATGTAAGAGAGAGAGGCAGACAGAAGAGAAAAAAAACAAAGACAGAAAAAGAGAGAGATTAAACAAAAGCAGCAAAGAAGAAGAAAAGAACAGCACGTTCACAGATAAATACGCGGTGTGCAGCGTCGTAGCCGGGAAACCGCAAGACGCATGTTCATCAAATGATACCGAAAAACGCCGCCGGAATGCATAATGTCACCACCACTTCCCTAGTTGTGCCCTGCACTTTCTAGCCTAGATGAAAGCTGGGGGTGGAGGCTGTGATCCTCCCTCTGGCGGCGGCGGCGCTCTTCTGCCGTCGCCACTAGGCTCCTTGACGAGCCCGACCTGTTCCTCTTCAGAAGGCTGGGGCGTTCGTCGGAAGACTTTGTTGAAGGAAAACGTGCGCCGGTTCCCGTGGGGTGGCGGTGTTGGGCCAAGAAGCTGGGGGTCGACGAGACCTGCGGCGCCTCGGTACGCGGTGTCTGGGCCGTCATTGGAGAAGTGCGTCTGCTCGCGGGTCGGGCCATAATAAGCGCCGGCTTCGTCATCGGGCTTCTGCTGGGGCATGGCAATGTGGGTGAGGGGGAGCGGATGCATCGGGCTGCGGACCTTGTCGATGTTGCCGTACTGGGCCTCTTCGTCATCATCCTCATCCTGCTCGTTGACCACCAGGACGTGATGCGGGTGGTTGCGGGCGCGGCGGCCGCGGATTGTGCCCGCTATGTTGGCAAACATGTTGTGGCGATCATGCTCTGCGAGCTCCTCTTCTGTTGGGAAGTGCGACATGCCCAGAGGGGGGTGAGGCGTTGGCGGAGCTGGAGAAACCGGTATCGGGGTCGAGAGCCTGGTTGATCTGCTGCGCATACTGGACGCAATGGTTCGCCTTCGCCTCAAGCCGTCCCATTCGTACAATGGCTGTCCGTCCTCGCTGATGGGGGCCATGGCCTCGGCCTTTTTCTCTTCGTGAAGGCGTCTCAGTTCTTCGGCCTCCATCCTTATTCGCGCGTTGGAAATGCGCCTGATAATAGCGGCCGCGCCTCGGATTGCATCTGCCTTGGGCTCCGTCTCGGGCTGTGCCTGTTCGGCAATGGTGTGAATCTGGTCCAGATCTCCGTTGAATACGGCGGTGTCGGGAACGTCCTTGGCCGACTTGGAGAGCTGCAGCAACACGACGCCAGAGCATATCGTCAGGAAACCGAGTACCACCGTAACAATTGACTGGGCCGTTCCCTTGAAGCCTTGGAATAACACTGCAGATGTGATGATGGTGGTACTGGTGAAATAGACATAATAGGTGGGTGTCACGATGGCGGCATTGAAGAGATTGAGGGCTTTCTGCAAGGGGGAGATGTGTCAGTTTCATTTCACTCTCGTTTTCAAGAGGTGGTATCCGCAGACTCACGTTGAGGAAGATGATTTCGGTCAGCAAGGTGCCAATGACGAAGACGAAGAGCACCCATAGGAACCACTCCTTGTACTGCGGCTTGCCACTGGCCCATGCAATGATGGCTGCGCCCAGGCCCTGGGTCGACACGACGCTCAAACCGCCGATCCAGCTGCAAATGGAAATGTAGACCAGCATATTCTTCTTACCATACTTGGGTCCAACGAAAAAGGCAACAATGACGGATCCGACGAGAATGACGCCCGTATACGACAGAAACCCCGGTGTTATGACATAGTGTTGCATCTGCTGGATATCGGCGACTGAAGACTCCTGCGGCGCGTTCATGACGATGACGACAGAGCCCACGATGCAGAGAAAACAGGCAACCTTTCCAACCAGACTCAGTCGCTCCTTGAGGAAGATGGCCGACAGGACCGTAGTGATGACGACGGACAAGGCGCCGAGCGGCGTGACCAAGATGGCATCGGTAAAAGCATAGGCGACAAAGTTGCAGACCTCGCCGATAATCATGAGGATCATGCCACCCCACCAGAAAGCATTCTTGAGGTAACCATAGCCTTCGCCAGCAACTTCGTTATACTTTGCGTTTGCCCTCAGCAGGCCAACCTTTTTGAGGACGAATGACGTTCCGATAAAAAGACCCGATCCTATGGCCAAGCCAATGCCGATGGCTTTGTAGTATCCCGGCCGCACAGAGCCATCGCCTCCCGGCACGATGCCGGATCGTGCGAAGAGAAGATCATCGTCCATGGTGGGTTTCGATCAACAGGCCCGAAGCTGGGCGAGTTGAAGAGGCGTGGGAGGAAAAGCGCGAGAGGAGAGGACAGAGAGAGGAAGGGGGGGAATATGAGAATCGGTTTCGAGTTCGAGCCGGATCACATGGGCGAGTTTGGCGGGATGGACGGGAGACAAAGAGATTCGATGTGCGGGAGGATGGAGGATGCGACCAAGTGGCGGTAAATCGAGAGCGGCTGCGACGACGAATGCGACGAGGAGCGCAAGGGAAAAGGGTCGAATCGAAAGCAGGCACGTAAACTAGGAGGAGAGAAGAAGAAGAAGTCCACAGGCAGCGAGCGGATTGTTTGTTATTATGCAAGGGATGGAGGTAAAGTTGGATTAGGTAGGAAAGTTTGACAGAGAATCCAAAGATGAGCTGCGCGGCGATGGACGTCTGTTCTATGGAGATGCGGCATGTGGCTTGAAGGGGGTTTATGGGCTGGGCTGCCCGCTGTAACCAGAAAGGCGGGGGGGTTTAACGGACTGGACAGGGCAGCTCCAGTTGAGTCCAGTAGCTTGAGAGCTGCCAGGGCTGGGCTGGGTTTGGCGCTATAAGGGGGCCCCTAGCCAAGCCAAGAGAAGGTGAGGGGTGGCGCAGTTTGGGAGGGTGCCTTGGGTGTGTGCCACTGTTAGGGCCGAGATAACTTGAACGTTGGAGCTGTGCTGATGGATTGATGGGAGAAATGGGAGAGCTGCATGCATGCAGGTCAGGCGGTTAGCATCCATCAATGGAGGCCTTTTCCGCTGCGTGTGCCTGCAGAAAGATGAGTTTGATGGAGGTTATTCATGTACATATTCATTGACACTAAACGTGCTCCAATTGATGGCTGATATCATTGCACGCTGCTATTGTTGCGACTATTACTACATCCAGTAAGTGGCTGGCGGTTAGTTCTGCTGCCAATGCACATCAAATGCATCCATTGATCCAACTTTGCCCAGTTCCAATCCAAAAGGCTAAAAAGCCCAAGTCACGACTCGCCACAAGTGACGCCGAGGTGTACATTCTCGTACAAAGGCTATAAATAAACTCTACTTACAGCAATTGATCCATGGATAAAAAAGCTCGTGCTGTGCAAAAAAAAGACCCCGTCAATACGCGTACCAACGGCACATGCGCTTTTCTGCTCTGGCAGCAATACGAACGTTGAAGCCCGCACGCTCAATCAATCCCGTCCAGTATTACTCGTGCGCCCTCAACTCAACATTCCTGTCTGGTTGTATGCAGGCGAACCTCGGCCGGCCTTGCGAATACGACGAGGGTCCCCTGCTCTTCCATCGAACCCAACCAACCCAACCAAACCAACCCCCCGGCCCCCCCTACGAGATTCTATGCTAACCCGCGATGGGCAGTTTCTGACTTGTAGACTGTCATGTCCATGGGCAAAAACTTGCACAGATCAGCTGCTGACGCAACGGCTACGGAATTGAACCATTCGACACAGCCTCCCATGTGGCTTCTCGTAACTGCAAGCCGAGAGACAACGCGCAAGAATCCGAATGCGACAAAGAACTTGACAACAAACATGCCAAGCATCGGCTAGACCTATCCAACGGTTCACGTTTCAAAGTAGGTATTGACGCCTGTACGTGTACTCTTGTCTACATGCAGTTGAAAACATGCAATTGAATCTGATTTCTCCAATTGCTGCTAATTTTATCAATTTTAAAGCCCTAGCCTAGCGCATCTGGCCCCTGCATGGGCCGGTCCATCTGGATGCTACGTATCGTCTCCCAGTCGTCCCAGGGCAAATCCATTTCAACGAATGCCCAGCAGATGAGATTTGGTGTCATTGGGTCACATCATTGAATCGACACCAAGTCACTCGTACATATAGTAGCAGCAGACCTACTATAGTAGTCCTCTAGCACCATCCACGCCAGCATCAGCACATCATGTACACAGTTTCCCGCAGCCATTGCCCGTAGCAACCGGGATGCAGGTGAGCTGAGTGCTGACTACATGGGCCTACATTCACTACTATAGCCAGCCACCACCAAGCTGGAATCATGACTTGAATCCTTTTGGCCCAGGGCTGCAGGCATGGTCTAAAATGGAATCATCATCTGTCATGCTTTGGAATGGATTTCAGTCTTTTTCTGTGCTGTCTCGCTTCTCGCTTCTTGTCCGCCCTCAGCCCCCAAAACTCGGTCAACAATGCGCTCTGTTTCTGCTTTCCACGTTCAAAAATCACCTGAGCTCCGTCAATGGATCAAAATCTCGAAGCAACAATTGCAACATTCCAGTCCCCCCTCCGCCCGCCTTAATGGGCCACCCCGCAGTGGTTCTGCGGCGCTTCGTGGCCTCTAAAACGTCGCCAGATTCAACTCTGCGACACTGATACTGCGTATGCCGTTTCATCTTTCGCCACTGTGCACCTCAAAACACTTCCAATCGCCCGATGAAACGCGCAACTTTTGATTCGCTTACGGCAACTTTGTGATTCATCCTTGGGCTCTGTGGTTAGCTGTGAAACCCGACTTTGAATTTTCCCACTGGCCAGCATTCGTTGCATTCGGAACTTGTTTTTTGGGATCGGCGCTCTTTCGTCACGCAATCCAGTTCTCTCCAAACACCGTGCTAGTTGTTCCCAGCTTGCATTTGATCTCATAACCGAGACGGTGACAGGGCTGAGGTAAACACTAGGATACGTACATAAACTTCCGCTTACACATTCCTGTACGAGGCAATTTGTGCGAGGCTTTGCAGGGGAAGCCATGATACTATTCCAACTACTACTAGTACTACTATCAAGTTATTTCCAGCAAGCAGATTGCCCTAATGTCGATCTGGTTACCGCACAGATGATTGTAAGATTAATTCCGAGAGCCGAGAGACATGGTTCGACAGCAAGCGGGAAACGCAACTGTCCCTTTAAATAGATGCCCACGGTAGGTAAGCCCACCCAGAAGAAGTTGAGCCCATATCATGCGCATGTACAGGCAGTTGAGCCTCTATCTTGAGGGGCCCTGGGCGGTTCAACCTATTTGTCTAGTCGCTTTATTCCCATCTGCTACAGCCTTGGTCATCAGAGCCGATGGAATGGCTCACACGCTGCCTGGCTCGAGTACAAAGCATTTCATCAAGGAGTGATGATGCCTATATGTTTACTAATCATATCTGTTTCCTCGAAGCCTGCAGGAAATGTTTGAAACTGACGATGGTTGCTCTTAACCATCCAACTCAAATGTCAAATGATTGAGATCAACAGCGGCACGAAACAACATGAATATATGTCTTTCTGTGCATCAAGTGACTGTCATGCGCTATCATGGCCAGGCAACCAGGGTTAAGTATTTCGCTAGTTGAAGTGTCATTGAGTTGTTCAGCATAGTCATATCCATCGTATCATTATAGCTGCAAATGCTGATCAGCCAATCAACACTGGAGGGGATTTCCACCGATTCTCACTTGATCCTACAAAAGCTGCCTAAATTCCCCCCTCTAGGACTTGCGTGAAATTTGGGAATAGGACTCAGAAGGAAATACTCTGCTCTTTTTTAAGAACATTCGGCCTCTCATTGTGAACAACTGGTGCTGATTCCGCAGCGATGGCGGACCTCAGCATTCGAGGCATGTGGGATGAAGCTGGCAGGCGATTCCAGGCCCGCACGCAAAAGTCTCTCGATCTAAAGCCCCCCAAAAGTATAGACGACATTCGGGACATGATAGAACGCCGATATGACCCTTCATCTCCGGCGGACTCGGACGGAGGCCATGAAGGAGCGAAACGGATCGGCTTAAACATCCTATCCTGTTTAAAGCTCTTGGGTGGAGTAGCAGCTCAAGGAGCGGAGTTGGTGAATGAGCACAAGATGCCTTGGCATCCAACTACCTATTTCTAATGACTTGAAGGTATTCCAACCTGCGGGTGTTTGTTTCAACGCCATTTCTCTACTTCTCGATGTCCCACAATCGATCCACGAGTTCCATGGCACAATTGACGCCGTCTTCGGAATTGTTGGCCCCACCCTCAGTCAATTCAAGATTTATGAGAGGATTGAACTGTTCAACACAATCGACCCGGAGTTGAATACTGCCATACACAAGGTTATGATCAGTTTTGTCGACATCTGTGCATTGGCAATCGGGCTTCAGAAAGGCAGCCGGTGGAAACGGTTCAAGGCAGCAACGAAGCAGGCCTTACTGAATGATGACTCTGGCTTGAAAGATGAGATTGATCAATTTGAGAAGCTCGTCAAGGGGCAACAGAATGTCCAAGCTACCTTGCCTTTAGAGGTGGCTCTGAGTGCCAAAGCAGACCTTGCTACCATCCTGGGCAAGGCATGTGAGACTGGCAAACGGATCGATGATATTGCGCTTGGCATCCTAGACCTGAAAGAAGCAGAGACAAATCGCAGTTTGGAGAAGTCGAGACAGGAAAACCTCGCAAAGATTCGAACCAAGCTGGCGATCGATGAGAAGAACATCAAGGCCTCCAAAGATGTCTGCGAGAAGACATGGCAAAGATGTATAACAGACAGTGGCAATTGGCTTCGAGACATGGGAGACTACAAGAAATGGTCTGACAAGTCTACCAACGATGCAAGTCCATTGCTGCTGCTGACTGGTGAAGCGCACTCGGGAAAGTCGAGTGCAATGTCGACCATAGTACACCAGCTCAAGGCTGCCCATGAGTCTCGGGGCCAATCCACGGCCCGAGCCCTTGTTGCTTATTATTTCTTCCCTTTCTTCGCCAAGAAAGCAGACGACGACAAGCGGCCGGGCACAACTGCGGTGGTTATATTATAGCTAACTCTTTTAGCTACTTTATAATTATATTATAATTAACTTTTGCATTTCAACTCGCCGAGCAAGACTCTGGTACTGCCAAAAGTATGGCTGCATTTTGTGACGATAAAGACAGCGAATCGTATTTTTGGGATTCTAGTTTCAAAGATCTCTGGCGCGATCTTAAAATTGGGACTCCGAAGCCAGGAACCATACATTTCATCATCATTGACGGCCTGGATGGATTGTTTGGAGGCCATCCTGAAGCCGCAAATCACTTTCTAGACATGTTCGAGACAATCCAGAGCCAGACGTCCACTGGTAGCGATGGGACTCGGGTACGACTGATTGTGAGTGGGAAAAGCGATAATTTCCAAAGAGAGTCTCTCCTATCGGCCCCGAATATCGAGATTGAGAAATACAACGGCGCAGATATCACGTCGTACATCTACGAGGAGCTGAAAAAGACAAATCTTTTGCAAGGCGAAGAGTCTGAAACAACTCGTCTTCGAACAAAAGTGCACAACCGGTTGCTCTAAGAGGCCAAGGGGAATTTCCTCAAGGTGCAGACTGCTCTGGAGAAGATCAAAGACTTGATCATGTCAGATGGCTCAGAGGCCGAGATGGATACCATTCTGGACGAGTCCAACCAAGATAAGAGAACAATCTCCGAAAACGTCATTAGCGAACTACAGCAGTCTCTTAAGCCACAATCCATCGAAGAACTGAATGAGCTTTTGATATGGATCGTATATGGCTTTGTATACTTTGACGCTGCCGAGCTGGAAGCTGCACGGGTAAGCCAGGTTGTGTTGTTGCGTATTGGCAAGGATGAGGTAAACTAATCCCTTGTTATTCTTAGTTCCTCCGCTTCGGAACTGTCTCTCTGCAGAAACTTGAGGACAAGCTGAAGGGCATGTATTCCAAACTCTTCTTCTCTCACTACGGAAATGTGGCCATATTGCCATCGATCGAACCTCTCATTACCAAAGAAAGGGACCGCCCACGGATCAGCGAAGACGCGCCTAAAATTTCCCTCAACCTGACCATCTCCAATGGCGACATTACAACTGTGCAGAACTTTCTCTGGAGCTTTTTCCAGAAGTCCATGGTCGAGAAATTCCAATTCGAACCTATATCTGGCCCTACGCGTTCCGCCGCCCGGGAAATCCAGGTCAACGAGTATGACGCTCATCTCGCTATAGTGAAACAGAGCCTGCGTTTTCTCACATCTCCACCGGATGAGAGGACGAAACTTCTGGGCACCTATATCGTTAGAGAACTCCATGGTCACTTGGAGAGGCTTAATCAAGCGGTTGGATACGACCAAATCCTTGCATCTGACAAGAAGGAGATTGGAGACGGTCTTTTTGGTCTATTTGTGTCCGGCGATGTGATAGAGAAACATTGGGAGTCGTTTAGCGAAATTGATTGGGTTAGCCAGAGTGACAGGATTGAGATATTCCGCAACTGGCTAAAGGACCCGGACGCAATTGGTCACCTTGGCAGACTTGACAAGGATTGGCTCAGAGCTGTAAACTCGAGCCAGAGGCCCAACCGGGAGCTTCTTACCCCTATGATGAAGACGGTTGCGGAGCATTGGCTGCTAGATAACAAATGGCATGCCGGGACCTGTTTTAATGCTTTGCGGCTGTTTTTGCGACTCGTGAGCTAAATTGCAAGAACAATCATGATTACTGTACTGACGCTCTGTAGGACACATTGGAGAAGCCATCCGAGGATGAATCAGCTGTACCAATGCCTAAAGCTATCTCTGAAGAGCTTGAGGCAGCCGAGAAATGGTGTCAGGAGATCCTGTCGCCGAAGACCTTGGGCTCTCTCTGGTACGAACGCCTAGGAGAGGCTGCCTGATACTATTACGAGCCCGACCGGGCAATCGTAAAGTTCACGAAAGCTAGTGAGTGTGCCGACGCAAGCCTCAGCTGCTTCAAGAGCCTGGCCGAAGCATACTACGATAACGACGAGCTTCTCTCAGCATGCTCGGCGATGGAAAAGGCGCTCGATGTGGTCAACGCGGCCGAGACACCGGATAAAGACGAACTGAAAATCATCTACATACGCCTTGCATATTGGTATAACCACTTACAACAGCCAGACCGCGCTATAGTTCATTATGAAAAGGCACTGGAAGTAGACCCAGATAACCAAGAGGCCCTCAGCGGCATATTGACGACCTCTATTGCGTCTGGTGCTGAGCAAGCGGTTTATAATCTCATACTCAGCATGAGTAAATTAAACTCCAAAGAGCCTGGCCTCGACCAACTGGCCTCTACCCTACTCGATCAAGCACTCGATTATAGCTACAAAGCACCACTGCGCACTCTGGTCCACAGGTGTCTTTCACAGCAAGGCTGTATGGCTGCCTTACTAGAGGCGATGGATCAAGCAATTGAAGCGGCGCGGAAGAAGGGTATGGAGATTGAGCTTCTCGCATTGCTGCTTCTCCGCGGCCTAGCCTCTCTTTTTAGTGACTTGCAACATTCCCAATCATCGCCGCAAGCAGTGGCTTTCTGGACTGACGGCTATACTACCATGGACCAGCTCATCAGGAAGGCCGACAGTGAAGAAGAGTTGTGAAGATATCAAACCTTCTATCACAGTATTATCGGCCATTTGAGTTCCTACTACTTTGAGCAGACCAGAAATCTACCAGATCCTTCTGAATACTATCTCAAGTTGGAAGAGCTGCGGCGTGGTTTCCGCTTCCCTGGCATTGAAGGGATACACGCAGCCGACCTATTCACCTCTGCCTTTCACACTCTCCACGGCAACAGAACTGCAGCCAGAGAAACAGTGAAGCAGTATATGCGGATTTCCATGGACAATTTAGCTGACGACACTGATGAGAACGACTACTGGGCGGCGTACATTCAGTTTAAATGTCTTGCAGCCTCCGGAGATGACTTAGACGCATTGACGGCTTGGTCTCTACTTGAGCCCATTGAAACCGATGTTGTCGCAAAAGCACTTAATCTCGAGGTTGGGCCTCAGCAATGGCTCATTGATGAAATGACCAAATTCGTCAAGGCAAAATGCCCGCTCGGAGCCACGCAGAGTGACAGAGTGAATGCGGTCAAGACCGAACTGGAGGCTCGACTAGCCGCATCAAACAAAGAAGGTGATGAATCCGAGCAAGCAGAATTACGTACGGATATTCAGAAGGCTCTGGCAGTTTTGGAATCAGTGCAACTGCCGGAAGGAAGCATGACAAGTGAAACCTCTGGAGAAGTGACCATCGCGCCCTTGGAGAGCAAAGACATTGCGAAATCGTTTGGTTATACTTGCGACGGTACATGCGGCGAAACACCGTTGGACTTTAACAATGGCTTGAACGTATGCAAGTACTGCTGGGACGTAGGTTTCTGCGACGAGTGCTTGCCTCAGCTCAAGGCGAACAAGCTGAAGAAGATTGTGTGCAGCCCTAGTCATGAATGGCTGGCAATCCCCAAGTGGAATCCTAGAGGCAACGCGGCTGCTCGGGATGGCATAGTTCAGGTAGGTGGAGAGTTGGTTGACGGTGTCCGCGTGGGTGGTGAGACTGTAACGGTGAAGGAGTGGTTGGCTTCACTGAAGAAGGAGTGGGAATTGTAGAACGCGAGTGAGGCAATCATGCCATGTGTCTCTACGGCAATTGAACATGCTTGATGTGGTTACTAACTCTCAGTATGTCGAAATGATTGGCTGGGGTGCGGGTGTTGGCGACTCTTCTCAGTTTGAGCGGTTAGAGGCAGCCACGAGATACTTGTCTCTACTCAATTAGTTTAAATGTACTTCTATGAAACTTGGATCTAGCTCTTCTATGATAATAGTTCGCTCAGTCAACCTTGGATTACATGGTTATTGCGATGAAGTCGTCTGTCGCGGGTCTCGAGTTTCTGTGTCTCCCTTAGAACCGCCATTCAGAGCCTTTGAAGGAGTAGGAGTATAGCCTTATATGTCACCATGGGAGATGGTAACTTTAAGGGAGGTTCAATATAATGGCCCAAACTGGTCCGTAATTGGAAATGTACGGCTGGATGAATGTCTTTAGAAGTATTCTAGTATGGGCGTATGGCAGATTAAAATTTGATATGGGATTTGATGAGTTAGCTAATTTAGAAAGAACGAAGCAAACGAAATGTTTGGTGTCTCTTATACCGCTACATGTACTTTGATCTACCGTTGGAGCTGATGTGCGTTCAAATCACGTCGTAGCGATCATCAAGTATGAAGGCTCATTTTTTTTATAGAAAGAAGCTACATGATAAGGTTCAAGCTTTCTGACATGATTTCCTTAAATTAGAAGCTTATCCCATTTTTCTCTCCTAACAACTGTAGCCAGGAAGTCCCGATTCGCTAGTTGCAAGGATTCCCCAGGGAGGGTTGCAGTAATTTCCGTTGTTGGCGTTGTCCTGGTTAAACTGATAAAACCACCCTGTTTATTGTGAGCACTCCCCATGCTATATAATTAAAGTGCAGTACGAACCATTGGCACATTGACAAACGGCATAATTAATACCACAGCCAGGGTCCTCACTGAATTGATCCAACGTTAGCTTATAATCATATAAAGAATCATCACATAGAAGAGCAAGCGTAGACTAACAAGGCGTAGCAGCCAGAAGCCACTTGACGCTCTGTAATTGGGCTTGCGGCTACAAAAGCAGCGGGAATAGCCAAAATAAGAGTTGAAAACTGCATGTTGGATTAAACAATGAGATTGGATATAAAATGTGGTAAAGAGGCTTTGTGTATCCTGTTGTCGCTGTTGTGATTGCTTGAGGTCTGAGGGAAGAACGAGGGTCGATATTTATATTCACTTATATCTAGCAAAGCGCATGATTTCACATTCATTCCATCTTCTATGAGCATCTTCGGCTTCGCATGAATATGGATTCGACCGAATGTGTAGATGCAGCAGCACATTACCCGGGATCTTCAAAAATATCGACACATTCGGAACATCGATCAACTCGCAGATATCCCCCAAAGGGTTTTCGGGATCACTCCTCGACAAGAACATTAAAGAAACGTCATCCCAAGAATTATTTTTATAAAATGTATTTGAAGGAATATATTCCTTTCAGCACTGCCAGCGCATAAACTTCCTCTATTGCCGCATAACCGTGATCCTTCTGTGTCGGCTCGTCGGTGGTGATGAGGGGTAAGAAGGATCCCCCTCAGTCGACACTTTTACCCTCCAAATTATCGTAGGTTTATGTGTATAAGCTGCTCAGCTGACTCACATGTAGGAACATCAAAATGACGTCTTTTGTTGACTATTCTCACAAGCCGTCCGGTAAAAACGGATGTTGCGGGAACTTTTAGGATGCATCAAGAACTGAAGGATTTATAAATGTAACCAAAGTGCATCGCCGCTCGTGTAGTGCCTATGCAATATCGTATGAGTCTGAAATCAAAGCTGAGCAGACGAAGCCGTTCGTCAGGTGGTGGTGTGAGAAATTAAAACATATTTCTGCTGTAAAAGAAGGAGTTGAGTTTGTGACAGCTTGGATCTTGAGAGCCTCACCGAAATGGCAACGTTGACAACTTGTTTGCGCGGAGTTGCACAGAGGTAGGTCGAGATGATCGAGGACAAGTCTTTCAAAATGCCAATTGCGAACTGCACATATCCTGATGAGTTATCTGTAGTAGTTTTTGAGTGCCTTGTTTAGGCTCCAACAGCATCAAGCTATTTTCAACATGTGATAACTTACATGTCATAGACTACACACGTACCGACGGTATAGCCATCTGAGAATTGAAATTCCAGCTCATCCGGTGTAGCAATGTACGTTGGTATGATCATTGCGCCTTAAGTAGTTCATTTACTTGAACTAAGGCTGTTAGGCATGATTGTTCAAAGTTCGGACCTGCTTGGTTCTGATTCAAAATCTTCCTGTTCCGGAAATGAAGGAGACGCCCACCATCCCTACGCTGGAATATGCATCTTATTGGTGTCGTCATGAACTTCACCACCTCCCCGTGCTGTGAGAACCAGTCATCATCATAGATGACGTCCAAGCTGATTTACGCATACACATTGTTGGTTGCTTATGCCATCATGTCTACACCATCAATGATTAGGCCACAGAAATTCGGTGGTAGGTATCGCGAATCGCTGAGAACAGTAACATTCAAAATTCCAGCGTATGAAGCTACAGCGTGTTTAGAACTGCAATTTCTTTCTGGCAATGCTCCTTCGTCTGAGGAGAGGCAGAACCTAGTTTCAAGGATCAAAGGGAAAACGTGATAATAGGAGCCACACGGAGACGGACAACGTCGAAACCAGAAGCTTTTCCGTCGTACACATCAAAGCATACTTCGACTCTTCTATCCCTGCCGCTTGGTCTCCTTGGATCTCGAGCATCAATCCCGAGCTCCAGGCCCTTTCTCACTTCGCTCCCGAGGATCCTGTCATCATTGGTGATGATGATCCAGCACCAGCTGAATTGAGCCATTCTACTTTATCATCAAGATCACTTCTTCCTTGTATATCAACGACACCATCACGATTACCGGATAACATCGCATATAATCGAACCTCTCGAGACAAGGTGAATAGAAGGAGGCTAATGCCTTTATCATAACAACGACTTTACACCGAGTCATAATGTCTATACTTGGGTAGATTTCAGCAGGCGCACTGGCGGACAATCCAGGAGATAGACATCTCAACTCCTCCCTTCGCACACTCAAGGTAATTTAGGCGTGGTGCACCTTGATTCATGTCCATTTGTCTCATATGATTCGCTTTTGTTGAATCTTAGTAATAGATGCGCATCTCTGCATTATCACCACACAGCCACTGCTGGAGCATTTGGGTCGTGTTCGGAGTTCATTCGCCCGCCTCGTCGTCCTACATATGTATGTTTCAAGATTGTCGTCGGATCGGGGCCTCGGCTTGCGGAATTGCTCTCATTGTGTGTTTACACCGACGATCTGAGACTGCGAATACACGTTCTGGACCTTTTACATGGCGTGCATACGCCACTCATAGGTGACTACGTACGTCGGAATGTTTCCTCTTTCTCACCGAGTCACAACATCGGCCTCTCATTTGTCGTATGGTAATGCAAGCCACCCAGCCGGAGCTTGTCTCACGAACGAAATTACGTGAGTCTGCATTGCGTTCTGTAAGGAGACTTAAACTCAGACGCCGCCCGAACATCCTCACCAACGAGATCAAACAGGGTGGAGCATGAATAGAAGAATATAGAACTTCGCGTGCATGCCCTCCCGGGAGCGGTCTGACTATACTATAATGAATTATGTGGAAATGGATAGATGAATCAACTTTCTTGTCCAAGCAGCAGCCTGCACAAGTCCCCGCACTTTAATTTTCCTATTTTCCACCGGGTCTTTCTAGGCCGTGAAACCTGCATAAGTATCCACGCCTCCATGCACATCAGAACAAAGCACTACCATATCATCCCGTAGGTGTAGACTTTTGAGTCATAGTCATAGAGTCAGATGGTGTTGACGAAAAGAAAAGAAAAGAACAATATATATTTGCCATCTATTTCAGCTGGTGGTTCTGTCCCTTGATTTGGCCGATCTGGTAGACGCTCCTCCTGGCAAGATGTATCTGATGTGTTGCCGCACATCGGATCTATTATTGGTTGCACAGCTTCACCCGAGCGGGGGAGCCATCTGATCTTGGTTAACAGCGCTATACATATTCGCCACTTCATGCAGCACTTCATTACACGATGGGCTTATTATATGCACAAGTTCATTTGTCAATGTTTGGGCAGCTGCAGGCTATTATGTAGGGGCCGGTTCTGGGTCACTTTACAATCACTCAGTCGTTCTAGGGTCTGGCTGTGTATTATTTATTGAGATTGCACAATATTTGTTCAAGTGTTTCATTGAAATGGCATATATCGATGACTTAGTTGGTAAAGAATAGTTCTAGCCAATATAGTACTTCTCCTAGGCTATTAAATACAGGACAATATATAAAGTAGGCACCCGGTATATACATGAAACCTTACTTTCCTCCGATGATTAAAACTCGCAAGGTGTTTTTGTGCACCAAGAGAGTTTCATCTCAGCCAGCCACCGGAGGTCCGTGTTCTCATAGACAGCCTAATCTGGAAGATGTGCATAGTGCAGTGTGTCATGCATTCCGATACCAACCAGTCTCATCAAGCTTCGGTAATAGCACCACGTAAGAGCAATAATAGAAGCTGTATCCATGCGGACTATTACTGTTACACACCACATCAAAGTGCGGGGCGATGCCTATCCATCTAGACACGATAGTTGATCATTACGAAGCCATTACGTCTCTCAGATGAAGAGAGGAAACTGTATCTACTATTCTGTGCCTGGAGGTTATGAAGTCGAAGCAGATGGGCAAGCACATACGAGTATATATAGGTGCCAGTCGAGCCCCCTTGGTCTCAAAAACTCTTCCCTCTCATCATCATCATCTTCATCCACAACAACCGACTTATATGAACTTTAGCTCTAAGATCAAACATTCTTCTACTTGACTATTGGCGACAAGACTCACAATGGCAACTCCATTCCCACTCCCCGTCCGCCAACCACCCTTCCGTAGGATTGGGCACTGGCTACCTGAGAACGACGATCTTCTTATAGATTGGCTTCGAGGACTTCTCAAGGAGATCGAAAGAGACAAGAAGAGGTTCAGGGGCCCATGGGTTCTCAGTCCAGAGGTGGATGACTTAAAGAAACACGTCGAGAGCTCTGCCGAACTTCGCATGCTGGCTCAAGCCATGCTAGATGAGGTCCCTAACAAGCCCCCCTATATCAATGACCCTGTTGGCAACAAACAAATCAAGTCTCTTGAAGATTTGTACATTTGTTTCGACAAGGTTATGACGTCGAGGGCTCCTATTTGGAGAAAGTTGGAATACGACGTCGGTCTGGTTGGATTTCCATTCAACGCCGTTTTAGACTGGCCAATGGCTACTCCTAGCGGATATGCCTTTTTTCTCAAGCCAGATATCAATAAGAAGTTCGAAGTCATACTTAACACTTGGAAGACAAACTTCTTACAGACAATCGAATCTGCAAAAGTTCTGCTGCCCAAAGAGGGTGACGACATTCCACTGGATGAGGCTTGGTTGAGCCCTGAATCGCGGAAGCAAATCGAAGACGACACCAATCTCGAAGGTGAACATCTAAAATTCGAGGAACTTTTTGAGTGTGACCCTAAGCAAGACTACTGGGGTTTCCAATCTTGGGACGATTTCTTCATCCGAACGTTCAAGCAGTACCCGGATAAAGAACTCCGCCCCATTCACTTCAAAGACAATGATGATTGGATCATAAACTCGTGTGAATCTAAGCCGTTCTCGCTCCAACCCAACGCAAAAGACTACGACAAGTTTTGGCTAAAGGGACAGCCATACTCCGTCATGGACATGTTGAATAAGAACGAGGATTATGCATCCCTGTTCGTCGGTGGCACAGTTTATCAGGCCTTCTTGAGTGCTACCTCTTACCATCGCTGGGACTCGCCAATCAGCGGCAAGGTCCTCTACACTGAGGTCATCCAGGGCACCTACTTTGCAGCGCCTACTGTCACGGGATTTTCCAATCCTGATGGTCCTGATCCGGCTTCTCCAGACCTTGCCCAGGGCTATATTACCCATTTTGCCACGCGAGCCGTCTACTACATTAGAAACCCCAAAATTGGCATTATCGCTCTTCTCTACGTTGGCATGGCTGACGTGTCTTCTTGTGAGATTAATGAGAAGTTCATCGACGTGCCCGAGGGAGGAGTAGATGTGAAAAAGGGAGAAGAACTTGGAATGTTCCATCATGGAGGCTCAACCTACTGTCTTCTGGTTCCAAAGGGAACCAAGGTTGCTTTCATCCCTGAGGCTACTCCCCGAGAGGGACAGAGAAACATTCCCATTCGAAGCCCACTGGCTCGGGTTTACAATGACGATATTGAGGATTGACTCAGGAACTAACCACCCTCCAGCAAAATCTGGCAGGCTATGTCTCTCCTTGGTGATTAGTTTTCGCCATGATGGAACACTTGAGGGTCACACGGGAAAGTGGGTTGCCACGGACATTCATTTAAATGTGTTAATGTACTTTGCGTCACTCTTTAGCAAAATTATGAATATCAATCATTTGTGAACCAGCTTATAACTATTCCTTGGCGATGATGTTTAATGATGACTCATATGAAAAAGTTAGCAGTTGCTTAAATTACTTTGATCTCGGCACTTCAGTCTTTGTGTAGGTTTAACGATGTGAACAAATGTACACAATTTACGTGAATGACAATTGACGGATTCCCTTAGCTGCCTCAACACAAGCAAGACTCTTATTTATGTCAACAACGATGATATTCCAGGCTCACTCTATAAAACTCAGTGCGCTATGGCAAAGCACCCATTTGCGTCAAATCAGGTGTTTCTATCAGCCGCCGCAGACATGATGCACGGCATCAGTGACATGTCAATCAATGATAGATGGTGAAACCAAAATGAGCCGGTATCATTTGGCGGCACAATCGCACTCATCTCCCCTCCCATTCATGCTCAAGGATAGAGTACATTACAGTATCAAACCACTTGCGCTGAAACCACACACTTTCACGCTTCCGGCCTTCCAACTTGAAACCAATCTTTTCCCAAAGCCTTATCGCTGCCTCGTTGTAGCTGTACGACCAAAGCTCAATGCGATGCACTCCCGTATAATTGAAAGCCCAGTCCATAGCCCACTTTGTGGCTTCAGCACCGTAGCCCTTACCACGGTATTCTTCCAAGAGCCAAATAGCAAAGCTGGTAGATCGATGGTCTTCTTTGGACTCGAGTGACGACGGAGTCATGTTCAGGGATCCAATGGGCTTTCCGGCCGTGGATTGTCCGCTCTCCGACGTCTCCTTCAAGCAGATGAAGACAAAGATCATGGCCTTCTTCTGGTACGCTTCCAGAAATTCGTTGATTGACCTCTGGATTGGCGGTCGAGGGATTAAGGGATGGCCAAGCTCCATACATCCGGGCTCGCTAATGATGGCGTAAAAGGTCTCCTTGTCTTCAATTTGCACGCTCCGGTAAACCAGCCTTTCAGACACGAACAGTGTCGTCACAGGGCGCGGTAGAGAAGACATGGTGATCTGAGTCAATTTCAATCGCGATGTAGTAAAACGTAGCGGTACTTGGCGGGTTGACGACGTGGCCGTAGAGAGGCGGGGGCCTATATGTAATGTAGTCAGGCCTGCTTACTACAGAGGTAGTCAGCATGTAGAGTGTCCGATATCTATGAGTTTTTTAAGTAGGTAAGCTTTTTCTAATCTTTAAAAAGTAGTTGTTTTGCCGAGTCACGCTGATACCTAAACCTCACGCCGTCGCTGGGATGCTGGGCAAAATTAATTCCCCGAATCTCACATCTAGGTGAATCCTCAAATGAGCATACACGTGTATAGTCTTCCATTCATGCCAGCTTCACAGAGCAAATCATTCATATTTTGCTGTACCATATTCGACGCGCCTTTCCACGATCCAGCTTTAAGTGACGAGACCTCAGTTCTTCCAGCTCGGGGATACTCTCAGATGGAAGACCCCAGTAAGCAGTTGAATCCTGGAAATTACTGACACCGAACATGAGACAAGGAACCAAGCTTGTCTGAGGCATATAGGAATCACGGGACCGATCAAGCCCTCTTCTCAAGACGTGTTCGTCAACTAATGGGAAAAAGAGCAGAGTATGTTATTCATTAACATACATCTAGTGCAGTGCTCGTTATGGTAACATACATCTAGTGTAGTGCTCGTTATGTTTAGGTCTCCTCCAGCCATTTTTGCCTGACATGCCCACAAGGTAAATCCAGTCGATAGAACCCTTCCACTTTCTGAACCCCATCAAGAACCCTGTCCTGGCAGCCCACGAGGTATCTCCAAGATTTGTCACTTGGAGACCGACACGATCCAAGGTAGTGATACGTGCAAAGCGTGAATCTCCATTCCTTGTTTTCTTTATCCTGATGGATTGAAACATTGTAATCCGTATTGCAAAATTGGCATGAGCCGCGTTCCGGCTTGCATTTGAGTGGTTGCCAACCTCGTGGCGTACTCGGTAGCGTTGAAACAATGGATAGATACGCGTTCGAAGTCGAATTTCTGAAGGGGCCGTAATATGCACAACATATTATTCTCGCATCTGCTGAGCACATTAAGTGGGTGCAAATCTTTGGCGAACAGCTGCTAATGAGCCTCGCGATGCAACTCCAAGGCATCAAAGGCCCAGTTATCGTGTATAATCGACGCAAATACAGCTTGTCAAGGATGACTTTTGGAGTCATCTGAAACGAAATCCTCCAGGCTGTCGCTATGCGATCGGGTTCGTCTTCTTTCCGCTCGTAGAGGTTATAGTCAGATCCTTGGGGACCTGGTAGCCCCTTCTCGTTCGAGTATCTCACAATACTGCCATGTTTGCAATTGTGCAACTCGAAATGGTCTTGGAACGACGCGTAGCGTTCAAGGATGTGAAGCGGTACGCCATGGGAGGCACCCAGAAAGTGACGGTTCATTGCCAGGTACACATCCATAAAATCAACGTAGAAATTGTCTTGGAACGAGGGAAAATAGTATGGTTGGGGTACATGCCAATGATCCCCTGACTTTATATTCCACGTTGGATATTCGAAGAAGCCAGCGTTCCATTTGTGATCATGGCCATACCAGTGTATACCTGACGACAGCCAACGTAATTTAAGGCAGCAGAAGCAAAAATAGGCGTCAGGTATATCTTTTTGCCATGTTGAAAGGAGTGTGATAAGATCCTCTTCTCTGAGTGGCGGTAAGATCTTTTCAGGAAACACAATGTTCATCAAGGATTTGCAAGACAAAGCGAGACATATCTTTGTCGGGGTGGATAGATGATTCATTATCTTGATGAAAAGCTCTTGCGGGAAAAACAGGAAAAACTGACTTCCCCGGCCAACGGCGGAGGGATCTCCTGGTGATCGAGTGCTCATTGTAGATACTTTTATCGACTCGACCCGTGGGCTTCGACGTTTGCGTGGACGATGACGATTTCGCGGACAGTGGCGAGCGGTCTTGGAAAGTAAAAATACTACCCTCACTGGGGCAGTTGGAAAAGATATTTCGCAGTTGTGTATTTAGAGTGAGGACAAATGAATGGTCAAGTAGGAAACGAAAAACAAGGGACATAGTTCTGCGCATACACTTGCCAGCCTTGGACCTCCCTCCAATGATAAGCTTTGAAGGGTAGCTGTTGATCGACTTATTGATATCTGCCTATGGGGGAAAGAACACGGCAAGAGAGCCGACTTGACAAATCTACACATAAATGTGAGTAAATATAAAATTAACGGGAGTCAAGTGTTCCTCTATGGACGCACTCATTCTTTTTCGAACGTACCTATAGGTCAAACCTTACCAACTTGGGGCTACCTGTAGCTTGACTTCCAGAATATAAAAGAGAAATATGTGGCGGATAGAGTTTTTATAGATAATACATGTAACCATGGTAATTGGGCTACATTGCCATTTACGCATTGTAGTATGCGCCATGTCCACTCATGATCATTCAGGCGGTGCTCCATGGTGCCATTTTCTCCGGGCTATCCCACGACCTACCTCCAGACGGCGAGATCTTAATTCTTGGGCCTGGGGGCTGTCCTCAAAGTCATGCGCGTGATTGAGATAGACATCTCCTATTAAGTTCTGACGACTGACTTGTGGAAGGGGGCTAACAAAATAATCCCAAAGTTTATCGCTTGGAGACCGGCAGTAGGTATCCAAGGCAATGATACATGCTAATTTTGATGGTCGTTTCGTTGTTCGTCTCCAGGTCAACAGAGATATCGTAGTCCGTGCTGCATAATAAGCAAGAGTCGCGCTTCAAGATTTTCACCGAGAAATGCGATTTCTGGACCCACGAGATCCTCCAAGATATAGTTCCTTCTCCCCAACCAACGGCGGAACCTTAGGCATTTGCCTATTTCGATAACATCCTCGTGAATACTACATCGTTCGAGGTCTCGGAGAGGTGTACCATGAGAGAAGCCATGGTAGCGGTAGGTGACTTATGACCAACAGGAGAATTTCTATTGGAAGAGATAATATTGATGCCTGAATGGATTCAACCAAGTCCCGAAGACTTTTCTTAGATGCCTCAGCCTCAATGAGACGCTGGCTTCGATGCCTGCGCGAGCAAACTCTGGTGTTCTGGTACATGGTGTGACAACTGAGCCTGCTACTGCACTCAAAATGAATTCAATATGGGAAACGGCATGGCTTATATAGGTAGCAATAGATGACTCAGTACACTAAAAGAGAAAGCTAGGTAGGTAGCTAATTAGATTCGGATTGCATGTGACAATGACGCAGCACTTAATCCAGGCTCACCGATTCCGTAGTCACGGCAACACAACCAACGCGAACAACCACGTCCACCAACCGTTGGGCGCTGAGCTTGACATCCCTAGGTAAGTTTGGCGTCATGGCACATTTTATCTAACCCTAGGTACCTAAGCCACACCCCCCGGAGGCGCAACCTTATTCCTCAAAGTCTGGTATATCCAACCTAAAGTCCAGTATAGCTAATCAGGGACCACGTCAAGTCGGCATAAGTATTGGTTTTCATTCCCGTCATGTCACTGTACCAGAGCACGGGCGGAGCCGCTGCCAGCTACGCCGGTATTGAACCCTTGGTTGCCTCCAGAGGCTGCGAGATCGGACTCCAGAAAACAGACCCCGAATGACTGTGCCAGAAACACTTCAGCGTTGTTCAGGGTCGTTGCAATGGCAGCTCCCCCACGATACGAGATTGAACACGTTGTCACTAGCATACGGGAAGATGACAATGATGATGTTCGCTTCACAGTTCGGTGCAATGGCAAGGTCTTCTATATCAGGCTTTCACCGTCCAACTTCATCAATTCTCCCAGTATGACGAACAAGTACATGTCTTACCTGGAGGTTTTGAAATCAGGCCAGGAGATATTAGGTGAAATATATGATACCGACGTCTGGGATTGGGTGATGGCTCCATTCGAGCCCTTCTTCACCAACCTCGCGCCCGATCCGTCAGTTGAAACCATTACAGTCACCTTGAAAGAATATCTCTATCCCGATTTCTTCGTCTTCATACTTGATATAATCGATGACAAGTTACAGCCACGCCTTGTACCAACCGACGAGTCGCCCTATTGGCCATCCTTTGTTCGCTTCGATGACGACTTTCTCGATGACCTAGAGACCTGGACAACTTTGTACGATCCAGCCGGCATCATCATCAGCCATAAAGTCCCCAAAGATGCGCTCTTCAAGGCACCAAAGAAAGTTTTGATTGACAAGGGTCATACCGAGTGCTTCTTCAAACGTTGTTATGGCAGTGTGCAAATCACCCAGGAGCTTAAAACATATCAAAAGATTCACGAGGCCGGTCTGGACTCTCAAGTGAACGTCTGTCGCCTATACGGCATTGTGATGGATGACTGTGACTTCATTCTTGGACTGTTATTAACCTACGTCGATTGCAGTGACCGACCATTATCCGCAAGAGTCCATCCTGAAGAACCCGATGACCCTATGCCTGCAGTTAGGGAACGGTGGATGGGGCAGCTCGAGACTGCCTTATCAGCACTGCACGAGAACCATATAATTTGGGGAGACGTGAAAGCAGAAAACGTTCTGATTGATCAGAACGAAGATGCCTGGTTGGTTGACTTTGGCGGCGGTTACACTGAAGGTTGGGTCGACAAGGAGGTAGCAGGGACGGTGATGGGAGACTTTACTGGGATGGCTAAGTTGAGGGCGCTTTTGTTTCCTACCAAATAGCGGCGGTGGCCGGTTGGAACATTGCACTTGACACTATTACAGAGAGCAATGAATGAGCATTTCCAGCGTCAGCTGACAGTAGCATCCAGTGCTGATTCTGGCTTGTAGTGTATGTCGTACGTCCTGACATTGGCGTCTGTCCCACCTATGATGTTCTAGGATGGAAGCTAGCTCTCTAGTCAACAACCGCCACACATCGCAATTGTCAGGCCTGGCTATTTAACTACATTATCATTAAATGAGATTTGTTTGCTGCAGATGTGCTCACGTAGGAGAATCATTCGCCGACTGTAATCTTTTCATACAACCAATGCATGCACAGAGTCAAATCTCATTCATTCTCCATTCATCTAGCCAAGAAAGAAAAAAACTCATTCAAATATATATATAATAGAAGATACAGGATTTGGTTATCTGCCGATGGTTCCCTACGTTAATACTCGCCACAAAAGAACGACTTTATGGCTGGACCAAAGTACATACGCAACTTGTCATTGGTGTGACAGACAGGTAGACAGGTAAACGAGCAAGTTGATGAGCTACGTCAAGTGTGCCCCCATGATGTTAACGGTCATTTACAGCATACCATATGACCATATGCGGCTTTCAGTTTCCTAGTTAGTTATCGTCTATTGTCTCTGTCAGCCTTGCTGCCTAATACGGTGAGCCCAATCATTGTCCCGATCTGATAGCCTAAATGGGGGATACCTTTCACCATCTCCCAATTTTGGTTCTTATTTCTAGTCTGACAGAGGCTCGGACACCTCTATATACTAATTTTGGTTCTGTTGCTCTCCTTTATATTTATCTGTCGAACTTTTATGTTTCTCAGGCCGCCGAATCTCATCATTTCACGATGCAGTCTTCAGCCATTGTCGATGAAAGTTTATGCGAAAAGTGTAGCAGGCTCTTGGACACATGTTACGGTTTCCCTTCAACTGAGCGTGCCGCAGGTATTGACCACTATACAGCCCTGAGCGATCTCCAAGCATCGGCAGATGGGGGCTGTCGCTGTTGTCAAATCTTTTGGACGCATATCAGCAGCGATGGTATAGGAGATTACGATGAACTTATTATCAAGGCGACTCATGTGTGGAAGGATCCTGGCTTCAGGGGGTTTAACTACTTCGTGACATTGAAAAACACGCGTACACGTCATAAATCTAGTTCTTCTATCCGAATTAATCTCGGGGGAGAGAATACGTCTTATCGAGAAATACCTCCTATTTTACGTACCAAAACCCTATCTGCGTGGATAATAGTTCGGATACTCACTGCATATCTTTAGGGTTGACGAATGGGAATCTCAATGATGAAGTCAGGACGCTCATGCAAACGGCCATCAGATGGATAGACAACTGCAGTCAGAATCATGAGAAATGTCAACGAACACAGAACCTGAAAAAGAAACCCCGATATTTTACCAACTCGGTTGATAGTTATTCAATCTAATGACGAAAGCATCGTCAGACTTGTTGATACCAAGGAATTGGCGAGTGGCGTGAATCCGACATATCTCATTCTGAGCTATTGTTGGGGAATGGGGAACGAAACAGCGAAAACAACAAAGGAGTAATTTACGTCAAAGATAGCAGCAAATTACTGTATGCAACCTACCAAAAACAATTCGCGATGCTATTACAGTTACAAGGATCCTAGGGGTCCAATATCTCTGGGCTGATGCAATATGTATCATCCAACCCGACAACGACGACTTTCTTGATGACTGGAATACCGAAGCAGCCCAAATGGGAAGCTACTATTCTAACGCCCAATTCTGTATCTCAGCTTTGTGTGCACTGGATAGCTCAAATGGATTCTTTCAAGAGAGGCACTCAGCCCGATACCCTTGGAGAGAAGAAGAGTACATCTCGTATGGAGGAGACTTTGTTTCCATTATACCATCTTGAGGAATGATAGGTGAGCTTGATCTCAGATACATGCCACTAATGAGACGTGCATGGGCTTTACAAGAAAGGATTTTGTCCACTCAAAGATTACACCGGAGTGCAGTCGGTCTGTTGTGGGAGTGTGACAGTGGTCTGTATCAAGAGAATCAGCCACTTCGCAATCTGCGCCATGCGAAGGATTTTAACACCTTAATCGATGATTTCATGCGAAACATTCTGAGTCTGTCTAAGGAAGAAGCCCTGGGAACCGCTTGGCTTGGCATAGTAAAGCAATACTCGAGCATGGAGTTAACAAATCCAACAGACCGTCTCGCCGCCATCCACGTGTCAGGGGTCCGAGGAAGGAAGAGGCATAATGGAGCTATGGAGCCGGCGAATACTACTAAAGTCACTGCTTAGAGGCTAGTCACAGCCAGGATTTACTATATAAAGGAGCGTAAATCCCCTTAGTTTTAGAGAAGGTTAAAGATAAATATAGTTATTATATACCTCTTAGCTACTTTATCTCTTTATAATAACTAGAACCTCTCCTTAACTTTATTACTCTCTTATATACTGCTATTTTTAATAAGTTTATTTTTTTTTAAAAAGTAAAAAATTATTAAAGTAAAAATAATAAAGGCTACTGCTTAAAAGTAAATAAAAAGTTAGTTATATTTTAAAAGTATATAATAAAGCCTTATACCTTATATAATACCCCTTAAAAAAAAATTTACTTTTTAAACTAATACTTTAATTTTTAATATATAATATAACCCTTAACTTATTACCCTAAATCCCCTAGCTTTTTTTAAGGGATAATATACTTTTTTAATTAAGAATAAGCTATTTAGTTTTATAATTTTTATTATAAAAAAAAATTAAAAAAAAAAGCTTACTTAATATTTAGTAAATTTTATTAATTTTTAAAATAAAAAATTTAAAGTACTTTTTTTATAAAAAAAGCCTTTTTTTAAGTTACTTATTATAGTTTTTTAAAAAAAGCTTATAAAAAAGTTAATAAATTATATAAAAGATTAAAAACTATATTTTCTAAAGCTTATATTTAAAAAAAAAACTTAAAGAAAATATTAAAATTATATTTTTAAACTTAATATTTTATTTATATTTAAAAAGATTATTAATAAAATATATAAGGTTTTTATAATAAGCCTTTATCTTAAAGAAAAAGCTTAATAATATTAGATTAATTATTTTAAAGAGGAACTTTAATAGAACTATAATAATATTACTTATATATAATACCTAAGGTAATATAAAAATTAAGTTAAAGATATTTAATCTTATATTATTAATAAAAAAAAGGTATTAAATATTATATATTAAGAAAAGGGTAAAATTATAAAAAAGTTTATTAAATAATTTAAGAAGGTTAATAATAAGGTTTTATATTATATAAATAATAGTTATAAAATCTTAATTTTTTTTTAAAAAGTATTTTTAAAAATAAAAAAGTATATTCTTTATAAAAAACTCCTTATTATATAGTAAAATTTTTATAAAAAGTACTTTAGGGTAAAATTAATTATTAATAGCCTTAGTAAAGGGGATAAATAAGGAAAAGAAAATTTTACTTATTTTAAAAAAAGTAAATATATTTTTTATACTTTATATAAAAAAAAAAAAGTTTTAATTATACTAAAATAATCCTTAGGCTAAATAAAAAATAATATTTTAGTTAATAACCCCCTGGCTATTTTAAAATAAAAAAGGTATAAATTTTTATTAAAGATTATATATTATAAATATAAAACTCCTAGGTATTATTTTATAAGTTATAAAAAGCTAGATTATTTATATTATAAAAATAAAAAGTATATTATAAAGTATTATAATAACCCCTAAGTAAGTATTTTAGCTAACTTAGTATAAGGCCTAAATTTTAAATTAGTTATTTTAAAAAAAGCTTAAGAAAATAAAATTTACTTATTTAAGCTATTACTTATTATATCCCTTATAATAAAAAGAAAAGTATAAATATAAGTAAAAGAAATATAAAAGTTAAAAATTACTATTTTTAATATTAAAAGTAATATTAATATATTAAATAAATACTTAGTAGGTAATACCTTAGTAATACTTAATAATAACTTAGTAATTACCTTAATATATAAAGACTTAGGTAAAATATATAAATATACCCTTTAGCTTTTAAAAATAAAAAATAACTAAAAAGTTAAAAAGTAAATACTTATAAATTTTATAATAGTAAAAATACTTAATAATATTATCCTAGGGAGGCTATAGTATAATTAAATAGATTTTATTATTATTACTAAGGATAATCTTTTTTAATACTTAATATTAATAAAAACCTTAATAATAGCTATTTTTAAATAGTAAGTATATACCTAAGTAAAAAAAACTTAAGTTAAATTAATTATTATATATTCTAATATTAATATTATTATAAACTAAAATACCCCTATAACCTTACCCTAAGAGAAAGTTATAAAGCCTCTGCTTATAAAATATATAAATAAAGTAAAAGTATTTAATTTAAAATTAATAATAAAACTAATACCTTTATAAAGATTAATATATATAATAAATCTAAAGTTAAAAATAAAACTTTTTTAAAAACTTATTTACTCCTTAGTAAAAAAAAAGCTAAAGGTATTATAAAAATATATTAAGTAAATATTATAGTAAAGCTAAATATATTAATTTATAAGTTCCTAGGGTATATTAATATTATTTATTTTAAAAAAAGAAAGTAAGTTATACTTTTATATAAATTATTATATATTAAATAAAATAATATATAAAAACTATATACTACTACCCTTAATTTATAAAATCCTTAATTAACTTTAAAGTATAAAGATTTACTTTAAGTTAAATATAAAGAATATATATTATTATATAAAAGTTTATAAAGGAGATAAAAAGAAAATAGCTTTTAGGTATAAATATAAGTTATATAAATTTTAAGTAATACCTTTTAAATTAACTAACACCCCTGTTATTTTCTAAAGGTATATTAATAAGGTATTTAAAAGCTTAATAAACTATATTTATATAATTTATTTAAATAATATCCTAATTTATAATAAAAACCCCGCTAAGTATATATAATATATTTAAAAA